AGTTGGATAAGTTTTAGGTTTGGGAGGGAGATAGGAAAACTGGTTCTAAATGAATTGGTGGACGAGGTGAACACGCTTAGCAACTTTTGTAGTAAGTGCTGGAACGCTGGAAAGTTTTATAGGAGGCTAGATAATTCATGGACGGTAGAGAGTGGTAGCTAACCTCTCGACAGGAGCTGCCATGCACAGGTAACCGGTCTATTGCAGACTCCTTATTTTCTTATGTTCTTATGTTCTTCCTCCCTTCATCCTCTCCCCCACCTCCCTCCCTTTCTCTGTCTCTCCTCCTCCCTCCCTCACCTCCATCTAAAACGAGCTGACCTTCAATCATCCTTGAACGCACCTGTCAATACCACCTGGGTCATTATCATCATCCCAGGGAGTATACTGTACCCATGGTCAGGTCAGGTTAGGTCAGGTTAGACTAGGTTAGGTCAGGTTAGGCTAGGTCAGGTCAGGTTAGGTTAGGTCAATATTGTACAATTACCCCCGTTTACATTCTGGCCACTGGGATATTTATAAACAACAACATAACTTAAGATGTATATCAGCCAACCCAGTAGTGATCCCTTGAGGAACGATAACACAGTAATTAGTACCTCAAGGGCCTTTAACAGTCATTTATAATTAGTATACCAGTACAGTACACGTTCTCCAGGGTATAGTACGTGAGTGGGGGGATCTCTCTCTCTCTCTCTCTCTCTCACGTCTGCAACACACACATACAGAGCAGACAGAAGGGCGAGAGAGAAGAGCAGACAGAGGGGCGAGAGGAGAGACAGGCAGGCAGAAGGGGGCGAAGGAGAGACAGGCAGGCAGACAGACAGAAGGGGCGAGAGGAGACAGGCAGGCAGACAGACAGACAGAGAGGGGCGAGAGAGAGACAGGCAGGCAGACAGACGGCAGAGAGGGGCGAGAGGAGAGAGGCAGGCAGACAGAGGGGCAGAGGAGAGACAGGCAGGCAGACAGAGAGGGGGGAGAGGAGAGACAGGCAGGCAGACAGACAGACAGAGAGGGGCGAGAGGAGAGACAGGCAGGCAGACAGACAGACAGAGAGGGCAGAGAGGGAGCAGGCAGGCAGACAGACAGACAGACAGAGAGGGGCGAGAGGAGAGACAGGCAGACAGACAGACAGACAGAGAGGGGCGAGAGGTCTGGCTAGTTATACAACATGCAATTTAAAGTTCAAGGATACACTGTGTTAAAACTCCTTCCTCTATATAGGGGTTTCTGGCCTTTAAATACCGTACACTATAAAAATAAACGCCACTACGGACGAACGCTCGCCTGGCTTTCTTGTTCCCGTTAGCTACGTTGAGGGGAGGATGGTGGTGGAGCAGGGGGAGGAGGATGGAAGGTGGGAGAGGAGTTGGAAGAAGAGGATGGAAGGAAATGGAAGAGGAGGAGGAGGAGGGGGAGGAGGAAGAGGAGGAGGAAGGGGGAAGGAGGAAGAGGAGAGGAGGAGAAGGATATAAGGAGGTGTTGTTGTTGTTTATTACGTCACAGACCTCAGTATAGCAACAGAAAGCCACAACAGTATAGCAACAGATAGCCACACAAACAGTAATAAAACAAAACCAAATCACAACAGACAACAGCATAACAGTTGTCTACAGTGCTGTGCTGTTGTACCTCACCTGCCAGGGCTGTTCCCGCCGTTAACAGCAAATACGACCAACAGGAATTTTATCGCTGAGTTATGTGGACGAACCTTCGCCAGACGCTGGTTAACGCGTCATTGTGAAGAAATTTGCCAGGTGTTACTGATTGCTTGTGCTGGCGATAATTTTTTTTTTATTATTACAGTAATACCAAGTGACTGCCTGTGGTGGCGATGAGAGGAGGTGGGAAGGGAGAAGGTGGGTGTGTAACTGGAGGAAGGGGAGGAGGTATTAAGAGGATGGAAGAGGAAGGGGAGGGGAAGGAAGAGAAGGGAGGAGAGATAAAATGGAGGAAAGAAGTGAGGAAGGAAGGGGGGGAAGGTAAGAGGTTCATATGAGGCTCAGGTGAGAGGTACAGGTAAGAGGTACAGGTGAGAGGTACAGGTGAGAGGTACAGGTGAGAGGTACAGGTGAGAGGGACCACGTGACTAATATACCTAGATAACGCCTTTACCTCTTATACTAACAACTGGAGGGCCTTCACCACACAACTCTCTTCTTAAGTGCATATAAGTCTAAGTTACATTATAATGTGTATAAGTGACGTCACCTTTATGAGTATACACCCCCGTACATAAATACATATAAAGTGTGTAAGTAAATATATAATGACATAATTGTATCAACATGGAACATTAGTAAAGCCATTATCTTACATACATACATACATACATACATACATACATACATACATACATACATACATACATACATCCTGACCTCCTCTAACACCCCTCAACCCCTACCCACTAACCTCCTCCCCTCCTCCTCCTCTTCCTCCTCCTCCCCCTCCTCCCCCTCCTCCTCCCTCCTCCCCCTCCTCCTCCTCCCTCCTCCTCCTCCTCCCCCCTCCCCCTCCCCTCCTCCCCCCCCCCTCCTCCTCCTCTTCCCCCTCCTCCTCCTCCTCCCCTCCCTCCTCCTCCTCCCTCCTCCCCTCCCCCCCTCTCCCCTCCTCCCCCTCCCCCTCCTCCTCCTCCTCCCCTCTCCCTCCCCCCTCCTCCTCCTCCTCCTCCTCCTCCCCCCTCCCCCTCCCCTCCCTCCTCCTCCTCCTCCTCCTCCTCCTCCTCCTCCTCCCCACCGCCGATAGTGCCCAGCTCTCTCGTGCCTGGTGTGAATGACCTCTGGCGTGACACTCAACAATTCAAGGTTGTACATGGTGAGGAGGAGGAGGAGGAGGAGGAGGAGGAGGAAGAAGGAGGAGGAGGAGGTAAAACCAAAAGGAAGAAGAGACAAACGAAGAGAGAAGTAGAGAACAGAGTGGGGGTGAGTTAGATATCCACCTCCCTCACAAGTGGATCGATCTTATCACACACACACACACACACACACACACACACACACACACACCCACATACACACACACACCTGGTCTCGTGATACACCTGTTCTTGACACCTTAATAAAGAGGTAAAGGTTGACCAGGTAACCTCCTCCTCCCTCTCCCCCCCTTGTCCGTCAAGTAGTTGTGTACATAATTGTGGCACCAAGTGCCACCCATTGATTACCATCATGGCACTGTGGGCACCTGACGTCTCGGGGAGAGAGGGAGGTGGAGGTGTCTGGAGTTCATGGAAGGGAAGGAGGAGTAGGGGGGGGAGGAGGGGAAGGAGGGTAGGGGGGGGGAGGAGGGAAGGAGAGGTAGGGGGAGGAGGAGGAAGGAGAGGTAGGGGAGGAGGAGAATGTCTGATACGATCTACAAGGATATTTATGGACACACACAACACACACACACACACACACACACACACACACACACACACACACACACACACACACACGGATAAATCCATACTTGAGAAACACATACTCCCCCCTCCCCCTTTTCCCACCCAGTACACCACAACAGTAATCAATGGAGGTACTGCATAGTGTTTGTACACCTGTCTCACCTGTTACCGCAGTCTGGCTAGTTCACTGTGCACCCCACGCTTGACTTGTGGGCCGTGGGGTAGAAAAATTACAATTACAACTTAAACCTCAGTGATAGACCTACGGTAGTTAGTAAAAAAGACATCTACCAAGACACCACTGACAATGAAACAGACAGACATGGACATAGGAGTATTACAGTACGGCCCAATTCACCTATTGTTTATGTCTTAACTAGAATACTGAAGAGGAAAAAAAAATTATCCTTGTCTGCTCATACTCTGGGTACGATGAGGTGTGGCATGTGTGTGGCGGCATAGTTACCTGGTGTTGTGACGACACACCACCGCATAGCAATGTAGTCACCACACAGACACACAGACACACACACAGACACACACACAGACACACACACACACACACACAATGGACGGTAAGACAAACAGACAGACAGGGAGAGATGCCGCCCAGAATGTCATCATGTTGTATGTGGGTCAATGTCCGCTGTCGACGCCTCTGGTATACTAAATATTACGTTTCTTTACAAATAAACCTAACCTAACCTCACCTAACCTAAACGTAAATTAGATCACTATGTTATAAAATAGCCGGAGTTTAAAGTTTTATGTAGGTAGGTTGACTAAAATAAAGGTGTTCTAGGATACTTAATTGCCACAACATAATCAGGACCCAAGAGGATAAAATGTTATATTCAGTCGGCATTCGTGTACCTGAGTGTCGCTATGCGTGTGTTGTGGGTGCGATTACGAATTCATTACAGGTATGTTGTGTGTGTGCTATTAGTAGTGTACTAAGCGTGATGTGCATTATAGCGTGGTCTGTAATGGAGGTATAAATTATAATGCTGTGTGTGTGTGTGTGTGTGTGTGTGTGTGTGTGTGTGTGTGTGTGTGTGTAATAATAATAATAATAATAATAATAATAATAATAATAATAATAATAATAAACGGTTTATTAATAGAGTTGCAGCCGGTGGCTGAAAATATACAAACCTACATGTGATTTAGACATAATAATATACATTCAATACATTTACAGGGCTGTACAGTACATGAATCAGGAGCTGTTTATTAGTTTACAATAGATGGGATGGTGCTGTTCTTATATCTATCGGTGCGGGCTCTTATGGGCTGAATTTTGTTGTAGTGGCGGATTGCGCAAGGTGGGCGGGGGACTGCCGGTGGCAGTAGGTGGCAATGACGAGGATGGTGCAGTAGCCCACTGCCAAATCATGCTAGTGTGTGGTGGTGGAGGTCACTGAGGGATGGCATTTCCAGGGTGGAGAGCCTGAGTAGTCTGCGCCGAGCATGATTCTGCAGGCCCTCTTCTGTACCTTCTCTAGCTGACATTGTTGGGTTGTGTGTGTGTGTGATACCACTAGCAGCGTACACCCACCTGAGTGCACACTGGCTCGCGCCACTAATTGTAACATTGTCTTCCCCCCGACAGTGGAGAGGGCGTAGGCACCTTAGAACTCTCTGAGGCGAGGGACAACAAGACCACGACCGGCCAACAACATACCACGTCATCCTCAACTCAACAACAGCAGAGCTCATCAAGTGTACAGCAAAGCTCCTTCTCCAGCGTGCAGAGGAGCTCATCCTCGAGTGTACAACAGAGCTCTTCCACGGTCCAAGAGAGCAGCAGCACCCAGCAGCAGCAAGCTTCCTCCACACAGGGAGATCAGCGCGTGAGTTCTTCGTCTCAGAGAACCAAGGAAGAACTAGCGAGGTTCGCCGACACCTTGTCCGTCAAGGACGAGCTCTTCAGTACCCAGGAGAAGCAGCAGCAGCAACAGGGGAGGCTCACCACAAGCGGCGCTCACACTACTACGCAGGATTCAGAGGTAAACTACCCAACACATGTAACCACAACAAATTAACACAGGTAATCTTCGTGACAGGCAATTATAAACAAACTATCGCGGGTAAACTAAACTATCCAATACACTTACTGGTAAACTTCCTAGCACAGGTAATAATAATACGTTAATACAAGCAAAACTCTGTAACATGAGTAATATAAACAAGTTAAAATAATTGTAAACTAAGCAGCACGAACTATACAACACACAGGTAGAGTAGTAATCACAGGTAAACTAAGTATATAATGAAGGTGTTGTGTCTACAGGCAGTGTTGAGGGCCGGGGGAGCCAGCTCGTCACTACGGACCCCGGGGGACGGCGGCGGTGGTCTGACTGGTGAGTGCATACTGTACTTCTCTCTGCCACACACACACACACACACACACACACAGTCTCGATTTATTAATTTTTCATGTTCAAAGTTGTAGTTTCTTTTCCTTTTTTTTTTAATTGTGTGGTTTACATTACCTTTTTTTAATTACTGAATTTTACACCTATGATTTTAGAGTTTTTTTTTTGGGGGGGGGGGCGTGTTTTTGTATGTATTTATTTTCCAAGGTGTTTTTTCCTCTTTAAATTATGTAGAATCATTAATTTAAACTCACTTTGTTGCTTTCATATTTTTTATTAAGTAGCTCATTATATTTTGTCAGTATTACTTCAATGTGGCATAATTTAATCACGTCTTTTGAAATAATTTTTGCACTTTAGATTCATTCAGTTTTTTTTCGTTCATTCATTTTCTCGTTTTTCTCGTCCTTATTCTCGCACCTTTTTATTTATTTCCTTTTGTTTAATTTTCTTTTTGGTTGTTGGTGAAGCAGTAAGCGACTCCTCGTCCCTGGTCGGCCAATATGGCGGCTCCTCCTCCGTCGTGTCCTCCACCTCCCACTCTTCCTCCAGTGCCATCAAGGAGCACACCTCCTCCTCCACCACGGTCAGCTCAAGCAAGATGTCAAGCTCAGACTCACGAGCCAACATGACCGGAACTGTCAGTATCTCCGGCGTCAGCTCTCAAGAATCCGAGAATGTTCACGCGGAAAAAAGTAAACACGTTTCTGAGAGCAAGAGTTTGTCGCAGCAGCAGGACCACACGTCGCAGGTGCAGGAGAGGTCCTCAGAGAGTAGACACCTGCACGAGAGCACCAGGCAGAGTCACGAGAGCAGTTCACACCAACAAAAGGTATCCTCCACCAGTCAACAGCTACTGTCTGAGAGTCAGCAGTTGTCGGAAAGCCAACAAATGTCATCAACGAATCAGCAGATGTCATCAACGAGTCAGCAGCAGATGTCATCAAAGAGTCAGCAGATGTCATCAACGAGTCAGCAGATGTCATCAACGAGTCAGCAGATGTCAGAGAGCAGAGAGATGTCGTCAGTAAGCCAACATCACCAACAGTCGGCATTATCATCATCAGAGGTCCAGCAGTCATTACAGGTGTCACAGAGCGAAGAGTCACACCGCAAGGCTGTCCGGGCCAGCCATGAGTCCAGCACTACAGGTAACGCCAACCATCCTTACACTCAGACACACACAACAGGTGGTAAGTGCCAGGGATAAAGTACCTTAGTGCCAGGGTATAGATATAACCAGTGCTTAACTTGTATTATAAAAAGTGGTGGAACTCTAGTGAACCAGAGACGATGCTGACCGAGCCTCCGGAACTGTGAGGGCCTTGGCACTAATACATCTCCCCAACACACCTCAATTTTTGCACATGGTTAAGCTCAGAGATTCAAAGTTGGAATGATAATGAATTTTAGGTCGATAGACTTATCATAAGCATCTTATTTGCACATATACACAAGTTCCAAACGCAATACTGTGCCATCTTTGAACCCCTGATATGATTCTTTAAAACATGTCATAAAAGTTTCTACAGTTAATTTTACATATCGAAAAATTAAGAAAAATATATACATAGGAAAAAAGTGATTGTTTCTTACTCATGTTACAATGATTTGCAGAGTCTCAAACAACAGCGACACATCACGTCGTTGACAGTAAGGCTCTAAGGACCCACCAGAACGCCTCCACCATAAAACTTGGCGACGACTACTATGGTATGTGTTTACACCCCCCATTCGTTTGTTCTGAGTGAGCGACTATGTTTGCCATTTTAGAAAACATGCAGTCATGTACTGTACAAGGGACACGATATTTGAAACAGGGACAAATAAATATATGACCCATTGAATTCTTGACATAGGAAAATTAGCAGTGTAGGATATTGGAGAGTGAACAGATCAAATAGGATACACTTGGGAGTCCAACACGGATTTATCTAACGCAGATTAGATTATACACGGGACATAAGAAGTCAACGCCTTGTCTTTCATGTTCCGACGTCATTTCACTATGTTAACATGTCTTGGGGGAAAAATAGGAAGCATTCATTTTCAGCATGCCCTTGTATTAGGCCCATTATAACATGGTCACCACATTCTAACTCTGTCTTCATCCTTTACAGGTAAAAGTTCACACAAAGAAGAATTTATGACAGTATCAGGTGAAGTTCTCTCAGCTAAACGACCACAAGATTCCCTGAGGCTTAAGGGAGACCTTTATTATCCAGAAAAGACCTCACCAGGCAAGGGAGACCGAGCTGATGTCAGAAGACCAACTGACAACCTAAGACCAGAAGGTGACTTCTCAGCCCCGGAGAAGGCGTCACCAGGCAAGGGAGACCGAGCTGATGTCAGAAGACCAACTGACAACCTAAGACCAGAAGGTGACTTCTCAGCCCCGGAGAAGACGTCACCAGGCAAGGGAGACCGAGCTGATGTCAGAAGACCATCCGACAACCTGAGAACAGAAGGTGACTTTACTGCTCCAGAGAAGACCAGTCCAGGAAGAGGTGATCGTGTTGATGTAAAGAGACCATCAGACAGTCTAAGACCAGAAGGAGACTTCTCTGTGCCTGATAGAGCTTCCCCAGGTCAAGGCGACAGAGCAGCCGTAAGAAGACCACAGGACAACCTAGCTCCGTCTGGCGATTTTGAAGGTAACGTGGCCATGTACTTGTTGTTTTTTGTTTAAGTTTATTTTTTGCTTAGGGAAAGTAATTTATTTTTAACATAGAAATATAAGACCTTTACTTAGTACATCATACTTCAGCTTCACCCCTCATGGCGACAGCAAAGTGACTGTCTTTTTTAATTATTTTATTATTCAATTAGCCATTAAATGCATGTAAAATGTAAGACTTTTTTAAAACATACTTCCACGCTACACCCATCACTGATATTTATTATTCCACATTATAGGTGTCAGCACCAATAAGAACTACTACAATGTTGTCCAGGGTGACAGGGCAGAAACCAGACATTACCAAGATTCTTTAAGGCTAGATGGTGAGTTCACCGGCGTCACATCTAGCAAGGAGACATATCAGAAACACGAAGCAGTCTCACACTCGGAGCGCATTACACAACAAGACAATATGAAGATCGAGGGTGATATCGAAACCATGAAATCATCCTCTCACTCTGAGTACTATGAGAAATCTGGTGAAAGACCTAAGTTACAGAGGAAAAAGACATGGACTAAACTGGAAGGAGAGATGTATATGAATCGATCCAACGAGGAGTATCAGGAATATCAGCAGTCGGAAAAGACTCACATAACTCGGCATGAAGATAACTTGAAAATGGAAGGAATATTTGAGGGGAAGACTAGGGAAACCTTGCCAATGAAGGGCGATAGAGCACCTGCCAAACGGCATCCAGATAATCTAAAGATAGAGGGAACCTTTGAAGGAAAACCATCAGAAGGTACCCCTCTTGGCGAGAGAGCTCCAATTAAGAAACACCCAGATAATCTAAAGTTGGAAGGCGACTTTGAAGGGAAGCCTGTTGAGGAAACCCCTGTTGGGGAACGTTCGGAGATTAAACGTTACCCAGACAACTTAAAGCTTTCAGGTGAAATCGAACCTCGTCCAGCTGGGGAAGTTCCAATGACTGACAGGGAACAAATGAAAAGATATCCAGACAATTTGCGTATGGAAGGGGAGTTTACAGGACGCTCTCGCAGTCGTAGCCCAGTGAAAGGAGAGCGTCCAACGCAAAAACGCCACCCTGACAATCTCAAGATGGAAGGAACCTTTGAGGGTATGGATAGAAGCAAAAGTCCTACCAAGGGTGAACGTGTATCTCCCAAGAAGCATCCTGATAACTTAAAGGTAGAAGGAGACTTCCTGGGTCGATCGCCCGAGTCTCCACCAAAAGGGGAGCGTGCCGCAATTAAGAAACATCCAGATAATCTGAAGATAGAGGGAGACTTCGAACCAAAACCAAGAGGCCGAAGTCCAGTTAAAGGTGAGCGAGCCAAAACGAAGAAACATCCAGATAATCTCAAACTCCAGGGAGACTTTGAAGGAAAACTTACCGACACTGTACATGTCAAAGGAGAAAGAGCCAAGGTAGTACGCCATGAAGATCAGTTTCATATGGAAGGGGATTTCACTGTCGAAAAAAAAGAAGAGGTTACTTACACAGGAGAAAGAGCTGAAATAAAGCGACATGAAGACTCTTTGAGGATGGAAGGAAGTTTCACAGGCAAAGAATACAAATATCAGCAATTCCAAGGAGACAGAGCTCATGTAGTAAAACATGAAGACAATCTACGGCTGCAGGGCGATTTCTTGGCCCCCGAACACGAAAAAGCTCCTAAAGGAGTAAGAGAGCCAATGAAGAAATATCCAGACAACATCAAATTATCAGGAGACTTCACTGGCAAACCCCGTGAAGATGCTCCACATGGAGAAAGAGCATCAGTTAAGAGACATCCAGACAACCTCCGCATGACTGGAGATTTTCAAGGGAAGGAAGAAGACTACAGGATTATCAAAGGTGAGAGGGTCGAAGTTGTACGGCATCAAGACAACTTACGCATGGAAGGAGAATTTATTGGAAAGGAGTATGAGCAGGTAACAATAGGTGAAAGAGCTTCCGTGAAGAGACACCCCGACAACTTAAAACCCGATGGGGAATTCCATGGCAAACCAAGGGAAGATGCACCTCATGGAGAAAGGGCACCTACAAAAAGGCATCCTGACAACCTTCGCATGACTGGAGAATTCACAGGAAAAGAACAAGATTACAAAATTATTAAAGGTGAAAGAGTTGAGGTAATTAGACGAGAAGATAACCTGCGAGTTGAAGGAGACTTTACTGGAAAACAATATGAGCAAGTGACAATCGGAGAGCGAGCACCTGTAAAGAAACATCCTGACAACCTTCGACCAGGAGGGGACTTTTATGCTCCAAAACCTGGTGAAGCTCCACGAGGAGAACGTGCTCCAGTCAAGAAACATCCAGACAACCTAAGAATGGTTGGAGACTTCGAAGGAAAGCCTCGTGAAGATGCTCCTTATGCAGAGAGAGCTCCTGTCAAGAAACACCCTGACAACCTTCGTATGGAAGGTGACTTCACTGCTCCTACTCATGGAGAAGTTCCACGGGGTGAACGAGCAACGGTGAAGCGACATGCTGATAATCTGCACATGACGGGAGAATTCCAAGGCAAAGAAGAGGAGTACAAAATTATTCGAGGTGAAAGAGTAGAAGTAGTTCGACATGACGACAACTTACGCATGGAAGGAGAATTTATTGGGAAAGAGTATGAACAGGTCACCATTGGTGAAAGAGCAACAATCAAGAAACATGACGACAATCTTCGCATGGTCGGCGATTTCACTGGCAAACCCCGGGAAGAAGCACCACATGCTGAGAGAGCTCCTGTCAAGAAACATCCTGACAATCTTCGTATGGATGGAGATTTCTATGCTCCTAAGCCTGGAGAGGCTCCCAGAGGAGAACGAGCTCCTGTTAAGAAACATCCAGACAACCTAAGAATGGTTGGAGACTTTGGAGGCAAGCCTCGTGAAGATGCTCCTTATGCAGAGAGAGCTCCTGTCAAGAAACATCCTGACAATCTCCGCATGGATGGAGATTTCTATGCACCAAAACCAGGAGAAGTACCACGTGGAGAACGAGCACCTACCAAGAAACACCCAGACAATCTTAAAATGGTTGGAGACTTCGAAGGCAAGCCTCGAGAAGATGCTCCTTATGCAGAGAGAGCTCCTGTCAAGAAACACCCTGACAACCTTCGCATGGATGGAGATTTCTATGCTCCTAAGCCTGGAGAGGCTCCCAGAGGAGAACGAGCTCCTGTTAAGAAACATCCAGACAACCTAAGAATGGTTGGAGACTTTGGAGGCAAGCCTCGTGAAGATGCTCCTTATGCAGAGAGAGCTCCTGTCAAGAAACATCCAGATAATCTTCGTATGGAAGGTGACTTCACTGCTCCTACTCATGGAGAAGTTCCACGGGGTGAACGAGCAACGGTGAAGCGACATGCTGATAATCTGCACATGACGGGAGAATTCCAAGGCAAAGAAGAGGAGTACAAAATTATTCGAGGTGAAAGAGTAGAAGTAGTTCGACATGACGACAACTTACGCATGGAAGGAGAATTTATTGGGAAAGAGTATGAACAGGTCACCATTGGTGAAAGAGCAAAAATCAAGAAACATGAAGACAATCTTCGCATGGTCGGCGATTTCACTGGCAAACCCCGGGAAGAAGCACCACATGCTGAGAGAGCTCCTGTCAAGAAACATCCTGACAATCTTCGTATGGATGGAGATTTCTATGCACCAAAACCAGGAGAAGTACCACGTGGAGAACGAGCACCTACCAAGAAACACCCAGACAATCTCAAAATGGTTGGAGACTTCGAAGGCAAGCCTCGAGAAGATGCTCCTTATGCAGAGAGAGCTCCTGTCAAGAAGCACCCTGACAACCTTCGCATGGATGGAGACTTCGAAGGCAAGCCTCGAGAACATGCTCCTTATGCAGAGAGAGCCCCTGTCAAGAAACATCCCGACAACCTTCGCATGGATGGAGATTTCTATGCACCAAAACCAGGAGAAGTACCACGTGGAGAACGAGCACCCACCAAGAAACACCCAGACAATCTTAAAATGGTTGGTGACTTTGAAGGCAAGCCTCGAGAAGATGCTCCTTATGCAGAGAGAGCTCCTGTCAAGAAACACCCTGACAACCTTCGTATGGAAGGTGACTTCACTGCTCCTACTCATGGAGAAGTTCCACGGGGTGAACGAGCAACGGTGAAGCGACATGCTGATAATCTGCACATGACGGGAGAATTCCAAGGCAAAGAAGAGGAGTACAAAATTATTCGAGGTGAAAGAGTAGAAGTAGTTCGACATGACGACAACTTACGCATGGAAGGAGAATTTATTGGGAAAGAGTATGAACAGGTCACCATTGGTGAAAGAGCAACAATCAAGAAACATGAAGACAATCTTCGCATGGTCGGCGATTTCACTGGCAAACCCCGGGAAGAAGCACCACATGCTGAGAGAGCTCCTGGCAAGAAACATCCCGACAACCTTCGTATGGATGGAGATTTCTATGCACCAAAACCAGGAGAAGTACCACGTGGAGAACGAGCACCTATCAAGAAACACCCAGACAATCTCAAAATGGTTGGAGACTTCGAAGGCAAGCCTCGAGAAGATGCTCCTTATGCAGAGAGAGCTCCTGTCAAAAAGCACCCTGACAACCTTCGCATGGATGGAGACTTCGAAGGCAAGCCTCGAGAACATGCTCCTTATGCAGAGAGAGCCCCTGTCAAGAAACATCCCGACAACCTTCGCATGGATGGAGATTTCTATGCACCAAAACCAGGAGAAGTACCACGTGGAGAACGAGCACCTACCAAGAAACACCCAGACAATCTCAAAATGGTTGGAGACTTCGAAGGCAAGCCTCGAGAAGATGCTCCTTATGCAGAGAGAGCTCCTGTCAAGAAACACCCTGACAACCTTCGCATGGATGGAGAATTCGAAGGCAAGCCTCGAGAAGATGCTCCTTATGCAGAGAGAGCTCCTGTCAAGAAACACCCTGACAACCTTCGCATGGATGGAGATTTCTATGCTCCAAAGCCTGGAGAGGCTCCCAGAGGAGAACGAGCTCCTGTTAAGAAACATCCAGACAACCTAAGAATGGTTGGAGACTTCGAAGGCAAGCCTCGAGAAGATGCTCCTTATGCAGAGAGAGCTCCTGTCAAGAAGCACCCTGACAACCTTCGCATGGATGGAGACTTCGAAGGCAAGCCTCGAGAAGATGCTCCTTATGCAGAGAGAGCCCCTGTCAAGAAACATCCTGACAACCTTCGCATGGATGGAGATTTCTATGCACCAAAACCAGGAGAAGTACCACGTGGAGAACGAGCACCCACCAAGAAACACCCAGACAATCTTAAAATGGTTGGTGACTTTGAAGGCAAGCCTCGAGAAGATGCTCCTTATGCAGAGAGAGCTCCTGTCAAGAAACACCCTGACAACCTTCGTATGGAAGGTGACTTCACTGCTCCTACTCATGGAGAAGTTCCACGGGGTGAACGAGCAACGGTGAAGCGACATGCTGATAATCTGCACATGACGGGAGAATTCCAAGGCAAAGAAGAGGAGTACAAAATTATTCGAGGTGAAAGAGTAGAAGTAGTTCGACATGACGACAACTTACGCATGGAAGGAGAATTTATTGGGAAAGAGTATGAACAGGTCACCATTGGTGAAAGAGCAACAATCAAGAAACATGAAGACAATCTTCGCATGGTCGGCGATTTCACTGGCAAACCCCGGGAAGAAGCACCACATGCAGAGAGAGCTCCTGTCAAGAAACATCCTGACAATCTTCAAATGAATGGAGAATTTTATGCACCAAAACCAACAAAAGCTCCAAGAGGGGAACGTGCTCCAACTAAGAAACACCCAGACAACTTAATCATGGATGGTGATTTTGAGGGAAGACCTCGTGAAGATGCTCCACATGCTGAGAGAGCTACTGTCAAGAAACACCCTGACAACCTTCAAATGGATGGGGATTTCTATGCTCCTACACCTGGTGATGCTCCAAGAGGCGAACGTGCTCCTATCAAGAAACATCCAGACAACCTTAGGATGGCTGGTGACTTCGAAGGAAGGCCTCGAGAAGATGCTCCTCATGCAGAGAGAGCTACTGTCAAGAAACACCCTGACAACCTTCGAATGGATGGAGATTTCTATGCTCCTACATCTGGTGATGCTCCAAGAGGCGAACGAGCTCCTATTAAGAAACATCCAGACAACCTTAGGATGGCTGGTGACTTCGAAGGAAGGCCTCGAGAAGATGCTCCTCATGCAGAGAGAGCTACTGTCAAGAAACACCCTGACAACCTTCGAATGGATGGAGATTTCTATGCTCCTACACCTGGGGATGCTCCAAGAGGCGAACGAGCTCCTATTAAGAAACATCCAGACAACCTTAGGATGGCTGGTGACTTCGAAGGAAGGCCTCGAGAAGATGCTCCTCATGCAGAGAGAGCCCCTGTCAAGAAACACCCTGACAACCTTCGAATGGATGGAGATTTCTATGCTCCTAAACCTGGAGAAGCTCCACGAGGCGATAGGGCACCAGTCAAGAAACATCCAGACAATCTGAAAATGGTTGGAGACTTTGAAGGCAGGCCTCGCGAAGGTGCTCCCGTTTCGGAAAGAGTCAAAGGAAAGAAGCACCCTGACAACCTACAGATGGAGGGTGACTTCATTGCTCCTACACATGAAGAGGCTCCACGAGGTGAGCGAGCATCTGTCAAACGACATGTTGATAATCTTCACATGACTGGAGAATTCCAAGGAAAAGAAGAAGAATATAGAGTTGTCCGGGGAGAAAGAGTTGATGTGATTCGAAGAGAAGACAATCTAAGGATGGAGGGAGAATTCATTGGAAAAGAATATGAGCAAGTTACCATCGGAGAAAGAGCTCCTATTAAGAAGCATCCAGACAATCTTCGTATGGTTGGTGATTTCACTGGAAAACCACATGAAGAAGCTCCTCATGCTGAGAGAGCTCCTGTCAAGAAACACCCTGACAACCTTCGAATGGATGGAGATTTCTATGCACCAAAACCAGGAGAGGCTCCAAGAGGCGAACGTGCTCCAGTTAAGAAACATCCAGACAACCTAAGAATGGCTGGTGACTTCGAAGGAAAGCCTCGAGAAGATGCGCCATATGCAGAGAGAGCCCCTGTCAAGAAACACCCTGACAACCTTAGAATGGATGGAGATTTCTATGCTCCTACACCTGGTGATGCTCCAAGAGGCGAACGTGCTCCTATAAAGAAACATCCAGACAACCTTAGGATGGCTGGTGACTTCGAAGGAAAGCCCCGAGAAGATGCCCCATATGCAGAGAGAGCCCCTGTCAAGAAACACCCTGACAACCTTCGAATGGATGGAGATTTCTATGCTCCTACACCTGGTGATGCTCCAAGAGGCGAACGTGCTCCTATAAAGAAACATCCAGACAACCTTAGGATGGCTGGTGACTTCGAAGGAAAGCCCCGAGAAGATGCCCCATATGCAGAGAGAGCCCCTGTCAAGAAACACCCTGACAACCTTCGAATGGATGGAGATTTCTATGCTCCTACACCTGGTGATGCTCCAAGAGGCGAACGTGCTCCTATCAAGAAACATCCAGACAACCTTAGGATGGCTGGTGACTTCGAAGGAAAGCCTCGAGAAGATGCTCCATATGCAGAGAGAGCCCCTGTCAAGAAACACCCTGACAACCTTCGAATGGATGGAGATTTCTATGCTCCTACACCTGGAGAGGCTCCACGAGGCGAACGAGCTCCTATCAAGAAACATCCAGACAACCTTAGGATGGCTGGTGACTTCGAAGGAAAGCCTCGAGGAGATGCTCCATATGCAGAGAGAGCCCCTGTCAAGAAACACCCTGACAACCTTCGAATGGATGGAGATTTCTATGCTCCTACACCTGGGGATGCTCCAAGAGGCGAACGAGCTCCTATCAAGAAACATCCAGACAACCTTAGGATGGCTGGTGACTTCGAAGGAAAGCCTCGAGAAGATGCTCCTTATGCTGAGAGAGCACCTGTCAAGAAACACCCTGACAACCTTCGAATGGATGGAGATTTCTATGCTCCTACACCTGGTGATGCTCCAAGAGGCGATAGGGCACCGGTCAAGAAACATCCAGACAATCTGAAAATGGTTGGAGACTTTGAAGGCAGGCCTCGCGAAGGTGCTCCCGTTTCGGAAAGAGTCAAAGGAAAGAAGCACCCAGACAACCTACAGATGGAGGGTGACTTCATTGCTCCTACACATGAAAAGGCTCCACGAGGTGAGCGAGCATCTGTCAAACGACATGTTGATAATCTTCACATGACTGGAGAATTCCAAGGAAAAGAAGAAGAATATAGAGTTGTCCGGGGAGAAAGAGTTGATGTGATTCGAAGAGAAGACAATCTAAGGATGGAGGGAGAATTCATTGGAAAAGAATATGAGCAAGTTACCATCGGAGAAAGAGCTCCTATTAAGAAGCATCCAGACAATCTTCGTATGGTTGGTGATTTCACTGGAAAACCACATGAAGAAGCTCCTCATGCTGAGAGAGCTCCTGTCAAGAAACACTGACAACCTTCGAATGGATGGAGATTTCTATGCACCAAAACCAGGAGAGGCTCCAAGAGGCGAACGTGCTCCAGTTAAGAAACATCCAGACAACCTAAGAATGGCTGGTGACTTCGAAGGAAAGCCTCGAGAAGATGCGCCATATGCAGAGAGAGCCCCTGTCAAGAAACACCCTGACAACCTTAGAATGGATGGAGATTTCTATGCTCCTACACCTGGTGATGCTCCAAGAGGCGAACGTGCTCCTATCAAGAAACATCCAGACAACCTTAGGATGGCTGGTGACTTCGAAGGAAAGCCCTCGAGAAGATGCTCCATATGCAGAGAGAGCCCCTGTCAAGAAACACCCTGACAACCTTAGAATGGATGGAGATTTCTATGCTCCTACACCTGGTGATGCTCCAAGAGGCGAACGTGCTCCTATCAAGAAACATCCAGACAACCTTAGGATGGCTGGTGACTTCGAAGGAAAGCCTCGAGAAGATGCTCCATATGCAGAGAGAGCCCCTGTCAAGAAACACCCTGACAACCTTCGTATGGATGGAGATTTCTATGCACCAAAACCAGGAGAGGCTCCAAGAGGCGAACGTGCTCCAGTTAAGAAACATCCAGACAACCTTAGGATGGCTGGTGACTTCGAAGGAAAGCCAAGAGAGGATGCTCCATATGCAGAGAGAGCCCCTGTCAAGAAACACCCTGATAACCTTCGTATGGATGGAGATTTCTATGCTCCTACACCTGGTGATGCTCCAAGAGGCGAACGAGCTCCTATCAAGAAACATCCCGACAACCTTAGGATGGCTGGTGACTTCGAAGGAAGGCCTCGAGAAGATGCTCCTTATGCTCAGAGAGCTCCTGTCAAGAAACACCCTGACAACCTTCGAATGGATGGAGATTTCTATGCTCCTACACCTGGAGAGGCTCCACGAGGCGATAGGGCACCAGTCAAGAAACATCCAGACAATCTGAAAATGGTTGGAGACTTTGAAGGCAGGCCTCGCGAAGGTGCTCCCGTTTCGGAAAGAGTCAAAGGAAAGAAGCACCCAGACAACCTACAGATGGAGGGTGACTTCATTGCTCCTACACATGAAGAGGCTCCACGAGGTGAGCGAGCATCTGTCAAACGACATGTTGATAATCTTCACATGACTGGAGAATTCCAAGGAAAAGAAGAAGAATATAGAGTTGTCCGGGGAGAAAGAGTTGATGTGATTCGAAGAGAAGACAATCTAAGGATGGAGGGAGAATTCATTGGAAAAGAATATGAGCAAGTTACCATCGGAGAAAGAGCTCCTATTAAGAAGCATCCAGACAATCTTCGTATGGTTGGTGATTTCACTGGAAAACCACATGAAGAAGCTCCTCATGCTGAGAGAGCTCCTGTCAAGAAACACCCTGACAACCTTCGAATGGATGGAGATTTCTATGCACCAAAACCAGGAGAGGCTCCAAGAGGCGAACGTGCTCCAGTTAAGAAACATCCAGACAACCTAAGAATGGCTGGTGACTTCGAAGGAAAGCCTCGAGAAGATGCGCCATATGCAGAGAGAGCTCCTGTCAAGAAACACCCTGACAACCTTCGAATGGATGGAGATTTCTATGCTCCTACACCTGGTGATGCTCCAAGAGGCGAACGTGCTCCTATCAAGAAACATCCAGACAACCTTAGGATGGCTGGTGACTTCGAAGGAAGGCCTCGAGAAGATGCTCCTCATGCTGAGAGAGCTCCTCTCAAGAAACACCCTGACAACCTTCGAATGGATGGAGATTTCTATGCTCCTACACCTGGTGATGCTCCAAGAGGCGAACGTGCTCCTACCAAGAAACACCCAGATAACCTTAGGATGGCTGGTGACTTCGAAGGAAAACCCCGAGAAGATGCTCCTTATGCAGAGAGAGCTCCTGTCAAGAAACACCCTGACAACCTTAGAATGGATGGAGATTTCTATGCTCCTACACCTGGTGATGCTCCAAGAGGCGAACGTGCTCCTATCAAGAAACATCCAGACAACCTTAGGATGGCTGGTGACTTCGAAGGAAGGCCTCGAGAAGATGCTCCTTATGCAGAGAGAGCTCCTGTCAAGAAACACCCTGACAACCTTAGAATGGATGGAGATTTCTATGCTCCTACACCTGGTGATGCTCCAAGAGGCGAACGTGCTCCTATCAAGAAACATCCAGACAACCTTAGGATGGCTGGTGACTTCGAAGGAAAGCCTCGAGAAGATGCTCCATATGCTGAGAGAGCTCCTGTCAAGAAACACCCTGACAACCTGCGAATGGATGGAGATTTCTATGCTCCTACACCTGGAGAGGCTCCACGAGGCGATAGGGCACCAGTCAAGAAACATCCAGACAATCTGAAAATGGTTGGAGACTTTGAAGGCAGGCCTCGCGAAGGTGCTCCTTATGCAGAGAGAGCCCCTGTCAAGAAACACCCTGACAACCTTCGAATGGATGGAGATTTCTATGCTCCTACACCTGGAGAGGCTCCACGAGGCGATAGGGCACCAGTCAAGAAACATCCAGACAATCTGAAAATGGTTGGAGACTTTGAAGGCAGGCCTCGCGAAGGTGCTCCCGTTTCGGAAAGAGTCAAAGGAAAGAAGCACCCTGACAACCTACAGATGGAGGGTGACTTCATTGCTCCTACACATGAAGAGGCTCCACGAGGTGAGCGAGCATCTGTCAAACGACATGTTGATAATCTTCACATGACTGGAGAATTCCAAGGAAAAGAAGAAGAATATAGAGTTGTCCGTGGAGAAAGAGTTGATGTGATTCGAAGAGAAGACAATCTAAGGATGGAGGGAGAATTCATTGGAAAAGAATATGAGCAAGTTACCATCGGAGAAAGAGCTCCTATTAAGAAGCATCCAGACAATCTTCGTATGGTTGGTGATTTCACTGGAAAACCACATGAAGAAGCTCCTCATGCTGAGAGAGCTCCTGTCAAGAAACACCCTGACAACCTTCGAATGGATGGAGATTTCTATGCACCAAAACCAGGAGAGGCTCCAAGAGGCGAACGTGCTCCAGTTAAGAAACATCCAGACAACCTAAGAATGGCTGGTGACTTTGAAGGAAAGCCTCGAGAAGATGCTCCTTATGCTGAGAGAGCTCCTGTCAAGAAACACCCTGACAACCTTCGAATGGATGGAGATTTCTATGCTCCTACACCTGGTGATGCTCCAAGAGGCGAACGTGCTCCTATCAAGAAACACCCAGACAACCTTAGGATGGCTGGTGACTTCGAAGGAAAGCCTCGAGAAGATGCTCCATATGCAGAGAGAGCCCCTGTCAAGAAACATCCGGATAATCTTCGCATGGACGGAGATTTCTATGCTCCTAAGCCTGGAGAGGCTCCAAAAGGAGAACGAGCTCCTGTTCAGAAACACCCTGACAACCTTCGAATGGATGGGGATTTCTATGCTCCTACACCTGGTGATGCTCCAAGAGGCGAACGTGCTCCTATCAAGAAACATCCAGACAACCTTAGGATGGCTGGTGACTTCGAAGGAAAGCCCCGAGAAGATGCTCCTTATGCAGAGAGAGCTCCTGTCAAGAAACACCCTGACAACCTTCGAATGGATGGAGATTTCTATGCTCCTACATCTGGTGATGCTCCAAGAGGCGAACGTGCTCCTATCAAGAAGCATCCAGACAACCTTAGGATGGCTGGTGACTTCGAAGGAAAGCCAAGAGAGGATGCCCCATATGCTGAGAGAGCCCCTGTCAAGAAACACCCTGACAACCTTCGAATGGATGGAGATTTCTATGCTCCTACACCTGGTGATGCTCCAAGAGGCGAACGTGCTCCTATCAAGAAACATCCAGACAACCTTAGGATGGCTGGTGACTTCGAAGGAAAGCCAAGAGAGGATGCCCCATATGCTGAGAGAGCCCCTGTCAAAAAGCATCCTGATAACCTTCGTATGGATGGAGATTTCTATGCTCCTACACTTGGAGAGGCCCCAAGAGGAGAACGAGCTCCTGTTCAGAAACATCCAGACAACCTAAGAATGGTTGGAGACTTTGAAGGAAAGCCTCGAGAAGATGCTCCTTATGCAGAGAGAGCCCCTGTCAAGAAACATCCGGATAATCTTCGCATGGACGGAGATTTCTATGCTCCTAAGCCAGGAGAGGCTCCAAGAGGCGAACGTGCTCCGGTTAAGAAACACCCAGACAATCTTAGGATGGATGGAGATTTCGAAGGAAAGCCTCGTGAAGATGCTCCTTACGCAGACAGAGCTCCTGTCAAGAAACACCCTGACAACCTTCGAATGGATGGAGATTTCTATGCTCCTAAGCCTGGAGATGCACCTCGTGCAGAACGTGCCCCCATAAAAAGACATGATGATAATCTTCGGATGACAGGAGAATTCCATGGAAAAGAAGAAGAGTACCGGGTAGTTCGAGGAGAGAGGGTTGATGTCGTTCGACGTGAAGATAATCTACGAATGGAGGGAGAGTTTATTGGTAAGGAATATGAACAAGTTACAAAAGGTGAGAGAGTCGATATCAAGAAGCACTCGGACAACCTTCGTATGGATGGCAAATTCTATGCACCAACACCAGAGGATGCCCCACGTGGTGAACGCGCTCCAGTGAAGAAACATCCTGATCATTTGAAGCCTGAAGGAGAATGGGTGGGCCAGTCAAGTACACACTATGATTATCCAGTAGTGTCTGGAGTCCGGAGTGAGGTTCACCGCCAAACTGATAATTTAAGACAGGAAGGAGAATTTGCTGGGAAGACACAGTTTACTGATGATTATCAACTCTATCAAGTACAACGAGCCCAAACTGTAAAGCATTCTGATAATCTCACGGTTGAGGGAAAATACCATCTTGACACCCTCCAAAAAGATGAATATAAAATCCATAAAGGAGTTCGAGCTGAAATTAAGAAACACAGCGATAACCTGCACATGGAGGGCGAGTTTACTGGACGTCGTCATGAACTAAGCCACGTGAAGGGAGAACGTGCTCCTGTTGTTCACCATCCTGACCATCTGCGTACAGATGGAGAATTCGAAGGAAAACCTACGGAAGAAGCCCCTCGTGGGGAACGCGCACCCATAAAGAAACACCCTGACAATCTTAAAATGGAAGGTACCTTTGAAGGAAAACCCCATGATAGCCCCTTGAAAGGTGAGCGTGCTACAGTTAAGAAACATGAAGATACATTAAGGATGGAGGGAACGTTTGAAGGACGTAGAAAGTCTGCCGCCATCAGGGGTGAGCGAGCCGACGTGAAGAAGCATTCTGACAATCTTCGAATGGAAGGCGACATGACCTTTACCCGTGAAGAGGCAGCCATCAGAGGTGAGAGAGCTGAAATCTCTAAACATGCCGACAATCTAAGAATGGAAGGTGAGATGGAAATCACAAAAACATCCTTTGCTACTAAAGGTGAAAGAGTAACTGTACAGAAACATGAGGACTCTCTGAAACTTGAAGGGGATATGTTAATTACCAAAACAGAAATGGCAACGAAGGGAGAAAGGGCAGAAATCAAGAAACACAAAGACCACTTGAAAACTGAAGGAGACTTTGAAGGGAAGAAGAAAACTCTTGTACAGAAAGGAGAAAGAGCAGAAATTAAGAAGCAAAAAGATAACTTGAGAATGGAAGGAGACCTAAGCATCGAGAAGAAGACATCAGTAATCAAGGGAGAGCGAGCTGCCATTAAGAAGCATGAAGATTCACTGAAGATGGAAGGCAAATTTGAAGGCAGAAGAAAGTCTGCAGCATTTGGTAAAGGGGATAGAGCAGATGTGAAGAAACCTAAGGACAACCTTAAACAAGAGGGAGAATTCAATGCAACTCGTAAGACCTCAATTGTAAAGGGCGAAAGAGCTGAAATTAAGAAACATGAGGACAACTTAAAGATGGAAGGAACACTGAATGTTTCTAAGGAGACTACAGTTATTTCAAGAGGAGAACGAGCAGAAATAAAGAAGCATGAAGACCATTTGAAGATGGAGGGTAGTTTTGAGGGAAGAAGGAAGAGTGCTGCAACATTTAGAGGAGAACGTGTTGAAATTAAGAAGCAAGAAGATAATCTAAAGATGGAAGGGAAGTTTGAAGTTTTCCAAAGAACTAGTACCCCTGCTAAAGATGGCGTAAAGAGAACTGAAACATTCAAAGTGAAAGGAGAAAGAGCACAAATAAAGAAATACGAAGACAATTTAAAGATGGAGGGTGAATTCTACAGTCAGTCACCAGATGTTAGTCCAATCAAGGGAGACCGAGCAGATGTGAAGAAACCAAAAGACAATCTTTCAGTCAGTGGCAAGTTTGATGGACGACCTAAAGATTTACCAGGAGTAGGAGAACGGCCACCACCTTACAAATATGATGACAACCTAAAAATGGAAGGTGACTTTGAAGGTAAAAGAAAAGCCTCACCAGGAAAAGGTGAACGTTTGCCTCAAAATAGACATCCAGATAACCTCACACTGGAAGGCGATATTTCTGGACGCTCCTTGGACAGCCCTGGAGTAGGTGAGCGACTCCCTCAAAAACGGTACCCAGACAATCTAAAAATGGAGGGCAGTTTCGAAGGGAAGGCAAGAGGAAGTCCTGGACCTGGTGACCATCTTCCACAGAAACGTTATCCTGATAATCTCAAAATGGAAGGTGACTTCGAGGGGCGACGCCCATCTTCTCCAGGTAAAGGAGATCGATTTTCACCAACTAAGCATGGAGACAATCTGAGACTTGAAGGGGAGTTCACTGGATCAAGAAGAGAAAGCAGAGAAAGCAGCATCTCGAACGGAAAGACAGAAGTTCTACAAACTAAAGACACTGCTGTTGCCGGAAGTACCGCAAAGACCCGACGTGATACAGTCGTACTGAAATCCGGAGAATCAATTGCTACTCGAACAGAGGAATCAAAATCTCTTCAAAAGTCCAGCTCAGACAAAAAAGACGTGAGCTCAAACAGAGATGTACAGACAGTTGAGTCTTATACTGCTGATGGCCGAAAAGTCACAAGAGTCATTACCAAAGAAAGTCGAGAGACTAAGTCAGCCTCACGTGCCGAGTCTAGAGCTACGAGTGTGAAGACGAGTACCGAACAGAGAAAGATCTCTTCTGCTGAAGCCAAAATTGAGTCCTCGGGTAGTGTCGAGACCCAAGCAACAAGTAAGACAGTGAAGGGAAGATCTCCTCAACCAGTAACTTCCCCCACCACTCCTACAGGACGCTCTCGACATAACCAGTCCTCCTTCTCCCTTAGTGACGACACCAGTGTCATGGAAAGTAGAACACGTTCCAGTGCTGTTCAAAAGTCATCTTCCAGTAGTCAAATTAGTCTAGATCAAAAACAAGAATCTTCAACCTCCACAAGAGAGATGGCATCTTCCCTTCGCCAAGCTGACGCCTTGGATCTTCGTGGAAGCAACAAAACCGAGACAACACACGGTGTAAGTCACTCGGCACATATAGCTGGCAACAGTCAGGAAGAATACCGCAAATGGTCTGCTAATCATCAGCAGAGTGAACAGCGACGAGCGTCCAGCAGCACCAGCCGGACGGAGCAGCGAGTAAATCGAGGGCAAGGTAACTCATCCTCCATCACCTTCCACTCAGAGTACGACCCTTGGAGAGACGCCACCATCACTCGGCGAGGCGAGTGGCAGATAGTGACGCCATGCCCAGCCTCTCTCCTTGAGACCCGCGCCTCCAACTACAAGGCCTCCAATTCCGGAAAAGACCACAAATTTTATCTCCCGATAGTTGAGTGAATAACCGATTATGTATACAGGACTTGACATAACCTCCTTATAATAGTGACAACTCAGTATATTTTTTTTTTCTGATGACCAAGAAGGTCTTGCATATAATCTTTGTTATGCACAGTAATGCTCACTTTAACCTGTGATGTTGACCGCCTTATGACCGACTCCAATGTTTAGACAATATAAGCTTCAAACTGTGATGACTTCAATAAGAAACTTTATTATAACTACTCAGCTATATTTAAGACAGCTGTTTATAATATTAGTGTAGCTCCTATTACAGAATGACATCACAAAACTCATTTCCTATTTTTGTATAATCTTGACTAAGAATGTAATTTTCTAATCAAAAGAGTATGAAGACAGTAACACCTGCTTCTATATTAATTATGGCTTTGTGATTGAAAGGGATATATTTTGTTCACATTAGTATTAAGTGGTAAGGCAGCGTTATTGATCTGCTCTTGCTTGTTAAGATCGGGGACATCTCTTAACAAGTGAAAGTAGATGACAGCTGCTGGTGCGCCTCTGTCCCCGGCCAGGCCCAGCTCGGCCCAAGACAGATGGCGCGGCCCTGGCACGTTGTGACCGGCCGACTCAGCCTGTGGCCCAGCGTAGCCCAGAGTACCTATGCTACTCGTGGCTACAGCTTTCTCAAATGGTGCTTGGTTGTGTAATTTACATTTTTTTTACTTAAAGATATGTGCATCTATGCATTTAAAGCATTTTAAGAAACTATATATGAATCTGATGTTTAATATTTTCCTACGAATGTATGGTTTATTTGAGAGAATAATTGACTATGTTAGGTGACTTTCTTTATGTTGGAGCTCGACGCCAGAGTCGAGCTCCCAGTTTGTTGGTGCCATAAGTTAGCTGGGAGGCGAGGAGAGTGCCTCGCCGCCATCGAGTGCTCACAACAGCAACGGCCACAATACCCAAGCTTGTGACAAGGCAATAAATTTCAATTTATTGATCCTGAGTCTGTTTATATGCCATGGGGAAAAAACCTACTCATTCTCTTAGATAACACTGATCCCTGAAGGTCATATTTCTCCTACACACAAACACACACACACACGCACTAGCACACACAAACACACAGTTCTGCTTGCACATATCCGCGTGTGTTTTACAATTCTTCTTGCACACTTTAACGGTTCCTTTACCCGTCACGGACTCTGATGAAAATCACTTAACGTGTATGAACAGCTGCTGATTACTGCATTCGTTCATAAATTCACAAAAGTGACCATAGATAAGGAGACACAAGCAAGGAGCACTGAAGGGTTACTGGAAGGCAAAATGAACCTTATGAAAGCTCCTGCACATCCTGACTCCTTAAACATGGCTCATTAGTCTGTGAGTTTTTACAGTGTGGATTATATTCAACGATTCTTTCCCATTTTTCTTTTGGTTTGTTTAGCCTCTTCAAGTCTTGGGTTTATTTCTTATAGTTTTGTTGGTCTCACTCAGCTAAGAAGCATCGCTTTATGCAATGTGCACACTGGAGGTTGCTTCTTTTGTGCTTCATGTTATCACGATGTAATATGTATAAAATAATTAAGATGTGATATTACAGTTAGCCCAAAAATAAAATGCTCGCTTGTTCCTCCCTCGTCTGCTTAAGTACCTATGTCTTACCTCAGCCATAGTAGATAGCCATTTTTTTTAATTATTTATTGTTTGCATTTATTTTTTGTTTATTGGCATGGCTATGATCACTAATAAAACGCTTTGTATTAGAAGAGTAAACTCAACTCCACACCTTACATCTTAATCTCAGATCGGACGTTATATGACTTCGACTAAGGGTTCTGAAACACGCGTCTGATGCTTCTGAAACAACGAGGCTTATGGTTCTGAAATAAGAGGCTTATAGTTTTGAAACAACGAAAATAATGGTTCTGAAACAAGAGGCTTATGGATTTGAAACAAAAAGGCTGGTGGTTTTGAAACAAGAGGCTTGTGGTTTTGAAACACAAGGCTAATAGTTCTGAAACACGAAACAAATAGCTCTGAAACGAGACAAATAGCTCTGAAACACGAGACAAATAGCTCTGAAACACGAGACAAATAGCTCTGAAACACGAAACAAATGGCTCTGAAACGCGAGACAAATAGCTCTGAAACACGAGACAAATAACTCTGAAGCACGAGACATATGGCTCTGAAACGCGAGACAAATAGCTCTGAAACGCGAGACAAATAGCTCTGAAACACGAAACAAATAGCTCTGAAACATGAGGCTAATAGTTCTGAAACAACGAGAATTATTAGTTTGAAACACAACGAGAGTAATGAATTTGAAAAAGCAAAGTAATGGTAACTGTGGAGGTTAGTATCAAGGCCCTTTCCCGTCACAGTGGTTGAGGTGTGGTGCTCATCTTTCTGTGCACCCACAACGAACCAGCCATACCTATCCTATCTACTTAACTTTACCTAACTCAACCCTATTTCAAGATTTGGTTAGGTTGTTAGGTTAGGTTTGCTCGTTTAAACTGTTTCAAAAGATTTAGGATAACTTGATGCATAGGAAATAATCATACGACCGTTGTAGAAAAATCGCCAAATAATGGGTTAAATTGACCACACTATTATCCTGTGCTAATAATAACAAAATACGGTAAGTTGGGGTAAATAATAGCTACCGAACACTTACTTCCAGGAATCAATGAAAAACTCCACACAAAAGACTTTCACAGGAAACAGCACCAATACACAAGTATGAAATTTATTAAATTATTTACATTATGAAGTTGGTATTAGCTACCTCACTACTTCTCTTGGCTTGTATTTTTTCTTTTCCCCTGATACTACAATGTATCGCTGTGCTTCAAACACTAAGGTCTTTAAGTATAGAACTGTATAGGTGAGTATTAACAATAGTCATCATCAAGTAAAATTTTAGATACATCTGATTTTTTCCTTTTCTGTTTGGACAAAGTGTTAACGTTCTCTTTGAGTTCTAAGATGATATTTTTTCATTCAGTTATTTCTATTGTATTGAGGTACTATGAAGAGTAATCGCATCTCCAACATGATCTTGTTATGTCTCCAATGACGATTTCTTATTGTTTTACGGGTCATGGCGACGACCCTCAGAAATATCGTCCACCATATATTCGTAGTTTGTATATACTACACCTATCAGCGATTGACACTATATGACCAAACAAATCTTGCCATAACTATAACACAACACTACACAAGAAAATGTGTTCAAAAGACAAGACTTATTATACTGCACATAATCTGTATTCTGATAACAGCACAGCTCAGAAATAGCTAGTATACGCTCCTCATATAAAGTAACATAAACAGTTCAACACATATTCTTACACGTGTATCCTAACATGTGTCTTATACAAAATGCCTCTCTCAGCTGTATCTTAACTAGGCTATTGTATCCTGGGTGTATCCTAGCTCCAAACATTAACAAAGATCCCGTCAAAAATTATATAGATCGGTGACCTGATCATTACCACACTCCTGATCAGTGATCATGTCTTTCCTTACGTCTGCAAAAGTTTTTCTTGGTTATAAAATATTCCCAGGCAATGACTTTAAGTACTCATCATACTATCTATACACATACCTTGACTGTAGCAGTTATTCCATCCTAGGTAGATGTTGTTCATCTATCCGTAACTCAAGACACAACAAACTGTTTTTCATTTTATATTTACATGTCTTTCACATAGATGCCGGATAGTCTAGTCTACACATATTAAAATTTCATATGCATATTTCCTGTAAGTTATAGCTTCACTAAGTATATGTTCCTGGACACAAGATCTAGCTACTCTGTAATTTTTTTGACTTCTCTGTGAGTACATGTGTTGGATATCACCATAAATACAATAACACTAAAGCAGTTCTACATTCCTGCAACTCTACTCTCGGGAAGACAAACATGACGTCACACTAAAGACCGTTTAGCTGGATGCAAATTATCGTTTATCATTTGATCTTCAGTATGTTATATACCTGTATTTAATAATTAGTTTAACAGCGAAATATGTGATCGTATAAATTTTGATTAATCATACAATATACATGGTTGCCTTTGATAATACATAAACAGAATATAAGCGACAAATACAGTAGGGAATTCCAATACTTTCCACCTGAATTCATAAAGGTTCGTATGATATATAAGCCTATTTCTCGTAACTGAAGGTAGTTGTAAGAATAGACCTAACTGGTTGCATTTAACTAAGGAACAATAATAACATCAAAAAATATAACACAAATTTTGGTGCTTTCAGTGGTGACAAAATTAAGGCAATGTATCTCTTCCAGATATTCTCTCCTCTAGGCCTTAATTTTATGTCGCTCTTCCCTTTATCTCTGTTCCACATGATAATTAATATTCAAGTGTCCAGTGTCCACCTGCTGATTAGGACAGAAGCCTAACTAGTAGGTACTGCTGGTAGGTTATCAGGTTTTACTGGTTTCAAGTTCCTGGGAAGCTTTGTGGACCCACGTTCACACTGAGTGACTAGTTAACGCACACACACACACACACATACATACATACATATACAAGTGAATAAACTAACCTGACCCTACCTAACCTAATTTGGGCTTATTCTGGCTATCTGTTGGTGATAAACAACGACGTAAATGAAACAGACCTTAGTTTACCATATTCAAATTATTTTTCGTAAACTTGAAGCGTTAAAAGGGGAAAAAAGCTTTCATGTTTGGTAAAGACGTCAGTTGCTTATTTCATCAGCGATTATCCCAATACAGTAAACCGTATTCATGTGGCAATGTTGGTCAGACAAACCCGAAGCACTGTTCATCAAGGGGGTAAAATTAATATGTTTTACTGAGGTGTGATTCCCGAGAGGCGTCATCTTAGGTTCTTCACTGTTTACAGAGCGTATATCTTTGGTTTGGTTAGGTTAGGCTATGTTAGGCTAGGAGGTTAGGTTAAGTGTAGCTAGGCTAGGTTTAATTTGGTTAGCTTAGGAATGAGGACAGGTTAGGTTTGGTTAGGTCTTTTAGGTTAAGACATAAATCACAGATCAAACTCAATAATCCAATTATTTTTTACACAACGTCATTTACGGGGTGTTGGACTGAACAGCATCAAAGTGGAGGAGGCAAACGTTATAAAGGGAAGGTATGACTGACTGGATACTGAAGACACCAGTATCAAGTAAATCCACCGTGATATGTTGAGGGTGCGAGTCGGAAAAAACCAGTTATAGAATGGATGACAACAGTGGACAGGTTGTATGTGACGAGGATACGATAATTTGTATAACAATTAGTGTGTATAGCTCTCTTCTTTATTGAGAAAGGTAATAAATATGACAAATATTAGAGGAATAAGTCTGCTGGGTATACCATGTGTACGAAAGAATTATATTTCAGATAATAGTAGCAAAGTGTGTAGTGCTTATAGAGGTAGAACATTGTGGGTTAAGGGGATGATCGTGTATCGTCGGTGGCACTCTTCATTACAAGAGTTTGAATTAAGGATCACGTTTTCTCTGTACCAATTCAAGGACTTAGTTATATACAAAGACTATATAAGAAAGACGGGAAAGCAAGACCAACACCTCGTCAGCCACATTAACCATGAGTGGGCAACACCATCACCTGTGTGCCGTATTCACAGATCACCCTGAGCTTGTGTTTCACGTTTCCCCAAAGACAGAAATAGGTAATAGCACCACTCTTTTTAATGTACGTATATTAAGGGATATTGATAAGATTTGCATTACTACAGCATGTTTTGTTGTTTTTGTGTGTCTGTACATTGTCCGTATACATTTACTGTACAAGGTTAGTATGGATGTGTGATTTGTATACAGATATGTGTTTTTGCGTGTTATAAGTTGATTAAGAACAAGCAGCAGTGTGCAGTATAGCATTACAGTGCAGCAAGACTTTTTTTTATTGCCTTTGGTTTTGGTGTTTGCATTGCATGAAGGATTGCTATATGGGGTTTTGATTTCTTATATTTACATTATGTCCTGCAATATAATGTAGTTTATTTTTTTCTTATATAACAGTACAAATAATTTTGATATATCATACTATGCTCTCAAATCACACAGTATCTGAATACTGTAATGAAATAAAACATCAATTTTCCATACTGCACCTGTATTACCCTTCTCCAAGAGGTCTACAGCGCATGCATTGAACATCTCTACATCTGCAGTCAGTGTCAGTGTGTATGAGTGTGTGCATGTGTACACATTAACAACGTCAAGATAAATATTCCGCTCACTCCGCTAGTTACTGTGGAAACATGAACGCGTACCCCTGGTTTTTAGTTAGCCGCATTGCCAACAGATGGCGTTGATCGGAGCTCAGTGGCTTTCTTTTATTGATAAAGGTAGACGCTTTCCCGTTTTTCTTATGTAGTCTTTGGTTATGTCTGAGGAAGGTTTGATAAGAATGATCAAGTCTTCATTAGATGAAAACAGTATTCTAAACTATTCTTAAAATTTCATTTAACGTGAAAACGTAACGAAGGTGATGACAATTTCGTTTGACAAGGATATTTCTTCTTGGATAGAATATATTTGAAAATAAGAAATCGTCCAAGTCATTGACAGGTAAACACCTGCATAACTTAAGTGACCAGCAAGGTCTACATGTATTAAAATTCTGTAGACTTAGGATACTAGCTACACCCTCTCATCAGAGCTTGCCATTACTTTATGTCAGCAAATATCTTTCTTTGCCCATGAGTCGGTTCCTCATCACCACACCACCCTCAGTTATGGATGAATTTTCCTGAATTGGGAAAAGAATGTCCGGGTAGGTTGTGACTCCTTGTGAGCATGGAGGTATAATAAAAAAAAATACCTCCATGGTTGTGAGGGAGGCAGTGAGTGAGAGTAGGCGGGGCTTAGCAACTGGTGGCGGACACATGGGGACTCGGGGAGTATGGACCAACACCACTACACCAGTCTGCCAACCAGCTGCCTCAGTGACTACACTGCCTCTCACTCGTTGGTTGTGAGCATTAAAGGTGAGTGGGCACAGTCGTTGAGGCTTGACTCCACTGCCATTGATTTTTCCTTCGCCCTGTGATACAGTGTGTACTTAACCCCAAAAATTTGTATCTTACATGTGAGTTTTCAACGTCTGGTGTATTGTGAATATCGATCTGTTAAATGGTAAGACTTCATGCATTTTTATAACGTTGTCAGTAGGATTTTCTGCTCGTAATTATAGGAATAGTTCTTTGACGCCTCCCAGACCGGCGATTGATTGTTCAGGTGGAAAAAACAGTTCTCGGGTTATTCAATTAGTGTTCGATAAACAAGAGTCGGAAATTCCGACATTAAGAGGGGATTCTTCTCTCGTTTACTGCGTGTTATCCAGTGAGGCCTTTTGTTGACGTACAGGAAACAGAGTTGCCAGATTTTCGCTTTCAAAATTCGCGACCCTTGTTTGGTGGAGATAAAAATGTTTTTTTTTTTTTTTCGAGAATAAATAATTGCATTAACGTTTAAACGTTAACGTAAAAGAAGAATGAAGATATTTAGTGTTACTTTTTATAATTTTTTACCCGGTTCTTTGACATTGTTGGTTGGGAAAAATATCCCAATAAAGCTACTTTTCCACGAAGATTCGGTATTGCATTTAGTAATCATCAATACCTTTTTATGGGGAACATTTATTTAAAATATATTTGAATGGGGTGATTGACAGATTTTTTTGGGGGGAAGTATCAGAACCAATCAAATACGGGACAACGACAAAACAACGAAATAAGGGACAATTTTGTTTTTACGGAACGCTTGACAACCCTATCTGGAGAGTTCTCCATCAGTTATTAATAATTTGCTTAACTTTATCCTCTTCGCTTGGGCATGTACTGGCTCCTAATTACACCTTACCGTACTCGACATTTTTATAGTGTCTCTTGAATCAAGTGAATCTTACTACTTAAGGGATCAATAACCATGAATATTTGTATATTTACATGTCACACTGGGTAAGTATGTAATTCAGGAGTTTTAACAAAAGAGTTCTTATCACGCAGAAAGTGCTCCTCCTCACAGACAGCCCCAAGGTCGCAAAGGTCGTATACATTATTTCTAAGCCACGTTCTTCATGAGAAGTATCTATTAGTTTTATTGTGTACTGTATAGTTAGTATGACTTGCCTGATTGCGTTGCCTAGTGTCAAGCTTAGAATAGTGTAATTGAAGATGAGTGCAATTAATTACCGGGTGGCCTACATTATTTTGTGTAATTGTAATTAACCCATTAAAAATAAAAAGATGTAATTGACCATTTGTTTAGTTCAATTACAATTTCTTAACAAGGACGGAATACTGCAGTGACAATTGGGAAATAGAGAGACATTTAAACAACACACATTTGGTTTAAATTTTAAAAATCACTTAATAACCCTTTACAGGACGTGGGTTTCTTTCAGCTGAATAAAATCGTTTGGCGTTAACCAGAATAAAATGCCTAAGTGTGGCTGCCCTTTAAAAGGTTAAAGGTCAAATTGATGTATAGCCATATAATTTTTAAAAAGTCTGGGAATGTATATATTTTTAGAAAGGTGTTAAGATATCGATTTTGTTTTATTTCTGTATGTTCCCCCATATTTACTATCCCACAGTATGTTGGCGAGATCTGAGTTGATATATATCCCTGTAAATTCACATGAAAATCACAAGTTCAGCTCATCGTGTTTCTTGTATTGATGGTGCTCTTTAATATTCTCAGATGAGTGAGGTATCCAAAACTGCTCACTGGGGTGTGTCATGGGTGGTGGTAACGGGAGCCTCACGGGGCCTAGGGGCAGCCATCTGTGAGGGCGTGGCAGGTGTGGTAGACTCAGGCTCCCTTATCCTGGGTTTGGCTCGCTCATCCCAAGGCCTTAATGACACAGCTCACAAAGTACAACAAACAAATCCTAACGTGAAGGTACGTACATATAAGTTGGAATTACTGATGAATTTGTTTATTATTTTTAGGTCAACATTCCCACTACAATTGCCCAAATAGTTATAAACTTTAATCTTTCCATCTTTTCTTCTTTATCCTCTTTGCCACTTGTCAGCTTACTGTCCAGTTGGGTGCAGGTCGATGTGTACCCCATCCTCCAAGTCATGTCTGCCACCTAGTTGGACTCCTAGTCCTAATACAAGGTGCAGCTTAAGTTATATTTTTTTTACCGAGATCACTGCACAGAAAGTCAGCGTCAGGGGTGGAAAATGAATTAAGAGAGATAACAATTACAGATGATATCATCAAACGGAAAGTAGCCACCTTGAAAGAATTCCAAGTCCCTGGAGTGGACGGAGCAACAGACCAAGGTGATAAAGGAAGTGGTAAATGAGATTTGCACCCCACTAAGACTTTTATTCAGAAAATCTTGGTTCAAGGTAAAGTGCCTAGGGACTGAAAATTAGCCAATGTCACTCCAATATACAAGGGTAGGAAAAGTGCAGCAGAAAACTACAGGCCGATCAGCCTAATATCACATACAGTATACAGTATGCAAACTCTTTGTGAAAATTCTGAGGGATGCCATCATCCAACACCTAACTGAATACAGTCTTACCAATGCATCACAACACGGTTTCATGGAAAGAAAATCCTGTCTGACAAATTTATGCACTTTCCTTGAAGCAGTTAGAGAATATGTGGACCAAGGCTAGCCAGTGTCATCACGATTACCCAAGTCGACTGAGGGCCTTAGGACTAAACAACCCTTCAGACAAGGCACAATAGGGCAGTTCTCATTGAAACATTCAAAATCCTGAAAGGGATGGAAAACATGAATCCAGGACATTTCTTTGTGATGTCACTCACCACCGATACGAGAGGACCTAACCAAATTTTGCCAAGTTATCATGCAGAACAGTAATAAGGAAGTACTTTTTCACACCGAGGCTGGTAGACCGATGGAACACACTACCAGCCCAAGCTGTGAAATCAAGAATAGTACTGGGCTTCAAAATTATCAAGAACATTGAAGGAATCCTTCAGAGGCAACTAGCCTCCATCCCTTGGCACGGCTTGGGACAGATGTGAGAAGGGTGTTTATCCTGTGACCCCACCAAACATCACAGGTTTCCTTAAAGTACTCTGATTTCCTCCTACACTTACACTGGACAATAAAGTCCAAAACAAATTAATAAAAAACAGACCAACCACCCGAATGGCTAGTAAGCTGACAAGTTATGAAATGATAAATTAAAAAATAACGGATCCAGATGTGTAAAGATTTATACATTCTATATATGTACATATGTTTGATAGGGTTCAGCACTTTAGTGGCTCATGGAATCAGTCCAATGTGTAATACAGTAAGTTGTTCAGTTCTGTGTTTTGAACCATAACATTGCCATCACTCAAACTTATTTTTTGAACCAACAGTTTATTCCTGTTGTGATGGACCTTGAAAAAGCCAGTAAGGAAGACCTAGAGAAAGTCCTGGGTGAGTACCTAAAAGTTGGACAGGATCCTCCACCAACCTGCTCTATTATTTTCCATAATGCAGGCTCTCTTGGGGACCTCGTATACTTGCGGAATCATAAGGACTCCGACCACATCAACAGCTACTTCACCCTTAATATCAGGTATTCCCAGCATCACTATCAAACATGTTCAAGCCACGAGTTTTAAATAATTAACAGAACCAGTAGTTTAGTAATAACACTTAATAAATGTATACAGTATAGTACGTGTATATTCATAATTTTTATTTTACATGAACAATATTCTTTTGAATACTGTTTGGAGATATATACTGTATTGTATTGCATAATACTGTAGTCTTGAAAATTAGGAATTATGATTTAATTTATCAGCTTACTAACCAAAAAAGATTCTAAATCCTGTTGTCTAAGTTATATGATAATACATGTACAGTACAGTAAGTGATCCAGAAGTGAGGTTTTACCATAAAAGATCTACAAGACGTAAGATAGTCTTTGTAAAAGTAATTCTAATATGAAAAGAATGACCTGTACAGAAACTTTATTATCTTTGTATCTACCTTCATATATGATATCCAATAGACTGAGACATGCATGTTTATTTTGCCGTTATGACTAGTGCCACTCCCCAACACCATAAAGCTAAGGAAGCTTCCTTTCTAAGGTAATTGTAATATCTGACTCAGTAATGGGTGGAGGAATTGCTGCAATTTTCCTACCTTTGGTTTTCCTTTGTTTTTGTTGAGGGTGAATACAGTGCGCACCAAGTGGACCACCAAGCTCGCCTTCCTCCATCTGTTGACAAAATACTGTACTGTATAAAAACATATTGACTAACCAACCAACCTACCTGACCTAACCTAACCTAAAATAAAAAACAGAATAAAACCTTTCAGTCCTAGGAGGTTAGGCATGTCTGGTTGGTTTTCTTATCTACATAAATTATTTTCGTTGCCAAGGAAGAAAAGTCTACGCTGTTTAGGTATAAAATGCTGCTTAGACACTCACCAAACCACTAATACAAAAATTACAGAAAAGTTTTGTAATTGCTTTGGGTATAAAATTAATATTAATACAATAGAGTATTGTGTAAATAAGCTGCATCAGGACAGATACCTTGTATTAGCACTGGATAACCTCCTAAAGACAGGCAGACTCATCTCCAAACTTCACCAAAATTACCCTGCAGTGCTGTGCTCTTTCTCTTAGTAGTGAAACACTACCCTGTAGTTCCTTTCTCTTTTATTGTGACACTATTTATCATGTTATTACTCAACAGTGCTGCAACTTACTATTTCTTTTCACTGGGTTTTGCAGTTCTGTGGTGTTGCTGAATGCTGTGTTCTTAGAGATGGTGTCTCAGCTTCCTGATGTAGCAGTAGAGATTGTAAACATATCATCACTTTGTGCTATACAACCTTTTAAGTCTTGGAGTTTGTATTGTGCTGCAAAAGCTGCCAGGGACATGCTCTTTAAGGTTCTGGCAGCAGAAGAACCAAAGCTAATGGTACTGAATTATGCTCCAGGGCCCCTGGATAATGATATGCAGGTAAGTCATCTTGGATACTGCAAGTAACTTTCTTTTAACTTCTCTATAAATTTAATTTTCTTTGTATCAAAAGCAAATAATAAATCTTCTTTAACACAAAAGTGTAGTCACACAAAAGAATCACGTCAGTCCTCCTTCCCACGACTTATTGACCCACAGTCAGGGAAACTATTTCAAAGTAACTCGGTTTTGTTTTGCATCCAAATCCAATTATTTATTGTTCAGTTGCCCGCAGTTTAGTGTTAAGCCCGACCTAATGTATATGTACTGCCGAAGCAAGTTGGATAAACTGTCAAGTCATAAGCTAAGTCTAGTTTTACATTCTCCCTCCATCCTAAGGTTAAAATTTACTCCTAATCCAGTACAGTAATGACTTGGAAACCTTCGTCAGACACTAAAGAACCGTAAAATTTATTGATCTTTGTATTTAGTTTCCTCTCATCATTTCTCTGGTCACCATTTTAAGGTGGTTTGCAAAGTTTTGTAGTTTTCACCACTAACTTTGTTATTAGCAGACTAAGGTGAGTTTGTGCTAGAAATGATATGCTGTATGAATTTGTATGCAGTATTGTAGTTTGTACTGTACTTCAAATTCTTATCTAACATAACTTATTGTGTTGTGTGGATTTCATGAATACCTATTTGTTTTTCCAAGTACCTATACATGTATTGTTAATTTTTTCTATAAATTTTATTGTTATTCTTGCAGGAGCTTGCTCGCAGTGAAACAGCAGATGATGAAATGCGATTAATGTTTGCATCATTGAAAGAGGAAGGCAAACTTCTTGCATGTAGTGTGTCGGTCAACAAACTGTTAGAGGTTTTAAAAAAGCGTCAGTTCAAGTCAGGAGACCATGTTGATTACTATGATGCATAGGCTTGTTTTACTGTGTACAGTACTGTACACAGTTGTGTATCAATGCTAATTCATCAAGGTTTAAGTGTGAGCTAACAGTATTCAAATTATTAAAGACTGAAATGTTTATTTTTTATAAGAAACTTGTAATTTGTTTTAAAATCCAATTTAAAAAACTGTGGCCCATAACTAAATAAAATTGTTTCAGAAAGAAATTACAATAATTTACACAAGATTTATTCAAGCATTAATATTTACAAAATATTTACTTGACCATCCAAATGACTTAACTAATTTTCTGACTGCAATACAATGATCACCATTTTCTTAGGAATTGTGTTTTGTCATGTGCTTTACAACATTGCTGGGAAAGTATTAAATTTAGTGCACGCACGCACACCACCAGTTTCAATTAATCCTTTTTAAAAACTAATAATTACAGTATTATTATTATAAAAATAATACACCAGTACAATAAATATAAGACCTGATAAGTTTTCAAAAAGCTTGGTCAGGTCCTAGGTAGTTGCTGTACTGTATTGGCATGAAATTACTGATCATTGCATTAACGACATCTGCAAGTACCTGGTACATGCAGTTATAATTCCAGAACAATATGACGAATATAAATTAACATTAATACATATATTCTAAATGGAGATGACATCTTACACATACCAAATAGAATAATTCAAAAGTAAAATTCAAAACTCCTCCACTTCCAACATCACGAGCAGAGAAGGTAGCGGTGGAAAGGATACACGAGAACCTGTACAAATGACAAAAAAAAACCACGAACTTAAATAATCTTTCTTTGGTTTCTAAACCTTAGGCTCTGGTATCACACATTTCAAAAAATATATACTGTATAACAGTTTATGTGATGTTAGATAAAAACCTTCATGAGGCGAGTAAAATTTTACACACACTACTGTAGTAGAAGTTAAAGCTCAGTGCTGGACAAAAAGCTTATTAAGGTTTACTCATGTAATACAGTACCGACATTGTGAGAATGGAAAGTGAAAAACTAATGATAAAGTATAATTTTGATATGGATGATAGGAATGATTAGGAAAGACCAAGAATGAAATGGAAGGATGGAGTGTAGGTTACACCTAAGTGAGGGAGGGAGGATTATCCACGAGTGTACAATGTGGTGTGATTATAAGGCTTGTGCTGCTGGCAAGTAGTATTGACTTGTGTGAAGAAAAAGTAAATGATATTTGACATCTTGTGAATGTGTAGAATCATAGCAGAACATATTACTGTAATTACAGCGCTAAGAATGAATCGGTGACATGCGTAAATTTTTTCTAGTTTCTGGCCACCCTGCATAAAACAGGAAAGCCTGAAAATAAAGTATGCACAATAGGTGTGGTAATCTTCTGGAAGAAAAGATGATATATTGGCTTCCAGTGGGAGTGAAAGCAAGACAGAGAGGGAAGCAAATTAGAGGTGTATCAGATGCTGTCCTGTTGGATGATACAGAAAAAAAGTTACAATTTTAGTGAATTAGTATGGAAGTCTGATACTAAATGACATTAAGGAGGGATGAAAATAAATACAGTGGGATATAAATGTCAGTTTGAAAGGAGGAAGCAAGGCATTTCAGAAAACTGGAAACTTACTTCCCAGCTAATGAATCAATGAGTAACAATTTGGTTCATAGAGTAATAAAGGTAACATAAGTAAAACATACCTTAGCAAAAGAGAGGATATACAGAGTAAATGCTAAGCAGACAATATTAAACAGGATGCAAGAAAAGTTAGAAAAAACTGCTCCTGACAATAAGAATAGAGAATTCAAACAATGATGTAGAAATAATGTCAAAGCTGACCAGGGTTTAATAAGGACGTATGGACATATGAGAGAATGGGAAGTGAATGAATAACAAAGAATGTAAAAGTCTGAAATGGACGGCGGGTAGAAAAGGCGATTAAAGAGAAGGAAATGCAATTAGGAGTGATGGGGATGGATGTTCACACAGCTACATAGCTTTTATAATTATATATATATATATATATATATATATATATATATATATATATATATATATATATATATATATATATATATATATATATATATATATATATATATATATATATATATATATATATATATCACTTAAATATAATTATAGTGACACTTCATATAGATTTTACCTAACCAGTACATACACTGCATCAAGTACACACTCAACATGTGATACTATTTAACCCCTGAACATTTAAAAATGGCATTGCCATAAAACTATCCTAAAGTATGTTACTTGTACAGGTTAGCCTCATTAATCCTAGTAGACACTGTCTGACATAAAACATTCACAGAAACCTCTCAAATGCCCTACTGTTATGTACATAAAAAAATTGTGGATACCATTCATTTCTCACTCTCCCCCCCATTACTACGAAAAACCAAGACATTTTTCAGCTACATCAATGGAGATGCACTACAAAATGCCTCTAACAAGCCAATAGCAATTATAAAATCTACTTAAGAGGGTAACTACAGTATTAACCTTCACAGATAAACAATCACCAAATCAGGAATCTTACATAACTGAAATTGAAATGGAGTCTAGCTTTACTGATGAACTTCTTAATCAAGACTTAAGAGAAAGGAAAAAAATCACTATACAAGTCCATAATTTTTTTTTAATATAGATCCTTCTCAGGAGGCATAACTCCAATATGCTGAAAAAAATGTCAACTAAAGATTATTTTTCAAGAACTCTACAGAATGTTGAACCCTTATGTACTTCTCTGTGGGGATAACTTAAGCCTTTGATAAGAATCCCTACATAATTATCATGAGGCTTACTACACCTGTTTACTGCAATTTTGCCAACAGACAGAACTGACACATATTTTAGAACAAATGAAAGCAAGGTTACCTTCGTGTCAGCTTCCAATGTGTTTCACCCCTTGGTTATTGAAATTTTTAATTCAGTGATTTTGGAGGTAAATTGAAAACCAGAATTGCTGATGTAAACTATGTTGGGACCATTACCATCCTGATAAAATCAATCATATGATACAAATGCAATGGCAGTGATAAGACTGGTTCATTTTTTAAACCAAGGAGGAAAACTTTAGAAAGAGTCGACCTTATTGTGTATATTTAACATTAAAAATATACAGCTCTTGTGGAGCTACAACTTTAGAAATGCTAAGAAATATACATCATACACAATTTAATCTGAATGGGATTATTATCCAATTGTACTGACAGCACATGCTGCACAACCAGAGGAAAACTCTGATTCTCTACTTCTCTTCCTCAGAATCTGACTCCGCTTCTGCAGATTTTGAACGACTACGTGATTTTCTTTTCTCTGGAGTAGGGCTGTGGGAACGAGACCTGAAAGATACACAAAATATTTATATACAGTACATTCACAACTGTATGCTGGTTTAATGGCAATATACGTACAGGTACATGGTTTATACCAAACAACACCTTAGAAAAAAATATATATAATAATAATCACCTGGAGCGAGACCTGGATCTTGACCTAGATTTTGACCTCTCTGAGCCAGATCTTGATCTTGAACGTGACCCAGACTTAGATCTTGACTTGGACTTTGAACGGCGTTTCTTGCTGTGGCCACCACTCCTAAAGGTTAAATTTATGAGCCCATGATGTAAAAAATAGAGAAAAAGCCTGTAACTAAAAGACTTAAACTGTATAATGTTTAAGAGACCAAGTACAGTACTTTACTTTCTCACCAAAACTGACTTGTGTAAATCCTGTTCTCACTTCCTATTCAAAACACTGCCCTAAAACAGCCCAACCTGAAGATCATCAAAAGTAGCTATTGATTTAATTTACTTTGTGTGCATATCATTAAAATAAACTATACATTTAATAAGAGCATAATTAGAATTTTATCCTGTAGGCTACCAAAGTAATGTGTGAGGAAATGTAAGAACAGTGTACAAATAGAAAGTAACCTGTAAAAACAAAAGCAAAAGTTATTACAGGGAAACACATGTACATGCCTTCCAATTCTCTTCACCTTATCTTCCCTGCTTCTGATGCACTTGAGACTGAGTACATGAATGTTCAAATTACTGTATATGGGGATTCTATCAAAGTTGGAATCTTCATAGAATTTTCCTAGGGATATACTGGAATATTCAAAATTCCCAAACCCACCTTGGCCACTTTCCGAGACACAATGCAAGTGTAATACCCATTCTAAGAACAAATCATCTAATAAATTACTTATATTTGCCATCACAAAGATTATCAACCAAGTAAACGATTTATAACTAGTACATCTTTCACGCCTGAAATACGTCTAGCTCATATCAACTCATTCCCAGACTTTAAATTCTGCAAATTTACATCTCTTACCCACATGTTCAACTATTACTTAAGTCTTTAACACTAATTCCAGCTAACATTGGTCAAATTAATAATAATTGACCAAAAATACAAACCTTGAACGGGAGCGACTGTGGGAACGGGAGTGGGAGCGCGACCTGCTGACAGAGAGAGATTATTCTGACATACAGCACACAGTATATTTGACTGTGTTCACATAAAACCAACAAAAACAATACTGCATTACTATCCACATTAATTAAAAATACGTAACTACTACATATTTTGTTGAACAACCATATATAAAATTCATAAACACTAACAAAGCAACATTAATATAAAAGTTTCTCTGAAGGTAATATACCTGGAACGTGTTCGTGATCTTGAGCGTGACCTGGAACGTGAGGATGACCTCGACCTTGATCTGCGAGATCGTCTAGAGCTTCGGGATTTGGATTCATCCACTAGGCGAATACGTCTTCCGTGTAACTCCTTACCATCTAATCTGTGCAGGGCATTTTTCATATCTGCATACGTAGCAAATTCTACCACACTGTTGAAAGAAACAGAATGCAGATGAAATAGCAGTACAGAATTTATGAAGGTTCAGCCTACATGAACATGAATTCTGTCTTAAATTTCTCTATCATGCCTTATGACAAAGCTTTCACATATCTCCAAGCCATTACAGTGGTCCCTCGGTTAACGAACACAATTCGTTCAGTAGAATCGTTCATTAACCGAATCTATTATTTCAATGGGATATTGGGTAATTGGTTCCAACTCAAAGAAAAAGTACATACAAAGTACTGTACTGTACACCAGTAATAGAAATAACAAAACATTAAATATAAACTAAATACAGTACTGCACTGTACAGTGTACTGTACAATAATAAATAAAAAACAAGAGAATACTGTATTTTAACTTACTTTGAGGTGTGTATGTCATATTTCCGGCAGCTTTGTTTACATATCAAACAGCCGATTGTAGAGGCAGTCGATGATGACATGCCATATTCTTTACAGAGTGCATTGGTTCTAATGCCTACTTCGTGTTTCATAATAATTTCTGCACTGTATATCAATATGTTAACTAAATTTCAGAATGACCAATAATTTTAATGTAAAAATGCAAAAATATTCAAGAGACCAACAAAATTGATGTTCACTCCACTATAAACAAAGTTAAACTGAGAAGCTTTGTTGGGTGATTCAATCAGCTGATGGGCAAACAAAAACTGTTCCCTGTAATGTTTATATTATCAATATGTTAACTAAATTTCAGAATGACCGAGAATTTTAATATAAAAAATGCAGAAATACTCAAGAGACCATCTTTCTTGATATTTACTCCACTGGAAACTAATGTAAACAGAACCAATTACTATACTATTTTGGCAGACTAGCCGATCAGCTGATGCGCACAACAAAACGTGTTTGTCGTAAGAATTTCGTTAATCAAAGTTTTGTTCGTTAATCAAACAGAAAATCCTTACGAGAGCTAATTTGTAAACCGAAATTTTGTTAATCGAACCGTTCGTTAAGCGAGGGACTACTGTATTGTGTTTCTTTGATCATCAAGTAAACCTCTTAGGCTGATTATATTTTTATTTACTCTTTCAAGCCTTTTTCTACTGAGTGCAGTAAGAAAGGAAATACATATTCCTTTCATTTAATATAATTTATTCATTAAAGATATTTTTCTATGGTACTCCTCTCCACACAAAGAAACGAGGTCTGGTCTACCCATCTCTTCACACAACCTAGCTTCACCGATCAGCAGTAATGAACTGCCTCAGAAGATTACTCGGTCCCATCCTCTCACCATATTTATGCATACTGCTGCTTCCTGGATATCCATCCTCCTCATTAGTGTTCTTTATCCGATCTTTCTATCTCCCTCTTGGTGTTCCCTTCTACTTCCTACCATCTAATTTTATGTCGGTCTTTATCAGGCCCTCACTTCCCATTTAGTATGTTCAGCTAAGCAAATTCCTATTTACTCTCTGCCTGATAATTCCTTCATTTCCATACCACCTTAACTTTATCCTTCCCATAACTTTCAGTCATCCCAGGATGTTTGGAAGCTGTTAACTTTAAAGTATAACCAGAATTCAAGACATGTTTCAATGTACAGTATTTATGTTGTATGAAGATAAACAATAAATACTCACCCTTCATTTCTCCGGTACTTATGAGCATCTGCATATGTAACCTCACCAGCTTGTCGCATAAAATCTTTGAGATCCTGCAGAGAAATACAAAGTATTAAAACTTCAAAAGTTCACAATCATCAGGTAATTAATTACATAAACATTTCAGTGGTTCCTTCATAGCATCTTCCTGACCATAGTCAAGTCCTCCTAGGTAACCTAGAAGGGCAATAATATAAGAACACATCCTCTGGATGCATTCTCTGGATACAAAGATGAAAATTGTTATCTTCAAATCCCAGCCTCCTTAAAGGGAACTGTTAATGTTGGCAAACTATGATCTCTGCCCATATCAGCCTATCAACTATATACAAGTATAAATTTTTAAATTAAGCTAAGGATTTTAACACTAAACACAAGTAATCCATGACAGACAAATTGGCAGAAATTATGAAGAAATGCATTGATAAAAGGCATAAAGAATAAACTATGAAATACGCGTAGTATCAGGCATTTATTGTTCTACCTTAATGATAAATATGGGCTTTATATGTCTCCTATACCTCTAAGCCAAACAGTGTTGACCCCACTGAGCCTTTCAGACTTGACCTCCGCGGGCCCCTGCAGCGTGTAAACCCGGTCAGCCACTCAGGACAAGGTGACCGAAAGCCTGGGACGGAAGCCCCACTTCATGCCACGCCTAGCACGGACCCTGCAAGTGGTCTGAGGGGAGGGGGAGGGGAGGCTGGGCAGCAGATGTCTCCGCTCCAGCCCAACGAGGTGTCCTCACACCCACGATACGTCGCAGGGAAAATGTGTCCCACGTCCTCGTCCCCCACTTTCGTCCATACGTTCCGCCTGGGCCCAAGGTAGACCCAGTCCAGATGGTACCCTCGCCTCGCAAGACGAAACCCCACGTCTCGCCAGAACGACCGGCCCATTACGTTGCTCCTTCGTCCTTGCTTGCGCGACCTTGCGCGTCCCTCCTCCTCTCCCATGTCTCAAGCTATTTCTCCTGCCCTCTCTTACGGTGTCTTCAAAAAGACATCGGCAGAATGTTAGGGTCTGTTTTAACAATGAAACTGCAACTCTGCTACTTGCTACACTCTCATGTACCATCAAGACAATAGCAAATACCTTTTAGTTGGTTCTAATTCCCAGGTATATTATGAAGGTTACCCCAGCCATCAAAATAAATGAAGTTAATAACTAACCCCAACAATAATCCATGGCCCACCAACTATCTTTTTCCATCCCAATACTTACCCTTCCTCTATTATACTTCAACAAATATCTTTTTTTTTATTCAGCAAACTACCCTTATAAGATTATACATACTGTAGTCTCACACAGTAACTGATAATCTTTATCACCTGTTCCTAAGCTCAATTAAAGATGAAATCTTCCGTTTACCACTAAGGAAGTTTCAGGGTAACAGAGGAACAAATTACAGTATTTGCTAAGTAACTGATTTTGTAAACTCCCCATTACAGTACACTAAAATTTCTGACACACGAGGTACCCAAAGCTGAAATACTGTATGTATGGAAAATAAATCCCACATGAGATGGATTCTGACCCATACCTAAGTAACTGGTCTATAATAGTCATTAAGTGTTAAAAAAAAATATTCCTTCATGTTTGGTACTACCCTCAACACCACCAAAAAAAATCAATGTTAGTGTTTAGAGTTCGATGAACGAGGTCATTTGGATATTTCAACTTAACCCTATAAAAACAAATATAAAAAGATAGATTAAAAACTTTGGAATAATAATAAAAAAGAAATCAAAATATGCCAATAACAGCTTAACAATATATTTCATGAATTTCAATCAACAAAAACACAGCATAATCATAAGGAATAATTCTTACCTGCCAAGACACTCTGCTTGATAGGTTCTCTACTGTCAGACGGTAATCTGTTCGAGCAGCCATACCAAATCGACTGAAATGAGAGCTCGGATGAGCACCCACTCTCAGGTTTTATAATGAGAAGCACAGAACCAAAGAAAGGACAAGTGCCATAAATGAGAAACGAGAAAAATGCAGATAAAGTTTGTGGCAAACCTTGAAATTACCATAACTTTGGAACCAGTGGAGATATTGAAGTGACCCAAGTGGCAGATTGTAGCATAGTTTGTGCAGATTTAAATGATACTAGTGACACATCATACTAATTGTTTTCAGGCATACCAGCACTTGTCATACTTCAGTTCTGCGCTCCTCATATCTTACCCTCACAATAAACAATGCTCAAATGTCTAAGTCTAACATTTAATCAAGTTTTCAGTCCACTTGAACACATGAACAATAACACCAGCAATTAAAAATCATATCACAACCTAATGTGCTCTGAAACAAACTGAGTAATTACTTAGTGTATAGAAAAGGCTCAAGTAATATCCACTGTGTATACAGTACTATCATTTAAATCAATGAGACTTCTAATTTATTATAGAATTTTGTTTCCAATGAGAAAGCCTATACAGTAATATATCTGCCCATGAACATATAAAGTGGAATCTATCATGAATATGTCTCCACCAACTCGATCCATACCTGGTGCATCTCTCCTACTCCTAATTCAAATTGTAAATCAACATTAAACCATCTTTACTACCTCTCTTAAATAGTGCCCCAATACAATTTGAATTCTTTCAGTTCCTAAATACCAGGTGCAAGTCACCATATACAGATACACTATGCAACTTTTTTTGGTATAAAACTTATAATTTTATCATATGTATCAGAACGAGCAAATTTAATCTCCCATCTTGTGCTACTTATGCATGCCCTCCACACTCAAATTTTCTTTTAAATGCTTCTCCATTAATTTAAAAAAATGATACACAATCATTCTATCCTTCCTAGCAATTTACAACTTCGTTCTTAATGTGAATATCAGATGCAGGTAGTACACTGCATCAAGTTCTTCCACAAAATCTTCATAGTGTATTCCCTGACAATAATTCACACATTTCATTATCCTTCCCGGGTCATTTACTAGTACAGTAAAGTTTTGCCATTTAAACATATAAAACCCATAACTTTACTAAATTTTACCTGGAATGAAATCCTCTTGGTGGTGGAGCCCGAGGCCAGCGCATACGTGGTGCCGCACGAGCCTTCTCCACAGTGACTCTGTAATTCAGTCCGTGTTTGATTTAATAAATTTTAAAAACACTCAAACTCGACTACAATTGAGGTATGATATATAGTATGAAGAGAAAATTATAAAATAGGCTTACTAGATATCAAGTACAGTATCCTCATCCCCATGAATAAATAAGTATGCATATGTGTTGAACTCTAGGTGAAATCTAATATGTACAGGTACAGTATTACCAAAACTTTTTATAGGACAATATTTTGTTGATTCTATTAGATGAAAATCAAATCAAATGAGGAACCATATTCTCAGTTCACACCTACCTGCCACCTAAAAGCTCCTTCCCATTCATTTCATAGACAGCATCATCAGCGTCACGATCATCATCAAACTCCTACAAAAAGATAAAAATAAACTATCATCAGATTCTAAACAAAGTACTGTATTGAAAGATTTATCATTAGTTGTGTTTCTTCATTTCATATTCCTTAAGAGACTTATATAAAGTGTATCTGTTCAAAATAATGAAGTTAAAAATGATGGAAGGCTTAATCCTTGCAAAATTACACGAGAAATTCCAGTAACTTTACTATTTAAAAGTACTTAAATTGGGGGGAGGGGGGGTTGGTAATATATATTCACAAAGTACAGAAATATTAAAGTTACTTACCACAAAACCAAATCCATTTTTTATAACAATGTCTCTTAATCTGCCGTAAGATCTGAAGAATCTGTCAAGATCTCTCTCCCCCACACGATAGCTGAGACCGCCTACATACACACGAGTGCCTACCATGATTTCCTGGAAAACATGAGCTATTTAATAAATATATATATATATATATATATATATATATATATATATATATATATATATATATATATATATATATATATATATATATATATATATATATATATATATATATATATATATATATACAGTATTATTTATCAGGTGTCACATAAGGCATGGAAGAGCAAGGGTGTATATCTGAATATCACAATTCAGCTCAATTTTCAGGCTGTACTGCATAATTTCTGCCCCCATTTTCTTATGGGGATTGTACCATGCTGGAGGCATATCAATGTTACCTGACTATCTAATACAGGAATGCTGGGGCTATGGACAGATATAGAAATATTGGAAACCGAGCAATCCAGTGATACACCCTTGCTATTCTGAACCCCTCATATATACAGTAAGAAATAAAAAAAAATATGACCTCACTTATATCATTACTGTACTAGTAATAAGGAGTCATTATGTTTTGAGAACATTTTAGTATTTTGCTCACTTTCCATCTACTTTAAAGCCCTGCCCACTTTGAACAACTCATTCTCTTTAAACAACATAAAATTTGGTTAATATCTGTCTCGCCCATTCCTCTTCTGGTGTTTCTGACTACCCTAAATGTTATTTCTTTTTTATTATGAATCAATACAGGTATTTAAAAGTAATTTTTCTTGTGCAAATGCTTAGTTGTTAATATTTACCCTAAAACATTAGGTATCTGCTGTTGTCGGTGTGTGTTGACGTCTGCTGTTTGTTTACAACCGACGTCCACAAAAAACAAAATTACACCATGAAACTTCGACAAAGTTCCTTTCATTGGTACTAGATACCAAAATATGGCTGGGGGTCCAAGGAAGTTAAGTAAGTTTAGGTTGATTTCCTATGAAAAAAGCTCTTTAGCACAAGAAATGAAGGTCATATTTGACTAGAACACACCAAAATACACCAGAAAAACAATTTCTCATATCAAAAGAGGAATGGACAAAAAGAACCTATTTTTGTTAGTAGTTTCTATGGTCGACAAAAACGAACCTTTACCTTTGCTAGTATCCAGTACAAGCAACAAGTAAATATTGAATATCACCTGTACAACTATATACAATGGCACAAAATACAGTTATGGCAGCTGTATGCCAAACATTAATGTCTGTTGGTATGGCAGTCTAATGTGCATGCGTAGTGGGTAGACTAAACAGTGTTAGTTATTAAAATGGGGTCCGACTAATTACCCAATTGTAGCCGCAATGAAGTCAAATAATGGTCCTACATGAATAAATCGGGTTACCAATCACTTCTCGACTAGTATTTGGTGTCACAAAGGCGCAAAAAATTGGTAAACTTAATTTAATCTGAGTTAATAGATCAAGTGTATGTACCTAACCTAATCTAATCTAACCTAACACAACACAACTCAGATTAAATTAAGTTTACCAATTTTTTTTTACTTTATGACACCAAATAATAATCGAGAAGTGATTCACAACCCGAATTACGCTTGTATGACCATCATTTGACTTCATTGCGACTACATTTGGCTACATTTGGGTAATTACTCGCTCCCTCGGTACATGCACGCGATCTATTAACTCAGATTAAAGTAAGTTTTCCAATTTTTGGTGACTTTCTGACACCAAATACTAGTCGAGAAGTGATTAGCAGTCAGATTTATTCATGTAGGACCATTATTTGACTTCATTGCGGCTACATTTTGCTACATTTGGGTAATTAGTCGGACCGATTAAAATGGCCTTCATTCTGACTAATCTAATCTAACTTAACCATTAAAGTAACAGCACAGTCCATGAATACTACTGCTGCTGCACCTATATCCAGTATAATTGGCATACGGTTACAGTACCTGCATCCACAACAAAATATAATGACAATAATTTACCCTCTCACAATAGAGCAACAGAACTAAAATTGAGATCAAGCATTGCACAGTTGGTGATCAAGTAAATTCTTTGCATTACTAATCAATGTAAGCTGTAGTTGGCGAAAAGGTCCAACAAACTCAATTATTTAAGGAACAAAACAGTGAAACTTACACCTGAAATATTTGTGTTAGCCTCGTGATACTCGCTTGAGTCACCAGCCCCCCCATAGGGACCCCGATGTTAAGCTTCTCACGGCTGCCTTGGGCTACCATTCGTTATAATTAAACATTTAAATGCCTTCATCTATTCTAATACCAAACCAATGTGAACTTGTGTAACCCCTTAACCGTTTTCCTGAATAAACAACCAAGCTGGGTCTACTGTAGTCTGGACGCCGATGCATTGGAACTACCACACCTTTTTTCCAACTCTCACCGGCTATAGTAACACAACACTAGTGAGCTATCGTCATAGAAATACATAACAGACACTTAAACACCTTGTATTACCCTGTGCTTGTTTAGTATTACAAATATCGCCAACTATTGATCCATTTAATAGTATATCAACATCCAATATGGCGGACTACCTGGAGGAAGTATCTCAAACATCCTAACTTCCCTTCCTCACTTTGTTCACAATCCTTCCCTCTCTGATATACTCTCCCAGGAATGTACAGTACCTAAATGTTAATATATGTTTTATACTTATGCTAAACTTACTTCATATATGGAGCACCAGACGATTAAATACGAGGTAAATTATCAGTTGCCTGAGCCGTGTGGTAGTGCGGTAGAAAGAAGGTGGAGGAAGAGGGAGCTGCCTGCGTGTCACTCCACTGCGCACGGTCCCTCCCACCTCCCTCCCCCGCCACCAGTCTTCCAGAGCTCATTATTTTTTTTATTTTTACCCCTATACCCCTATCAATATATATATATATATATATATATATATATATATATATATATATATATATATATATATATATATATATATATGCTGATAACCACAAGAAAACATGAAGTTCCCAAGCCTTTCGTGTAATTCACATCGTCAGGGGTGAGTACAGACTAAGGAGAAATACATAACAAAGCATATATACTGTATACAGTAAACGAGAGTGAGATCAAGTCCCTAGGGGACAGTGAGTGTCCACAATGGTCCGATCACTAGGCAGTGACCTACTAATCTTCATATGCACAGCAGCAGTCCGTAATCAGGTCAGAGGGTAAGAGGACCCAACCTTCTCACCTGGTTACAAATCTTCTTAATTACGAAATTATCCAGTTTGTACATACCATAACTCAAATTCATGTTGACGGATTCGGTATGTTTAATGAGACTGGATTCTATAATGTTCCTACTGTCAATTGAATTACAAGGTAATATTTAGGAGGCATTATCCCAGTCAATGCAATGCTTATTATCCCTCAAATGAACAAACAGAGCATTGGATTCCTGGCCTGTCCTAACACTATATTTATGTTGTTTAAGTAAGGCTTAATTTTCAACAGTTTTGGCCCAAAATTAGATTTTGTTGAAAATAACATTATAGGTACTCCTTAGCATGCTAATTTCGAATATAAGGTCCACGATTCTATTGCGGGGTAAATAGTGGTTGTAATAATGCTTGGGACATTTAATGGCATGTTTCAATGCTAAATACTGGCCAACGATGGATTTCCAAAGCGCGATTTTAGTGGTAATGTGTGGACCGACGGAACAACGGCCTCTTATTCTGGTCAATTTACAGTAGAAGGCATATTTCAATCGTGTTTTTTTTAATGATAAGCTCAGGAAAAACTATTTAATAATATACGACGCGCATGGCGCATTTTACTTATAAACGAAGTATCTGGAGTGAAAATCAGAAAACTACTAAAAAAGCTAAGTATTATTGCATTTGTTGACACTAGCCGAATCTCGGAATTTTTCTTTGCAAACAATAATTTAGACAATTCTAAGACGTTTTCCTCACAAACAACCTAGAACCGTGATATTTGATATGCCATTATTCTTGGGGAAGTAAAGGCGTGGCCTCCTTGAAGAGTTACTGCCATCTACACCATCAATGGGGCTTACACTCGCTGTACTGATCATGGTTGAAGAGTGACTCACACCATCAATTTTCTTTCGCTTATCCACCAAGTGGGAAATATTTTCTAAACTGCTTGTACCCTCTCTATTCCTCCTTTTATTCTTCTTTTTGCTATTCGCAACTTTAAACGCCTACTATAATCGGAGTCGGAGTCGGAAAGTTGTCAGAACACTCTGACAGAGTGTTCCAAGATTTACAATCACTGAGAGACTCCTTAAGGATATAGAGCTCTGGTAGATGACAAATTAACTAAGATAAATTATTATTTTTATGATTATTTTAATCTTTGTTGGTGTCACTCTTCTATTAAAGAAAATAAGCAAATGGAGGACGACAGAAAACGAACCCATTGATGGGTATACTTAATTATGACACACCCACATAATTATACTGGAAGCTTGATGTTTATATACTGAAAATCGTCACAATGGCCAGAGAATTTACTAAACACTATTTCCTGTACGAAATATATCATACGCTTACCAACAGACATATATTGACACTGACAGACGCCTTAAAAAAAACATAAACAAATTCATAGTATAACAAATTCGGGCGTGAATGTCATGTACACTAATACTGACACGTTCCTTGATAAGAGAGAGGAGTTTGATACACTACTGAAGGTACACCAACCAGATATTGTAGGAGTTGTAGAACTGTTGTACAAGAACAGGAGAATCGACCAAGAGGAATGTGAGTTCAGTATTGCTGGATGTGACTCATTTACGAACCTTTCTCAAGAAACTTGCAAGAGGGGTGTGGTTATCTATGCTATAGGCAAGACCTTGGACCCAGCCAGACGAGGGTACAGGGAGAGTATATTTTTGAAGAGTCCAAGTGGTGTGAAATTAAACTAAAGGGAAGAGACTTCCTTATTGGCGGGTGTATCTACAGATCCCCAAACTGTGGCCCACTAAATCAAAGGAACTTAAGAGCCTTAATAGACAACGTGGCGATGCTCAACTCTAGCCACCTCCTTATCACGGGGGACTTTAACTATGGCGACATCGACTGGAGAAACGAGTTCACCCAAAATGACTTGAATAACCCTGCTACTCTTTTTGTAGAAACTCTAAGAGATCATTTTCTGTTCCAACATGTTAGAGACCCGACACATTACAGAGGGGAGCAAACACCCAAGCCACTAGACCTCATCATAACAAACGAGGGAGTATGGTGGCCAAACTGGAACACCTTGCCCCAGTTGGCACCAGTCACCATATAGTGTTGTCATTCAGATTTAACTGTTACCTAATTCAAGATAAGGCCAGGCCAAGGTGCAAATATTACAGGGAAAATTACAACGGGATGAGGGAACAGATGAGGGGGTATCCACTGGCCTGACTCATTAAGACACAAGAACACAGACACTACGCTGAATATCATAACCAGTAAAGTGACCCATTTGATATATAAATATATACCCAAGACCAAACTCAGTGCCTCTAGGAATACGAGGGGATCCCTACACATGAACCATGCGGCGGTCGACAAAGTTAAGAAGAAAACCCAGAAATTCAAGACGTGGGTTGGGTCAAATGATGAGCAGGACAGGAGGATGTATACAAGAGCTAGAAACCAAGCAAAGATTGAATGTAGAAGGGCTGAAAAGGAGTTCCAGAGGCTGGTTGCAAGCGAGGTCAAGTCACACCCAAAGGCATTTTACAGCTATGCAAAGTCGAAATTAAAAACGTGAGTAGGAGTATCAGACCTGAGGCTTGAAGATGGTAGTTACGCAGATTCTGACCAGGATAAAGCTGAGGCATTGAACAGCTTCTTTTCCACGGTGTTCACAAGAGAGGATGCTATTAACCTTCCTGCGTTTGAGGACATACGGTTCGACACAGCACTGACCCACATTGTGTTCACAGAAGAGGGTATTAGAAATAAACTGTCAAAGCTAAAGGTCAATAATAGTCCCGGCCCTGACATGGTGCATCCGAGAGTGCTAAAAGAGTTGAGCAACGAGCTTGCCGAGCCCCTGAAGATCATGTTTTGTAAATGCCTGGATGAACGAAAGGTCCCCAGTGAATGGAAAGTGGCTTATGTGAGTCCTATCTTCAAGAAGGGCGATCGTCACTCCACGAACAACTATAGACCGGTGAGCCTGACCAGCATAATATATAAAGTACTTGAAAGTATTATCAGAGATGCTGCGATGGAATATCTACTACAAAACAACCTTGTAAAGGATTGCCAACACGGTTTTATGCCGGGGCGCTCCTGCTTAACACAATTGCTCAAGGTATAGGATATTTGGACCCATATTCTGGAACGGGGTGGTAATAGCGACAATATTTACCTAGATTTTGCCAAGGCTTTCGACAGTGTACCCCACGAAAGGCTGAAAATCAAACTGGAAGGGTACGGAATTCGGGGAAATGTCCTAGCGTGGATAGAATACTTTCTACGTGACCGCAAGCAGTATGTGGTGATTAATGGCACGAAATCATCATCCGTACGTGTCACAAGCGGGGTACCACAGGACAGTGTATTGGGCCCGCTGTTGTTTGTTTGTTTCATAAATGACATGCCTGGCGTTGTACACTCCTCCATACAAATGTTTGCCGATGACGCCAAGTTATTTCGGGAAATCAAGAACCAAGCGGACTGTAAAGAGCTGCAGAAGGACCTCTGTGGGCTCCAAGAATGGTCGAAGAAATGGCTGCTGAGATTTAATGTCACGAAGTGTAAGAGGATGCACCTGGGGCGTACCAACGGTAAGGAGGCGTATCATATGTCCCAACGGGATGATGAAACTGCACTATTTGAGACTGAATGTGAGAAGGAACTAGGTGTGTATGTTGACAATGAGCTGAAGTTCTCGGGCCATTGCAAGAAGGTAAATCAGGCAATTAAATTATTGGGTCTTATAAGAAGGTCGTTCAGATATCTAGACGGTCCGTCCCTCGTAACGATCTTCAAGAGTGAAGTGCTTCCCCATCTGGAATACTGTCTGGTCCCCGAGATATGCTTGGGACTGTCAGTTGGTTGAAAATGTTCAAAGGAGGGCCACCAGACTGGTGCCTGCCCTTCGGCACCTCAGCTACCGTGAGAGATTGGCGCGCCTGAACTTGCCTAGCTTATACTACAGACGAGAAAGGGGTGACCTAATTGAGGTGTATACGCATCTCAAGGGGCACTACTCAGTCGAGTGTCGTTACTTGGAGCTGGCGGACGCTCGCCCCACAAGGGGTCACAGCTCAAAATTGAAGAAGCCGCAAGTCCAGAAAACTGTGAGGGCAAACTTTTTCGGAGTGAGAGTTGTGAACTCTTGGAACAATCTACCAGAAAGTGATGTGACTACACCGAGTGTGAACTCTTTCAAGACAAGGCTTGACCAACACTGGAGCGGGTTCAGGTACATTCAGGAGCCGGTGCATGCCCAGTACTTGTCAAAAGTGCGTAACAGAGACGTGACCGATCGCCCAAGCGGCTAACGAGGCGATCTTTTTTGTGAAGAGGATAAAAGTAAAAGATACCAGCGACTTGAGCAATCTAGGGAAAATTGTCTGTTTGTCCAAGTTATATTTACTTTTACTTAACTTTTGTATCAAGAATTCTGTTACTTTCTGCATAAAAAAAGTTTTAAATTTGAACTTTCCAATCAAGCATACAGTTGAAGCCTTTACCAAGAACACGAGCCGTTAGTTGTACGTATGACACTGACCGTCCCAACCCCCTCTCTCTCCTAGACCTCTCACGAGACTTTTCCCAGAGTTTTACGTATGTACTTCACCGGGGATTCCCTAGTTTGATGCGCGGCAAACCACCCAAACTAAACATCATTAGCCGACGTGAGTATCATAATTATGTTGTCTCTTGTTGTCTTAATTATAATATTGTTGATAATTTTTTTGTAGAACTGTACTTATTTCTGATTATTCTCTCTCTCTCTTTCAGAAATTTTAACATAATATGCATCTAAATTTGTGACCGTCTTTCTTTCCAGGAATGATATTTCTTGATCGTAATTCGAAACAAGTATTTTCAGCATTAACAAACTTGAGGTATATCAACATGGAATAAGAAGCCATCTAAGGAGATGATGAGTCATCTTCCTCACCAGGTGTCAACACCCTCACTCGACCGCGGTCATAACTGGAACAAACTTTATATGAATATGGTATCGTGTGTCCAGTGTACGTGCGTGTCTAGTGTACGTGTATCCAGTGTACGTATTACCGTGTAGCATATGTGTGTTCAGTCTCCGTATGAAGATTTGATAAGTGCAGTTGGTGAGTTAATTGAGAGGTGTCATTAAGCAGCTGCACCATATACAGTATGTTTGGGCAATTGAGCTGACGCCTCCAGCCTCGTACCATTAATAATACGCTTTAAAGCCAGGTTCAATATTATAATTTCTGTGGATTTTTTTAGATATTCAAAGTTATTTAATATTCCATGCTTAATTCCTTCTATTTTACAAACACAAGCAAACGTTTACCAGGACGGTGAAACTTATTTATCGATAAACAATAACTGTCCTGCCGTATCTAATGACAAGGTACGTTTGGCCGAGACAGAATTTTGTTGAGACAGTCGGCACTAGTCACCCGGGCAAATAATAGCGACAACTACCGATAAATATATAATTTATTTTTTCTACCATTTTGCTTATAATGAAGGGGCCTGTTGCTTGCGAAGTCCTCAACCTCTTTGTTTGTGGGGAGTTTATCCTTCGTGGGTTCAGTGATATTACAGGACCTCGTTCCCCTGTATTCGTTTATAGTTTGTATTATTTATATCTAAATAATTTCTCCTATGTGAAAATCAGTTCGCATTTTTGAACAGTCAGAAATACAATATAATGAAATTTTCACAATGCCGCAATTATTCTACAAATGCGTGTTTACTCATCCTTAAAACCACTGATCAATATTTTTCATCGATTTCACCGTCAGGTAAGTAATATAGGTTATTAAAACAGGTTGGTGTGACGTAGTATTGTACAGTAAACATCTCCAAGAAGCAGACCACAGTGACCTAGCGAGTGTCAGCGTGACCTGGGTGCTGCTGCCATTCCTGGGAAGTGTGGTGGTGGTGGTGGTAGATGGTGGAGTGGCTGGTGTGTGTGTGTTGTGGGCACGTGTGAGAGAGAGTGGTTCCTGGGGTAAGAGGCAGCCCGCTCAACACCCGTCTCGCTTACTCAATACCCTAACCAAAACATTAGCTCTACAGTTGTCTATAAATCTAATTATTACATAACTGTCCTGGGTCATTGTGCTCGGGCAGGACTTCCCCGATGAGGGTAGGGGGGAGTGGGAGGGGCGTTTCCCTGTAGGTATGTGGGGTGAGGGGTGAAAGTGAGTGGTGGTGGTGGTGCCGGCGAGGTGTACATAACATGGTGCCCCAGCTGCCCCCCACTCACTCACACGCTGGATTTAGAATAGTCAACACACAGACACACATACGGACGACCGAATTGTGGAAGTTAGTCGCAGTTGTGAGTATATACGTACCCACGGACGCTTGAGTATCTGCCTGAGAACACCACGACCACCAACCCCGTTAAAGTTTTGTTCCTTGACGTCAAGCTGGGCGTGTTAAGGCGAGTTGAGGAACTACAAAATTAAACAAAATAGGCTGGTAAGTATTGTTGTTGTTTTTCAATATACCAACACTTACCTATACACACTTTATATGAATTGATCATTTAAATTATATATTACCAGGAGTCACCAACACGTTTCAATAAATGAGTTATGTTAAGTTGTTTGCATTTAGACGTAGCCTTTATGTTGATATTTAACCCCTATCGTACGGCGGTGAGGCTATTGTAATCGTTGTTTGTTTTGGTTCGTCACTGGATGAATAGTGAGTGTTACTTTTTACCAGTTTCTAATATAACTAGATATTTTAGGTCAAGTTTTATTACAAATTTGTTCATTTGGTGTTGATTTTTTTCGTCTCAACATGACCTTATTTGACCTGAACTGTGACCTTGATGTCTCATCTGTAGTCAAGTGTTTTCTTGGTAGAGAATTTTTGCGGATTCTTAAAATTCCTTGAAATCTGCCACCCCTGCAGCCCTGGGTTGATCTATAACACACACAAACAAGGGGGTCAGTGACTCCTGTGTGTTGTGGTCAATGGCTTTTATGAGGTCGTGTATCAATAACCTGCTTTTATTAATATCAACAAACGTATTCGATCTTGAAATACTTGTACTGGTTTATGTGTGTGTGTTCAAGGTTGGCGTGTGTCGAATAACTCTTAACAACATCTGAAATCTAAAGACACAACAACACTACTTTCTACTTCAATGTCGGAAATGAATTGATAAATACAAGATTCTCAAAATAGTTATAAAGGTCAGGTCAAAGGTTACTCACAACAAAAGGTCATAGTACAGGGTTAAAAGATACTAACCTCAGATGGTTTTTCTTCCTTGGTAAAAACTCATAACCCGTTTTACGTGGTCAATAGTGATCTTGATGTACACAAACAACAGAAACGTGTCCAGAACGTGTCCTTGCAACCGATGTTCGACTCGTGGCAACCGATACAAGTAGCCTCGCGTCATGTAACATCAGACGTGATTCTCCGGAACTCGAGGGTGAAACTTTTATCGATTTTACTAACTTTCACTATGCCTAGAGTTTAAGGTATCATAACTCATACCCAGTTAGTTTAGAGTCTTATAACCCGGTGTTAATATGATTTTTTAAAGCTATTATAACCCGTATTAATTTAAGTTTAAGATATTGTAATCCGTATTTAATTAAATTTTAAGGAATTATAACCTGTATTTAATTAAAGTTTAAGGTATTATAACCCGTAATTAATTTATTTTTAAGGTATTGTAACCCATAAGTAACTAGATTTTATGGTATCATAACTCCTAATTGCTTAAAGTTTGATTTATAATATAAGTGTTTGTACAGACGTGGTCCAGCTGAATTATGATAGCCCACATGACAAGCTTGACGTGGACGCTGGTGTTGGCCCTCTCCTGCACCTCCACACCTGCTCTCTCCCGTAAGTTGCCTCATCCTACCTCTTTGTTATGACCTTTATGGTTAACCCAGTTATTCTACCTACAGGACAGGATATAAGGACTTCGTGGTCAGTAGAAATAATGTTTTGACCCGAGGTCAAAAGAAGGGATAGACTATTTGTATGGGAGATATGACTGGAGAAAATGGCTCCACAATAAGCAAAATTATTGTATTGTGTGACCAAAACAACCCAATTATAACCAAAAAGTTAACTAGGGTCATTTTCTCACAAAGCCAAAGGAGGTTAGGTTAGAGGTCGTTCTGGTTGGAGCCATTTTGGTTAGAGAGAGGAACTTTTTTCTTGAAACCATGGAGATCACCATAGGCGGAGGTAAACAACTAGCTAGGGAACACTGCTAGCTTTGGGTAGATTTCACAGGTCCGTCTAAGCTTCAGTTTTTATACGCTGAATAAATGCACTACTCAAAGCATTCTTCACCCAATAACCTTACCTTTCACTAACGTTTAACATTGTATGTAGAATATGTTTTAACCTTTATACTCTATAAGATAATACGTGAGTCTTGTCCCGTTGCCAGGTTCAGTCGATTCGGCAGCGACGGGGGACGTGGAGAAAGTCGGGTCGTCGGAGCTGGCCAGTCTTGAGGCTCAGCTCTCCTCCTCCCGCATTGTCTTCCCTGGCAGAGTTACGAGTCGACACCTCCACCAGCCGGGCATGGTAGGTTCATCCCTCTTTAAAATCTATCACTTTATTATGGTTTAAATAAATGAATGGTGTTCAAGGTGTTGTATCCTAACTGTACGCAAAAGTTTCTAACTCTGGTCAGTCCAAGTCGGGGAGGAGTTAGTTTGCCAGGCGTAGGTGTGAAGAAAAATAAAATGTATTTGATATCCCCAAGGACTGCCATCTTTCTGATCCCACTTATAATCAAATCATACATCAGTCATTCGTTATTCATGTATTACTTCACTCTACTCCCCACGAGAGGGCGATCACGTAGCATGGAGGGGCCTACCAAGCTACAGGTACTTTTACCCCCGGAGGTCAATATTTTACGGGAATTTTAGGCTCGTTTCCCCAGAGTCCACACCTTTCTACAAGTACGCTACAATCTTATAAAACACAGAGTCTCTGCAATCTAAAGTACTTACTATCAATTAAATTAATATTATTCACAGGGTTTAATTTCAACTGATGCATTTGATAACTGGTGAGTTTACTTTCACTTATTTATTATTGTAGATCGCTTCGTCGAGCCGCTATCCGTCCTGGCCAATACGTCACTATGACACTGAACTAGACCCTCTACTAGCAAGTGAATCTAGAGAAGAGAGAAGAGAGTCGGGTGTGGGTGCTCGCCGCCAACGCCACTTGCCTCTGGTACAAGCGAGACACCAGATGAACAACCCGTGGCGTCAGGCCCGGGAGAGAGGTTACATGCCCAGGGGTCGGCCTCTCTCACACTCCTCACTCTGGTACTGGGACTAACTAACTGACTGACTAACTGATTGACTAACTGTCTGACTAACTGATTGACTGACTGACTGACCAACCTGACTGTGTCTTAAAGTCCGGGATTTGTTATGATTATTAGTACATAAGCAACCCCTTCTGTGTTCCTAGCATGACTTAACTAGGACGGGTTTGTAGTATATTAAAGCTGACTGACACTGATGGAGTCTACAGTTTAAACATACTGTACATATGTGGCCGGTTTAGTCAATTATTTAATACACATTTAAGTATGTATGTTCCAGGCCAGTAATTATTTTTATAAAGTCTAACAAGTGTAAATTAGGGTGCATTATTCTACTGCCGCGAGTCACAATGATTTTTATGCGAATTTCATTTTTCTCGTGGCAGGCGATGAAGGACACGTTCACCTGTCTAAAGATATACTGTAATTCAAAGATGACGGACAAAATGGCGCCTGATTACACTAAGACTTCCGTAACAAAATGTGTTGTTATCCTCAGTTAGTATAAGGCAGAATATTCACCTATTAATGTGCAACCTGTAAAATATGTGATGCAGTATTAGTACAGTACTCTGTTATGTATCCTCCTACTCTAAAATACTCATCTCACATGTAAATATATACATACACACGTACACACATTAAAATGAATATGTTAAATACATTACTATTATACTGTATGGGGTGTAGCCTTCTGTGGAGTGTGGGATGCTAATCTAATACAAACACAACATGGACGAACCAGTGGACTGAGTCATCTGAACGACCAGAGTATAATAAAGAACGTTTCCTCACTTTCAGTTGTTACGTAATATTTTTCTTTGCATGTAGGACCACGGGTTGAGTAGAGTATTGTTTGAACTATATATAAGACGTCAACAACTATTTATCTATTTATATCTCATATACTATTACCCTGTTATGCCAAATGTAGTTAATAAATAAATACCTGATATATAAAATGCCAAGTGTTCATTTATCTTAAACTTACTATTATAAAATGTTACTCTTATCCATTTCTGAATTATATATATTTTTTTAACTAGTCTTTCATTCACATGTTGCTTTCAACCACGTCATATCTCTCGATCCCCATTTGTTTTCATGTAGTGTCTAGAGTCGACGATTCACTCCCAGACGATACTACCACCTCAACACCTCCCCTGTACATACTAAACATAATCGTCTTGAGAGTATTTATTTGACTCTTCACGAAACTTAATTTATAAAAAAAACATTAAAGATTATTAAAAAAAGTATCATATGCAGTATCTTTATGAATATTATCAAAGGTAATAATGTAAGCCAACTTGGTGACCACAGACGTTGTTGACAAGAGACAGACTCACACTCCACGTTACGGTGACCCTCAGTCGATTCCCTCCAGTTTTAAGAGTAAATGTTCTTCAGTAGCACCGCACCTCACAGGAATTAGAGGGCAGGTGACAGCAAAAGTAACAGAGTCTACAGAATCAGTAGATATAGTTGAAGACAGCAAAATGAAAGGGAAAGCCGAGAGAGGAAGCAGAGGGACAGGTTAGTAAAAGGATTAGCAAAGTCAGCACAGGGTCAGTAAAGTCACAAGTATCAGTGTCGGGTCAGTAAAAATATCAGCAGGCATCAGATGGTCAGAAGAGTCAATACATGATAGTAGAGTCACCACAGAGTCACTGGGTGCTGTGTGAGTTGTTGGGGTGGAAGTGATGTTTGGCGTCTAGCAAGAACTTCACTCGTAGTCCTGGTAATAGGGGAAGTCTGAGCCCTGGAGGTGCTTCAACGTCCACGTCTTGAAGGCCTTCTGCTGTTCCTCCGTCAGGTGATTCTTCCAGTCACCCACCTGAGGGACAGATGGTGAATATAGATAACAACCTCAAAATGAGAGAGTAAGAGAAGGAGAGGTTAAGGAGGGGCAAAGAGCGAGACATTTAAATGGATTAGCTCACCTTGCCCTTCCTCATAAACTTGATGTCTTTCGCGCGCTCATTGTCGATCGCTAGGATACTCTCGTGGTTAACAGACGCGTTATTGCTCATGGTGCTGAAGGAACAGTGCTGGGCGAGCTGCTCCACCTCTTTCTCGTTAACCTTTCTCCCCAGGAACGCTGCCACCCTCCGCACCACCGCCGGTAAGTCCTGTCAACACAACAAACCTCCCTGTTATTTTTACCTCAGTACTGCTAATTCTGAAAAAAAAAATAGTGAAATTTCTTAATGAATAAACAATCTGTACTTCATTTTAACTACAACAAAAAATAATGTGAGGGGAGGAAGGAAAGAATCAAGGGAGAAGAGAAGAATAGGAGAAAGGAAAGGGCGAAAGAAATGGGAGAACGAAGGACGAGAGAAGCACCGCTAGAGTGAGAGGAAGAACAAGAACCACTTACTTCCTTCATCTCCTCGAAGCGGATGAAGAGGATGTGGTCTTGGTCCCTGAGGCGCCAGAAGTGGAGGGTGTGTGACCAGAAGGGGGACCACGGTACTGCACGCACGACACCGAGTTACAGAAGGCAGCAGCAGCGGGCACAATAAACACAGCAGCAGAAATAGTAAGACTAACGCACATATTTATTTAGTATTCTCTTTAACGTAATAATAATGTTGCTCTTATTTATCCACAAACTGAACAAACAATATATTTAATTAATGTTTTAGTCTCGTAGCCTTACTAATTTTTCTAAATAGGGAGGCTAAGTTATGTTCAGGAAAGTTAAATTCGGTAGAGGTAAATTTGATTAAACCCAGGTGAGTTTGGCTATGTCCAGGTGAGTTTGGCTATTTCACAATTTCATCCTGGTTGTTTAGGTTCAGTTCAGGCATGTTAGGTTAAATCCAAGTAAATTTAGTTAAGTTCAGGAAGGCCAAGGAAGCAGTACTCACACATGTCACCCAGGAACAGCTCCACGAAGTCTGACAGCTCTCCCTGGTAGCCGTCCAGCTTGATGGAGTGGAAGTAGTAGGAGATGCAGACGTCACGAGGATCACGACACACGTACACCACCTACAGGAACGACTCACTCTCTCAGTTCCAGTAGTTTAGGTGAAATGTTCTTTATTAATTTTTTTGGTGTGTGTATTTTTAAATCTCCTAGTTCTAAATCCCTCATAAATTCATCTAACCTAACCTGCCCCCCCCCGCCCAGGTAGCGTTAGGGCGTTTCATCATCGGGTGAAGTAAACTGGTAGGTTAGTGTAAAAAAAAAAAAAATCACCTTTGGTTTGACTTCCCAGATCTTCTTCGGCAAGATGGGCTTCTGCAGGTGGCATTTGATGGTCCTGGGGGCGGGCATGGTGTTGAGGATGCGCCAAGTGTTACCAGGGAGGCAGGGGTCGTCAGGATCCTGGTCTGGGGCCTCCTCCACTTCGTCAGGCATAAGGGAATCCCACCTGTACATTCACACAATCTCGTTATGGTAGTCTCAACATAATATTGGAGCCTTTGTTTATGTTTTTGTCGCAATTTTAAAGAGTCATGTGTATAATTTCTCCCCGAATTATACATTAATAATTCGCCTTTAAAAGTATTAACTGCAACTTCAACAACGATTTTCTTTTTGGAATACGTTAATCTTTATTTTTTCGCGTTGTTTTCCCAGTAAGCATGTAATACACACACGTATGAACATTATATATCAACTTACATACATATATATATCTTTTGTGTATGGTATGATGCTCACACCATTATTACACTCAGTATACACATTTACAGTAAACACTAGTACACCCAGCAACACCAAGTACACCTAATATATACAAGTACACATACCATACACGGACACAAACAAGTTAACAACACTAGCCAGACACCCAAGATGTACAAACGGGTACAATAATAATCACAATACGTGCACGATCAAGGAAAATGTACAAGAGAGATAAACACATGAATTATTATCAGCAGTTTATGAGAGAAGTGACCAGGGAGGACTTACTCATAGAAAGGGAACCGTTTCATGAGGCTTTGGTGAGCCGCTTCGTGGTTAAGGCCGTGAACTAAACACCACACAAGCTCCTGCATCCACGTCGTTCCTGAAGATGAACAAGGCGTAAATAACACTATACAACGAAGCCATTCAACAAGAACTCTGACACATCACCATTTATATGTAAGATACTATATTTTCAAGTGTTCAAGGAATTTTGTCCGTAACGGCGCTTATGACATGCAGTTAACAGTACAGGAGGTTTTGAGTGTTTGAATAGCAGAGCTTCTATAAGTCAAAACAAGTGATTGCGGGCACCTTCGTGCTTGGCTAGCGTACAGCGAATGAGGGTGTGCCAAGTCCGTAGACTTGCAGCGTTTTCATCGTAAATAAAATGGTTAATTGATGCCTTCCTAAAGAAACCATCGACATGGGACCAGGTTTGTTCCACTCTACGAATTTTTTGCGATTTTTCCACCAAGTTTGATGAAAAACGATTGTGCCGTTTAGGCTGCCCAGAACAGACAGACAGACAGACACACGCCTAGTCCTATAGTATATTAGATATAATGTTGGAACCTATAAACAGTGAGAGACGCCCTTCACAACTGACCAGCGAAAATTTGAAGGCTGGTGTAGGGAAAGTGTAAGACAGATGTTTACAAAACTAACTTGATCTCAGTTGTCAATAACGGATCAGTGCATCTCTATTTATGTTTTTATTAAAATTCAGATCACACATTCACGAAGCCTTCCTTGCAAGGTTAAGTCAGAGCTAAAACTGAGTCTGTGTGTTTGTCAATAATTCGGCACAGCAGATTCAACACCATGAAATCTAGAAACATGAAACATGGCAAGCATAGTAAGAGGACCCTGGGAGTGTGCGTCTCTACTTAATGCATCGTCACGCATGGTAGATTAAATAATTGAATGTCCTTAATCCTGGTAGTAATTAGATGCTTGATAAGTTACCAGGGTTCATGATCTTATAAATATACCCATGTTCGAATTTATAAGTTGCCTGTAAATATAATTCCTGTGCACGTAATGAATAACTTGAGAGCAGAATCTTTGACTGAACTCCGAGTGTTGATCGATACCGAGTTTAGCAGCTACGACACGAGAAGCCTAGCCTAACACTTATCTTTAATGTTGCGGTGGTGTGCAGTGATAAAGTTACGACAATTTATAAAAAGGTTGATAGTGAGAGAGACAAGCTATCTACAAAAAAATTATTTGTTCTGGCTTACTCGAACGTTACCCTCAGAGTTTACAAAATAGGATAGAATAATGGATTAATTAGGTTGACTGTATTTATGGCGTTTTCCACTGACTGCCACGTCGCGAGTATTTAAGGACCAAGGTTCTGGACATGGTAATTGTACTGTAAAGATCATCATCGCGGTTGATTTTGGTTCAGATATTTCTTTTTTTCATTCATTTCTGTCCTAATTACTCTCTTAAACTTTAAATTTCTCGATTTTTATTTTAGGGGAATCTCGTACACTTCATCTTTTTATAATTGGTTAAAAGAACAAATTAAACTTAGCCTAACCTACCTATCTTTACCTAATGATCATAGTTAAATTAGGTAGGGTGACGGAGTGGGAGTCTTGTGGGTAATGATGGATAGAAGAATGAATGGATGGATGGGGTAAAGGAAAGCAAGGTGCGACCAGGTGCAAACATAGGATAGCTAACTAGTATCACTTGTGTTACTATACCTGACTTGGGATAGGTGATGACCCAGGTGTCGTCCTTGTTGATGGGGAAGGTGGCATAGCGCTCGTGCCAGGACGGGTAGTAGCTAGGCATCACCATTTTCCCGGGATTGATCTCGATAAAATCTTTGTAGAAGCCTTGCAGTTCCTTACGCAGTTTGTCTCCCAGCGGTCCCTCCACTGACTTCATCGAAAATCTTAAAAAAAAAAAAAAAAAAAACAGCAGCGTAAATACACATTGAGATATAATTCGTATTGGAGGATGTTACCGCCACAGTAAGATAAGCTAGAAGAGAGAGAAAGAGAGGGATAACCATAATAAGATAAACTAGGCGAGAGAGAGAGAGAAGGGATGAGATGAGGGATATAGTGTTGACAACGAATTTGCTGACCAATCTGCTGAGGTGTTTCAATACGAAAACATATGGCCCTCGCCTCCGGGCTGAGATTGCCCTCGAGGGTAGTCTACTGATTTTTACAGGACAGACAACACGTTGGTTCAGACCACTAGACCCTAAAACGTGAGTGATCGTGAAGTATTAGAATCTGCTAAGAAACTCTAAATAACTTTAATAAGTATATTTGTGTACTGCAATTTGATCATATTATACCAATTGTCTCCTGTATCAATAGTTATAACATGCGAGTTATACTTAAGATGTTAACAGGCTATGTACTGTATATTGATTGTATTTCATAATATGTGTCCTGAGATAACAGCATTTGTTATATGAGAAATGTTCTTTAACAGGTTTTGATCGAATTATATGGTACGCGTCAACGTTGAGGGTTTATTTCTCCAGCAACAAACCAATAACGCTCCTATGAGCGTTAACAGAGGATATAGAAGCATGAAACGAAAGCTATGGAGGAGCTATGAAAACAAAAGAAGCACGAATGGTTAACTGAAGGAATGCGAGGCGGCAAGACGTCGATGAATCAGCATGAGTGAATGAGAATGACGCGTTAAGGGTGTGGGGATAAGGTACGTTGGTTTCACATTTAGAAACCGCCTTTTAGTTGGACTTTTGAGCTACCGCCAGTCACCTGTTCATTTACCTAGGTTGGTAAGTAATCAGACAGGACAAAACGGCAAAAAAAAAGTTAAACAAGTACAAGTGGTTGCAGATAGGTATGTTCATATGCACCCGCCGTTCGTATTTCTGTCCCAGTTATGTGTTGCCACTATTACGAAGAAAGTATCTAATTTAGAGCAATGAACCTACTGTAGTCTTTATTTTCATTATTATTCCTTAAAGTTGTTAATGGTATAGTTGTAATGCTCAGTGTGTCTCTCCGTGGTTTCTTAATCATTATTCTGTTGAGTACTGGTGATTATATTGCCTTTAAATAGAACTGACAATTTTGAGAAATGAAACAATAAATATATAATTTGTATCACCAATGGGCTTTATTGAACTAGTGTCATTTTGATTTGTTTATTTGTTTACAGTTTACATTATTTCTCGTCAGGTTCTTGGAAACCAGTTTTAACGTTATATGAACGCATCACAAGCTCTAGCTAGAAGACACTTGGCTCTTTAAATAAAAAAAAATATCAAATTCACGATTTTGGGTATGACTTTGCTTGGGAGATTGGTATCCCCGCATCCCCTGAGCAACGCTCTTGTGCGTTAAGCAGAAGACCCGACAGCCGCACCCTTATTCACTACCTCCTAAGATGCCCCCACACACAACGCTTCCGTGACGCCTGCTGGACCACCACTCCACGACCCCCTGACGGAGACACGATGATCCTCCCCATACTGGCCAGATATTTTGTAAATAATATTGATTATGTGTTAAAGGAATATCCTTCCTTCCTTAGGCTTTAGTAAGCCCCTTTATAATATTTATACTGTATATACTTTTCACACTTGCCGGATGCTTCTGGTGTCATTGTACAGGGGTACCTAGTGACAGCACTAGGATCCCGCTTCCTCTATCAAGGAATAAACAATTGAAATTGAATTGAATTCACGATTAAGTTGTTGATGTACGATAATAAGAAAGATAAGATGGTTACAGAGAGGCATTTACTACTGACTTACACAGTGCAGTACAATGTATACTTGTACTGTTTGTGTACATGCTAAATATCTTTCATTCAGGATATCTATTTATCAATCACTTTAACACTTAGGATGTTTAACTCATATTGTCCATAGCTCCAGGTGTTTTGATCTAAAGCAAATACGATAAAACAAAAGCTGGTGACTCCTGGGTAGAGCTCAAGGTAATAATAGTCTAGCGTTATCAGGGTGTCGAGGGTATGTTGGGTGTTTCTCTAGTATTATTTTTATTTCATATAAGTGGCAGATGTTCTGCTACTGAAACAAAGAATAATTATATGTTAATTTTAGGTTAATACGGAGATAGGGGCCGTAGGGAGAACACATTGGTTCAGCAGGTACAGTACGTGGCGCATGGTATACACGTATACTAACTGTACCTGCACTGTTTATACACATCGTATGCCTGTAGTGTGACTGTACAGTCCTTATTGAACCTATAAATCTTATAAGATGATACTACTAAGTCAATTACGTCTAACTATATCCCCTGGCACCCATAAACAGCTAAATATAGTGAGATATGAGAACACTTGTACTTGGGGATGCGGGCACATCAGCTGGAAGGAAAGACAGTAAGCCTGAGTAAGGGGTATCCTAATTGACGGCTGGGCAGAACTACTTCCTGACGCTCTCTGTTTTATGAATAAAATGTTTAATCTACATCAAAATAGAGAACATCAATATAAGAGCTTACCCCTCCATGTTTATTCTCAGGAACACAGAGATGGAGTCTTGGTGATGAACAACACAGTCGCACTGCCAACACAACTCCCACTGCATTAAATCGGCACCATTCGCGTCTGGCAGCGCTGTTACTCGTTATATCTATTTATCTAATTTTCATGACAAACTGCCCTAATGCGGGTACACCTATAGATCTGGGAAATTTCATTGTTTAAAAGCTTTGTATATTAACATCAAAGCAATGAGAGCCCTGACAACAGTGTATACAAACTATAGTAGTATTAACAATGCGAAACTCACAGCATCCTTTGACCAAACACATGCTTCTGGTGCCACGGCTACAAAGACTGCGTCTCCATAACTATTATAATTAGTCACCAGTATCACCAAGTTTAAGGGGATATACTTCATGCTCGAAAATAAGGATCCACTACTAAGGTAACTTCACGCTAACTTTGGGAGGTATATGAATGGTGAGAACCTGATCTAAATACATGTATACAGTAATACCTCCGCTACACACGAATCCTTCTTTTGTTGAAACATATCAGATATCTAAACCTCATCAAATGGGTATGTCTCAGAGTTATCACGTCTGAAATTAACTTAGCCAGTGGATTATTTCTGGTCTAGTTAAGATTATCATTAACATCTACAGTGAAGTTAAATGGCAATATGTTTCCATAGCGAAGAACAGTTAACATATTCGAGTACACACGATGTCTGTCACGGCACGTAAAGGGGAGAGGGTTGGTGGCTGAACAGGAGAGTACTTTAGTCACACTGCTCTTACCGTCTACCACACTGCCCTAATTTCCTGCCACACTGCTCTTTTTCTATTATTCTGCCTTACTGTTAATTATGCTAAGCGTATTGTCCTCGAGAACTAAGCTACACTACAACAGGTTATTAAGGAACACTACTGTAGGTTAGATTAGGCTAGGATAGATCAAGGTTAGGTTAGGATAGCATTAGGGTAAGTTAGGTTACTTTAGGTTAGATTAACATTAGTTTAAATTAGTCTAGGTTATTTTAAGTCTGGTTAGCATTACGTACAGTTAGGTTTGCATTAGGTTAGGTTAGCATAAGTTAGGATAGCTTAGCATTAGGTTAAATTAGGTTAGGTTAGTTTTGATTAACATTAAGTTAGGTTAAGTTGGATTAGCATTAAGTTAGGTTAGGTTAGAATAACATTAAGTTAGGTAAGGTTTGGTATGAGACTTTTCCCTGTGGCCTTTCTTCCAACATTAAGTTTTCGATTTCGTTAAAAATTTATATTTATTCACAAATTGATCATAATTATACTAACCTTGACCACGGGATAATTTAGATGATTAAATATATACAAAGGGGAACTATTTTTTGTGTATTATTTATAGACAAACTTACATGGGAATATAATTAACATTTTTTATATAGTGATGATGAAGTAATGCAGTGAAGATACAGTGATGGTATACTGTAAGTGTGGTGTGTGTGTGTGTGTGTGTGTTTGTCAGCCAGCTCACACACACACACACACACACACACACACACACACAAACCAAGGCTTCCGTTTATCCTCGTTCTATTATGCCCTTCAGTGTGTATCCTCTCTTACCAGTGAACCAGGGTGGTTTTATGCAATTATATCACAGGTCAAGGTCAAAAGAGTTCTCTATATATGGCTAGGCTTTCTTTCCCAATTGTACTACTTCAGCGCTGAGAAATTTCCCTCCTATTTCGCGCGTATTTATGTTGAAAGTAAATATCCAGTATGAACACGAAGGGTACGTTCTTATCATAGTGATTATGTCTATATTTACCTCTATACGGTGCTTGCGTGAGGGGAGCATTTATTTCACATTAAATACCCGAGATTTGCTTTGCGATGGCGGATGTTTTAATGGTGGGTAATGCGGGTTTATGTGCGGTGAAGGTGGCGTGGTGTTTCCCAGTTAATGTGGAGAGGTAAGCTGGAGGTTCTCACGTCTCGGGGGGGTTGGGGGGGGGGTAATATTGATCCAGTGGTTGGTTCCTCCCGTGACCCAGACCTGACTCAAACACTCACGCACAACCAATGTTTACATCTTGACCACCCCCATCCTCTCTCTCTCTCTCTCTCTCTCTCTCTCTCTCTCTCTACCGTGCACTTCCACAGTATATTTTAAGACTTCCTGGTCTCGTGTGATTACCTAGGAGGTGGCAGGGCTGCACAAAATATTTCTGGCATGGATGAAGCCTAACGAGCTAATGCAAGGGGGCGAGTGATAGGTGAAGCTTGTGCCAGGGAGGTCAACTACTTCCCAGGAGGGTCATCTACTAGCCAAATTAGGCAAGTAGAATGTTTACCAAGCAGTTGGTGACTAATTACCCCCCAAAAATTGGTCGTACAGGAAGTTAGTTGTGTATAATTAGACTAGATTTTGCCTTTGTGTTAATAGTGAAGGAATTACCTGGAGATATTGTATTTCTTGAAGCGTACAGTAGTTCATTGTTTATCCAGTTATGAATTAATAAGATTTTGTTGTCATTGTCTTTCTCCTCTTCTCTTCTCTCTTGTTTCTACTTCTTTTTTTTTTACCAATTACAAAAGAAACAAACAACACAATAATTCACGATATCAGGGAAGGTAGTTAAACTGGTATGGTCACACAATTCCTGCGATAAAAAAATCTTAATTTGAAGATAATTTGACTTTTATAGCTTGAAAGATCACATAAGAAAGGAAAGCTTTAGAAATTATCGCAAATTATACCAAATGCAATTATTCTGGCGGTGTTCTTTGGGAAATAATTACCATGAACGAATTATGAGATTTTTTTTTCTCAAACGGACGTAAGGAATTATACGAAAACTGAATATAAAAAAAATGGTAAGAGAATAAATGGAAGTTAATGAGGAAGAATTTAGGAGTGGGGAGGGGGGGGGGGCAGTATTTTGAGCAACTTTTTTTCTCTGACTTTTTTCCAGTAACTTTATTTCCGTTCTCCGTACTACTCACCGTAAACTCGTAATGGTTGAGCGGTGAAAACGTAAGAGAGAATGAATAACCGGAGTGTATAATGAATGACAAACTGTATGCATGTATAGGTCCCATAGCAAGTCATCTACGTTTTTAAAATCGTCGTTACTGGGTATATCTACTGTACGTTACTGGTACACTACAGTATATAAAGTGTATAATGTATAATGTCTCGTCTACGTATCGATATATCGTATGTATGTATGAGTCGGTATATATTTTACAAGTTTAGTATGTTTTTTAATTATCGTATTGTGTTATTATAGACCAGGATATAACTTATATTCTTCATAAGTTCCCACACGTCAAGGTTGTATTGATCAGCTCCACTAACTACTCGGTCTTGTTTTTGATCTCATGCATTTGTTGGAAGATTTACATGAAACCTGCGGCTATTCTCTCGCTAAAAACGACCTCGGAATTTTAGGTTTTGTCTTGTAAATCGTCAATTTTTTTTACGTGAATCTATGGTGGAATAAATCGTTTCGTGTATTGTTTATTATTCGGTTCTATTTTCCGCTTTTTTTTTTTTATCATTAGTTACGTTATTGAATATTTAGGAAAGTTCGGCAGCTAAAGCTATTTGTCGCCACCGTTATCAATGTGTATACTATGTATGTTCTTGTGTAAACAGATTTAGCTGAGTGATATAATTAATACTCGAAACATGCATGTGAGTTTATTTTTAGAAAGGAGTGACGAGTGGTGGTATGATTATTTCCGTCGACATAAATTCATCACAAAGTCGTGTAGGGTACAGCAGTCAGCAGCGTTTACCACCATGTTCATGCCACGGTGTAGTAAATAATGGGATGAACAAATATGACAGAGACACTTGTAGTCATTGATCGCGGGACAACTGTGCACTTGCAGGTGACCTTGGTGGAGGAGGACCTGCCCCGGCTGCCTGCGTGCTAACAGTTGTGATGGATGGTCACCGTCACACACGCTAAACCCTCAAACAAAACACAGAATTATTCACCCTGGTGATACTCCTAGCTCACTGGGTTTGCCTTTATACTGACACAGCACGGAGTCTTTAAGAAATACTTACTTGGACTTAAATGTATATTCGTGTCAGTCCAGTACTACAGTATATCAGATTATATCATATATTTTACGTCCTTGCACCTTGGGTTCATGCTTACGCTTTATTTGGGGTATAACAAAGGTTGGTATGCGTATTATGATAGCATCCCTGGTGACCTGAACGTGCGAACACTTTTTGTGGGCCGACGTTACCTGTACCGGGACTTGCCTATGACCTTCAACGTTGATATTTCTCTCCATTATGACCAAAGTCAAAGTAAGAGCAGACCCGTTCTCTAATGGTCACGTCATTTGCAATTTATGCTGCTGAGACTAACACGCGCGTCAAAATATAGCTCAATAATGAAGTGATTTTCCTGCACGAGACATTATCAGCAGGTTCTAAATTGTAGTAGTTTTCTCTTATCTCAATCCATAAAGCTGGTTCGTAAGACCGGTAAGATACATTAGTACCGGGCTCACCACACTCACATCACCAATATAACAAACACCGAACAATTTTACCGAGGAAATAATGCTTAAAATTCCCCCCCAAAAAAGAGTTGAAATAAAAATAAAGTATTATACCCAGAAGACGTATAAGGTGTAAGAACAAAAATTCCAATACAGTTTAGCGTATCATTTCAAAGCGTATATACGCGTCCCACATACTCTGGCCCGCGCCTTCATTGGCCACTGCTTAAACTACTGGAATAATATACATATTTTCGTCATGTAATAAGAATTAATAACACTACACACCTCACAACACACTCTCTCCCTGGGTCCATTAGTCTTCGTTAAGCCGGTGTCGTAAATCACACCAAAGCCCACACAGGTGTATCTCAGGTATCCACACACCTATTAATGTTACTTAATCACGTCCTTCTTTACCTGTATATGACTACTGGGTGTATGATGTGTATAGTTTTGAGTATGTTTCATACTATCAAGCTTGGTATTGGTCTGCAGAAGTGTTAGCTTGATCATACTAGCGCTACATACTCCTCTTTATCATCTTACTATACTAGTGCTGCGTGTTCATACTAGTGAGCGGAGATGGACTGACAGTTTGAGTGAGATCCAAGCTAGGAAGGTGTGTAATAATAATAATAATAATAATAATAATAATAATAATAATATTAATAATAATTAACAGTTTATTGAAAAAGTTCTGCAGCCCGAAGGCTGAAAATATACATTGGCCATAAATGACTTATTACATACATTGGTGGTTTAACAAAAGCCTTCATTAGAGAAAGGTAAAGCAACATACAGTGAACATACAGATTAATGTAGGATTGTACGTGTTGAACAGCAAACACGTAGTGTAGTAACTCCCTCCCAGATGGTGTTAGGAGGGACCTCACGTGATGAAGTAGTTCCCTCAGATGGTGTTGTGAGGGACCTGACGTGGTGTAGTAATTCCCTCACAGATGGTGTTATAGGGGACCTCACGTGGAGTAATTATCTCACAGATGGTGTTATGAGGGTCCTCACGTGGTGTAGTAATTCCCTCACAGATGGTGTTATGAGGGACCTGACGTGGTGTAGTAATTCCCTCACAGATGGTGTTATGAGGGACCTGACGTGGTGTAGTAATTCCCTCACAGATGGTGTTATGAGGGTCCTCACGTGGTGTAGTAATTCCCTCACAGGTGGTGTTATGAGGGACCTGACGTGGTGTAGTAATTCCCTCACAGATGTTGTTATGAGGGACCTGACGGTGTAGTAATTCCCTCACAGATGGTGTTATGAGGGGGCCTCACGTGGAGTAGTAATTCCTTCACAGATGGTGTTATATGAGTGAGGTTTGGTCCCAGGCCAGGCGTGTGTGTGTGTGTGTGTTAGCGACATGCCAAGGAAACGTGTTTAGAATTTATTTACGTCCAAACAACTAAGAACCAGAAAAAATGGTATTTTATATAAAGTATTAAAGCGGTGTCTTGTGGATAGTTTTTGTGTTGTGCATGCAGCGCCGACCACACTGTTCTCTGATGTCACGAGAGCCAGAACTAGTAGACAGGCGACAAAGAGGCTGGGAATATGCTTATCATAACATTGTACTTATTCCGGAACTGTTAAACTTTTCCTGTGTTTTCTGGCAATATAGTTTGATGTATTAACTACTATCCTTACAGACCGTGCCATTTCACACCAAGGACATTTGATCGTTCTAGAGACTTTAAAGTAAGTTTAGTATAAGAGTGAGAAACAGGGGGGAACACATCCTCTCTCGTGTTTATGAGGCGTGTGTTGAGGCATACTTCATCTAGTATTCTAGAGGCTCACAACCCCAGACGTGAGCGTGTGGAGCATAACAGAATTATATTACTGCATTGACACAACATAAACAACGCTACTAAACTTTATAGATGGTAATGAATATATTCGTACGCATATATAGGGTAGATTTTACTCTGGTAATATACTACCATTATCACAGTATCTAAATTGGGTTAGCTTAGGTTAGATAAATTAGTCATGGTTATATTATAATTAAGGTGTTTTGGGTATTTGTGTTAAAATGTTTTTCTGGGTATCATTTTAGACACAGGGAGCAACAAGGCGCCACACTACGAGGCCTGACTACAGTGTATACGGAACTGCTTCACTGGAGCCACTATGAACGTCCAGCGCAGCGTCCAGGCGGCGCAGTGTATCCCGCCAGCAGCTGGGGGGTCAGGCCAAGTGACCTACTGGCACAGTGTGGTGAGGGAGCGACCAGCCCGGGACCAACTGGGAGAGACGACAGACCTGCCCGAGGGACTCCTAAACATCCTCGGTAAGCCATAAGGGGTGTGTGTGTGTGTGTGTGTGTAATAAGCACTGAATATTACCTCTTTATTCCTTTACTTCCTCTTATGTCATGATTTTTTTATATACTTTACTCAATGTTTTTTTTATGTAAATATTTATTTTTGATCTCCACAACGAAACTTATTATTTACGAATTTTCTTGTTTATCTTGAGTCGTCATATAGAACAAAACATTAAAAATAGTTCCCGTTGTTAAGACAAAACGTAATTTAGAGCATATTAAACGAAGATGGCCTTCTAACCCCTTGTGTACGGGGTCCTCTCAGTGCTGAATAAAATCATCTGGCGTGAACCAAATAAAATATTATAAGTGGCGTCCCCGTAGTGAAGAGGTTAAACACTCAAGTGGTGGGTCTTAAGTCCCACTGGAACTACTAAAGACCTCGGTATAGGACTTGGGGGTAAGGAAGTTGGGATGCATAAGAGAACCTGCCCCCTCCCCGCCCCCTGTGTGTGTCGTGCTTGGAGGTGCCGTGAGGAAACGCCTTCAATTACTTCAGTGAAAGAAAACACTCATTTTGGTGGCAGTGGGAACAGCCTTCCTTCACTCGCCTCTGTGATCATTCTTGGCGCCGCGTTATCGGGAACTGCCAGCTGACGGCATCAACACGGACCACGATTTCATCTTGACCTTGTGTATTGTATGTCTGAAGATATCAAGGTGTTATGTCTATTGTATGTCTGACGATATTAAGACCTTGTGTTTTGTATCTAAAGGACGCTTCACACACACACACAAGCCAATACATACACTTCCACACACACATTCACTCCCAAACACCCCAAACACAACACCCCCTCCCCCCCCACACACACACACACACACACACTATCCGTATCCTATATAATGTAGCCTGACCAACAACAAGGAGGAAAAATATATATAAATACAACGTTGGTCCAGGTTTAGGAAAATGGTTGGATGAAATGAGTAAATAATTGTTGTGTTTGTGTGTTAAGCTAGTGTGTTTATAGGGTCGTTTATAAGGGGTTAGTTGTAGGTTGCTTATATTGAATAAACTTTGGGAAAAACAAAAGAGGATCACAGAAGATTATCCCCATCCAGTTTACAGTAAATCACCTTTAACTAACACTACCTGGGGGTTAGGTTAGTGTTTGGGTGGTAAATCTTAAGGTGGAATAATTTGGGGGCGGAGTCTTCAGGTCATCAGAGTCCAGACAAGTCAACAATATGTAACATAAAGGATGGATGTGAGCCAAGGGCTTTATTTAGCCCCCCGCCTCAGGTAGAGTTTAATTCTATCTCAGTGTCTCAGTGTGATATGTAACGCCAGACCTACGCGGTTGACGCCTCAGGATGGTCCGTAAATGTCAGGGACCACTGCCAAATCTTCCTGCATTAAGCTAGGTTATCACAAGAAAGTTTGTGGGAAAGTACTGGTCCTTGGTGACTCGTGTTCATATACTCCTGCGTGAGCCAGACACACTCCCGGTAATCCTCGATATCTTGTGGCGCCGCTATGATCGTGTTGTGGGGAAGTGAGTTCCCCACGCATCCCTCCTGGACCGAGTGACCCCCGCACTCTTGCGTGTGTAGCCTCACTTGGGTGGAAGGAGGACTTACTCCCGTGTGAGTCGTTCACTTGACACAATGCTGAGTGAGAGCGAGGCCTGATACTGTCTCAGGACAGTCTGGGCAGTAGACGGGATCTTCCCCGGTGTTTGCGTTAACTCCTATACTCCTGGCACATGGTAAGTCTGTCCCTGACGGCCTGTGAGGGGCACTGTATACCAATCTTTATTTCCAGTATGTAAGGAAGTAGTGCACTTGACCGTATTCACTTCCCTAACTGTATAATTAGGTACTCACAGGTGGAATAGGGATGTGGCCCCGGGAGCAAACCAATGGCTCAGAGGGTAGGAGTCGAGCACTGTATCCACTCGACAGCCTCATTCTATACCAAGTATATTGCTTACCGAAAAATCACAGACAGGTGATATTAATAACAGCAGCCCAGGTCCTGCTGCTCACTGACCTCGGCAACATCGATAGATTCTCTGGCCATCATAATTTGAATAGTTCGTCTGGTGTGATAGACGACTGGCGACGACCCACCCAAGGCTCCTATTGTTTCCTGTGCTGGTCATTAATCTTCCCGCCACACAAGCTACAGCGGTGGTGAGCCTGGTGGTGCGCCCTCTAGATGTAGACACGTGCAACAGAAACCATCATCTGTGAGAGGAGGGCCCCGTCTTGTTCACTACTCATTTGACGAGTAGGTGTTGCAGGGTCCATCTACTGCCGCGCGGATAGGTAGGTAGGTAGGTAGGTGGCTGTCCATGTGAAACCAGCTTTTGAGACAGGACTCCTGCAACTGACCTACCGAAACAGAAGTCGATTTCATGGTCGGGTTTCTTAAGATAAATATACCTGTGGTGGTGATGGTTAAGAGGCGGTGCTTTGTTGACAATTAGTTGGGCTGGGTGTCGTCTCGTTTCTCTGCAGAGCGTCTGTTAATCTCTCTCTCTCTCTCTCCTTATTAATTCACCACTTTTATATTACTGCCACGTCTCCGTTCATCAACCTATGTCTCCCTCATCAAGGTCGAAAAATCTTAATCGCGTGCCTCGACCGTCAGGGGGCTGTTCCGTGACGGTCACACACACGCTATAGAAATATTCACACGTTTATTCGAGTGACTTTAGAACCTGAGTTGGAATTAGTGAAGGCGAGGCTATTGATCGGGGGAAGAGAGAGAGAGAGAGAGAGAGAGAGAGAGAGAGAGAGAGAGAGAGAGAGAGAGAGAGAGAGATAGGCAGGTAAGGAGAGATAGAGAGAGAGAGGGGATGTAGATAGATAGTGAGAGATAGAGGTAAGGGAGATAAATAGAGAGGAGACAGAGAAAGTGGGTGAGAACGGGGGAGGTAGAGAGAGAGAGGGAGGGGGGAAGCAATAGAGAGACAGGGAAAGAAAGATAGAGATAGAGAGGGTGAGAGAGAGAGAGGAAAAGATGGATAGAAAGGGGAGAGATAGAGAGGCTGATAAAGAGAGAGAGAGAAAGAGAGGGAGTCAGTGTTGGTATCTGTGAGGGTCGACGATCATGTAAACTTGTGATCCACGTGACCTTTACACGCTCACCTCACCTCACCTCTCCCGCCCCGCCCCGCCCCGCCCCGCCCCGCCCCGCCCCGCCCCGCCCCGTCACAACCTCCACGCACCTTCTGGTAAAACAAATGCCATCACGCACCAGGAGACTTTCCCCAAGGAAGACCCCAGCTGAGAGAGAGAGAAGAGATAGAGATGAGAGAGAGAGAGAGAGAGAGAGAGAGTGTGTGTGTGTATCGGGGAGTGACAAGAGTTAGTAGTACAGTTTTTTCATACTGAGGAGGCATTGTTTACATTGTTTGTGTGTGTGTGTGTATGACGAGAGTGAGTCGGTGCGGTGATATATGCTGAACCATGTCTCTCTCTCTCTCTCTCTCTCTCTCTCTCTCTCTCTCTCTCCGGGACTTAGAAACCTTCCATATCAGGATAGGTTAAAGAAACTTAACTTGCATTCCCTAGAAAGACGAAGAGTGCGGGGAGATATGATAGAAGTATTTAAGTGGGTGAAAGGAATCAATAAAGGGGATATAGATAAAGTTCTTATAATATCCGAGCAGGATAGGACTCGGAGCAACGGATTCAAGTTGGATAAATTTAGGTTTAGGAGAGAGATAGGAAGAAACTGGTTCACAAATAGAGTGGTGGACGAGTGGAACAAGCTTAGCAACTTTGTAGTAAGTGCGGGAACTCTGGAAAGTTTCAAAAGGAGGCTAGATAGATTCATGGATGATAGAGAGTGGTAGTAACTCTCGACAGGAGCTGCCATGCACAGGCCAACCGGCCTATTGCAGACTCCTTATTTTCTTATGTTCTTATGTTCTCTCTCATCTGGTGGATTCAAGGCAAAAACACGCCATTATCCACAAATATGGATTAGTAAACACACACACACAGACACAGACACAGACACACACACACACACACACACACACACACAGAGAGAGACACACACACACATACACAGAGAGAGAGACACACACACACACACACACACACACACACACACACATACACATACACACATTCTTTCTGACAAAATCACTCCAATATAGAACAAGTAATGACGCAATACCACGAACAGATACACGCAGCTGTTGTAGTCACTACACACGAATACAATAATACACACACACACACACACACACACACACACAGGGGAATAGTATTAAACATGCATTATCTCCACATTCATACAGAGAATCTAAACCTCAACACAATACTTAAATAAACATAAACATTATCAAACATTGCACACAAGGCCACTAAGGCATTCACAAACGCAAGAAAACATTACATAAATAATATCACACAAACAAACACACACACACCACACACACACACACACAAACAAACAAAAATATTATTACACACGCATATACAACAAAAACATTATATGACATACATAGACAAGACTCATAAACGCACATCACAAACATCAAAAACACACATACAATATCATACAGTTTTTTCACAAACACAAAAAGTCACAAGCGTTTATTCATGGTCTCTGTCATCCCGTCCAGAGAGAGTTTCGTGTTGCGCTCCCAGACCTTCACTTTACGAGTCATCTGGCTTGTAATTTACGAAGACTGGTGGTGGTGGTGGTGGTGACTCTCTCTCTCTGTCTCTCTCTCTCTCTCTCTCTCAAGATAGATACAGATAGAGTTAGATAGATAGATAGATAGATTTATTCGGTAAAATCCTCATACACGTTTATATTGATTCAGTGTGTATATAGATAAGGCATGTATACAATATATGTATACATAGATAGTATAAGTACACATGGAGAATACACTTAGGTTGTCTGTCTGTGTATTCGTACAGTTCTATGTACCCAGTGGACAAAATCCAAATTACCTGAAGATTAGGCACCCTAGCTTATCTTAAGATTAACCACCCCTAATATAACCTAACCTAACGCTAACCTAATCTAACCTAACTCCCACAGGTAACATTAGGGAGGATAATCATCAGGTGAAATAAATTATCCCAAAATCCCACCATCTAAATAATTACATAGAAATTATCTCCAATACAAGATTGTTAAATTAAGAGTTTTAGGTTAAGTTAGATTATGTAGAAATGGGATTATGTCTGATAATTATCACACTGATTCTCTTTTTGTCATGTGTAGGTAACTTCGAGAACAGCAACAGCAGTATGAATCATGGGGGAGGAGGAGGATGAGCGTCGAGGGTCAGTGACGGGGCTATTACAGAGCTGTGTGGACCTCTACACCCCGCCTAGCCCTCGCCACCACCCACCTCCTGAACCTGATTGCTGGGAGGAGGGACGACGAACACTCAGACAGGACAAGACTAAACCCCTTCCCAACCCTCGACCTATTATAAAGAAAGATGATCCTCCTCTTCTTCCTACACCTCCTCAGAAAAAAAATGAACGTAGTGATGCGACAGCCGAGATGACAGTGGGCAAGAAGAAGACTTCACCGGGACATCTGACGCGGAAGACGAGCACCAGCGCCTTAAAGAAGACTGACGGAGGAGGGAAAGTTGGCAAGCATAAAGGCAAGGTTACTGTGGGACCAGACAAACAGGTAGAGAGCGGCAAGAGTGTCACGGAAGTGGCCGCTGCCGACGACCCCGCACCCAAACCACGACCAAGTAAGTGAGAGTACAAAATAAAATCATATATTTTCAACTCATGGCGGGACACCACTGTTAGATAGTTTGTTTGTTGAGAGGGTAAATTAAACGTCTCCCAAAGAGTATTCGAGGCGGTGATGATTGGCTGGGATTAATGACAAAATTAAACCTAATCTTATCTAATCCCAGCTAACATGGTATTAAATCTTAAAAGGCACTTAAACTAGTTTAATCTTGTGAACGTTTTTATATTCTAAGAATTAGATTATTACCTACGGGATCTTGTTCGCATAATGGTTGCTTGACGGTGCAGTTGTGATGGGCGGGTGTTCAGGGGCGTACCAGCGGGCGGTGAGGGAGGTGCGTGGCGCGACACCCGACGACAGTGTGGTACTGCTGGGCCTGCCTGGGGACGACAACGTCATCCTTCACCCTACCCAACCCGACCAGCTTCCCATCAACATCAGGTTAGCTCATATCAAAGTATAGCTGCAGGGAACGTTTAATATCCCCACAGATCAACAAACTTGGCATCTTTAGGTGATGGGAGCACAAACGTTACGTTACCGTTTTACAATTATTTTACCAGTGCGTTCTATATAAACTCACGGGGGTCATGATATTTTTAGTAAGTTTAATTTGTTCTTTCCTGAAGACTAGCCCCCTCCCCAGCTTATTTCACCTGAAGATTAGCTAACCTTAGCTGGGGTGTCCAAATTTCAGGTGATCCTTTTTTGTTTTAACTTTCTCAATATCTGAGGAAGTCCTGTATTTGCACAGATCATTCACGGTAGCCATGGCAGCGTCCAAGATGAAGGCGCTGGGGCTGCGTAAAGGCGCCACCACCAAGCAGGTTGTGTCAGCTGGGCGACGCGATGACCACTCAGAACGTGCCTCCAGCAGGAAGCCTGAAAGGTGAGGGTCAGAGGCAAGCGGTGTGTGTGTGTGTGTCAGTGTTACCTGGTATACACTCACTAGGTTAATATATCACAGCAAACTGAAAACATTCATCTATAAAAAATACTCAGGCTTTCAATTGGCTCACCTATGTCAATATTGTTATTATTGTCTACTCTGTATCTGTATTTTTCTGGCTAAATAAACTGTTTCAATATCAGTACCAGCTGTTTACCTCTGCAGGCCTCGGGTGGGTAAGAAAATGTTCGAGGACGCTTATGTGGTAACATGGAGTCAACCCATCCTGGCGGCAGACAACAGAGCCTTCAGCATCACCTTCGACAAGCCCAAGAAGGTAAGGCTCTTGTTACAGCCGAGCACCTCCCTCCTGAGCTTTGTTTGTTTTCTCTCTGTACACTGCGAAAAGTAACTCTTGATTATAACTGTGTGTGTGTATGGTTATAGGTAATGTTGTAATCACTTTCTTCGGTGGGATCTGTATGTTATGTTAATTTGTATCGGAGCATTTTGGTCAAAAAAGTGACTCATCCTGTGAACAATTGAGCATATTTACTGTTTTAAGAGCGATATTAACCTTTATTTCCTCTTGATATTAGATTACCACACTGCCTTGGTGATGCAACTGGGCATCATAAGATCTGTGACACTCACCAGCTGGGCACCATGTTTGCTGGTACCTTTTACATTTACTGTGACATGCACTGCATACTGAGGCTTACTTTTACTCCAGACCGACATGCACTGCAGATGTATCCTCCACACCGACGTGTACTTAAGTTTGACGTACACTACATCCCAATCTGTACTGCAGGTTCGTGTGGTTCGTGTGAATAAGATGCGGAGGAAGAGCCTGATAGCAGATGTGTTGCCACCGCAGGAAGACGAGGAGCCGGCAAGGGAGGAGGCGGAGTGGCTGGAGTGGAGGAGGGTGCACGACCGTGTGGAGCAGTGGCTGAGGGACAACACTAAGGTCGACCCTGACGAGTCACATGTCGTAGCTATGCTCCTCGACCCTGATACCAAAAAGGCTGCGCTCTTCAGATCCTAGCTCACGTCTGGCCTCTACAGTAACAGATTCCTTGCTGATGTAAGAGCTGATCTCTAGCCGCTGTAAGAGCCGATCTCTAGCCGCTGTAAGAGCCGATCTCTAGCCGCTGTAAGAGCCGATCTCTAGCCGCTGTAAGAGATGGTCTAGCAGCTGTATGAGCTGGTCTCTAGCCGCTGTAAGAGCCGATCTCTAGCCGCTGTAAGAGATGGTCTAGCAGCTGTATGAGCTGGTCTCTAGCCGCTGTAAGAGCCGATCTCTAGCCGCTATAAGAGCCGATCTCTAGCCGCTATAAGAGCCGATCTCTAGCCGCTATAGCGCTATAAGAGCCGATCTCTAGCCGCTACTAAGCCAGAGAGAGACTGACCAATAGCTAACGAGGCACAGTTCGTTGACTCTTACACATTTGTTTCTACTTTGACAGTATCGCGACAGGCGCAGGTTGATATACTGTGCACCTGGTAAGAGAGTGGACACAGTCATCAAGAATAAAGCAATACCCGATTACTATACCTAGAAGTTGAGGACTAGAACTTCAACCTATTGTAAAGTCCAGAGAAGAAAAGACGTAAACAGCTGTCACTTGTTACCCTGCCCGAGGGACGCACGACAACCACAGCTGGGAGTATCAACAGTGCCCTAACTTATGACGATAAAACAGCGACTTGATGAGGAGTGTTTGTAAATTATTAAATGACAATAATTTAACTAAACACTATCAATTATTGTTTACCGTTTCCTTTATACCTTTGTTCCCTGTTAAGCTGGTGTACCATGGAGTGTGTACATAGGTCCGAGGCAAGTGAGGAGGACCAAAATATTTTATAGAGATTTTTAATAGGGCGCATCGACATACACTAAGTTAAAAGGCCAATATCAAACATTCTAATTTTATAAGCGTAGGACTGAACTACAAAAAAAAAAGCCGAATGGGTTCGCTTCGCACCCCTCCCACTTGTGACTTTGTACCTCTTAAAAAAAATGGTTACGGCCTTAATTTTAACCTTCCATTTGCTAACATAATTCATCGTATAAATGACGTTTATTGGTTAAGGAATAATGCCAAATGATAAAATCATATTGCTTTATTATGCTGAGAAAAATATATAGATATATACAACCTAGCATTATAAGCATGATGCTGGGTGGTACAGGACCGTCATGTGGAGGATGAACTGTAAGCTAAACTATGTCACCAACTTCATAACTAAATTTTTACATTTTCTAATAGGAGAAAAATTTTAACTTGAAGCGTGATTTAAGCGATTCATAATTATTTTTTTTTATAGTAAGCGCATTTTCACCACAAAAATCATCAATGTAAAACGTGCTGCTTGGTGTGTAACTTTTAGATGAAAGCTTAGTTTAGTTTACCCGTGAATTTACCATATTCGTTTTCTGTCGTGAGCGAAGACCTTGTAGAGGTTGTGTACAGTATAACTTTACTAAATAATATGATGTATATACTGCACACAGGACTAGTTGAACGAAGACATCATAAGAACATAAGAATGGAGGAAACTGCAGCGGGCCTATTGGCCCATACTGGGCAGTCCCATTTACACCCAACCCCTATTGCTCGTATATCATCCAACCTATGTTTGAAGCTATCCAGAGTATTCGAGTTAATGATGATGTTTGGTAACTTGTTCCAGTCATCCACTACTCTATTTCCAAACCAATGTTTACCTTTTTTGCGCTTGTCTCAATTTGTCTAATTTAAAACCATTGTTCCGAGTTCGCTCCTGGTTGGGTAGTTTGAGTACCTTTGTAATGTCTCCTTTGTTTAGCCCTGACTTCCATTTATACATCTCTATCATATCGCCCCTCGCTCTACGTCTCTCGAGGCAATGCAAATTAAGATGCTTTAACCTGTCTCTGTACTCAAGGTTCCGAATGCCCGGGATTAGTCTGGTCATTTTCCTCTGAATTCTTTCTAGGGATTCTATAACCATTCTGTAATACGGTGACCAGAATTGAACTGCGTAGTCAGGTTGGAGCTGTAATCGAGCTTCAGAATTTTATAAGTACAGAGTAGTACGAAGCTGTTTTTGAAGACGCGCGTTTGTATAAAAAATATACAGTATATTTATTGTATCGGTTTTAAAAATCTTGTCACACTAATTTGGAACGTCTAAGCTTACACTTATATATGTACAAAAACTATTCGGCTACAAATACAGTATCGTGTCCCCATTGATCCCCCAAAACAACCCCTTTATAAAGTAGCATCAGCTAATTGTTCTTTTGTTTTTATCGAGTATTACTTTTATCCTCTTCGCTTGGGTGATCGGTCACGTCTCTTACGCACTGTTGGCAAGTACTGGGCATGCACTGGCTCCTGAATGTCACACTGTGCCGTCACAACGCTGTCTGGCAGATAGTTCCACTGAGCAAGATACCATTGTACTCGAGGGGTTAAATCATTGTACTCAAAGAAATCCTTCACAATTACACTATTTCCTCCTACAGTAATAACCATGATGGTCAGCAGTAAACAGAGGGAAGTACTGTACGTAAACGCCCTGTTATGTATACTAGTCTTATTTTTCTCAAAGTTACTGTGGTTATACTATGATTTTGGGTGTTTTGGGAATTTGTTTACCAATTTTAATAATACTGCATCGTAATTTCCATACCAGCACATACACGTCTATTTACCTGTGGCGTGATAAAGAAAAGAAAAAACGTAACAATATTTCAGATGACCGCCCAAGTTGTAGGCTACACTGTAATGTTTCAACTCACACTGTAGACTTGGTTAATGGACGGTACTATTTGGGAAAAACTGATTGGTTTTAGAATCAATATACAAAGGAAGTGATAAGTTCCTTGCAGCGTCCAGGTTATGGAAAAGATTGAACCCAATGTCGATGATGGTAGAGTTACACGTTGTTTCTATCTTCTTCAGCTCTGCCTCGGTGATGTCTCCTCTCCATTTCTGTTGCATACTGTGTGTATTTCTCTTGATGCCAAATGTTCTTTCTGGGTTACCATGTGACGTATAAGACTTCACAAACCTTGAAAGATACAGAAAATAAGATATCACAATGGGAATTAGCAAAATGGTAAAAATGTTAGGGGTTTTAATATCTGTAAATCCACATCTGCATCGATCAAGACTGGGACCATTTCTCCACATCACCAGAGAACATGAGACTAACTAACTTTCTTTGTTACAAATATCATGTAAGGACAATAAAATACATCCAGTATATATTTCAAACCTTAAAGGCGAGGGTAACTGATTTGATTGATTGATATAATTTACTGGCCGTCAACTGCTATATTTACTGTAGTACGGCCGGTTAAGGAGAGTTTTAATGGCACAATATACACGCCGATACTGAATGACGGCAAAAATAAGAGCTCAGAGTTTTGTGTTAGTTTCATAGCATTAAAATGACAAAGAGTATGTTCACCTGTACAAGTACACTTTTAATAATAGAATTAATGGTGTAGATTTTTTTTCGCAGACAATCTTTGGTATTGTAAGGAGTGGGACTGTGGGAGTAATCAGTCCCTTTGCTGATGGACATTGTTCGTTATACAATATTACATCGATAACATTTAAGTCAAGTAAATGTGTGTTTAAGTAGGATACAGTTTTACTTCACTTTAAACTTAACATTCGCTTTTGTACACATGATTGAAGCCGATAGATCATACCGCAAGATTTAACAATTCATCAGCAGGCATTTATGAACGAATAAATAGTATTTAAGCTTGTCACTTACGAAACAAACAAACAACACCGGTCGTGACACAGTGCCTTAAGGTACGCCGTTCATTCGTGAAAAACTAGTTTATAGATTGAGATCCTTATCTACTACCCAGAAGCTGCCAAAACAAACGTTACAGAAGACAAGTAGGAACATACGCAACAGTGGAGGGCGGGAGTGTCTGGTAACCCAGGAAGTTGAAGATGAGGCGAGCCATCCCCCAGGGGTCGCTGCACAAGTCCTCGTACCGCACTGCTAAATATCTGTCCAACAATGTAAATTAGAAATGTACGGTGTAACTTTATAATACTTATAACCAAAGTGAATACAATTCTAAAAGTTCCCGAGTTAATGGGCAATTTTCGAAAAAAATGGCATTATTTGACTAGAAATTTAGTTTTGTAATTTTCCTCTTCAGCTGAGAGGTGAGCACAGTTTGATATCTGACAGAGTACTGTATAGTAACATATTACCAGCAGATGCGCTGATGTACACAGGCAACAGAATCAACTGTCAGAGGCCCAGGTTACTACACTACTTGTATTCAACCATAGTAATCACCAGAAGAAGTCATACTCATACTAATAATTCAGGAGTGGTCATCAGTGTTGTTGTGAGTGTGTGTAAACGCGTTCCGTAGCCAATGAAGAGTCGAGCATGACTCTGGCAGCTAATGGCATGTGACCTGAAGTTTCACCTGTTTTCGCATGAGGGTTCGATCACCTGAATATTATCCTCCCAATTTATTTTATCTGAAATTCAACCACCATAATGCTAATCTAATCCTTCCTAGGTAACGTTAGGGTGGTTATCCTTCATGTGAAGTAAGCTGGGGGACGAATCTTCAGGTAATTCGAAGGTTCCTAGGCAAGTGTGCTCAATACTGCATGGAATAAACCGACTCCATCATATTTAAGGGAAAGTTCATATGAGAGTTGATTACTGTGTGGGCAATAGCACCATAGTTCATCAGCATTCTTCATGTTGATTGGCTGATGGGGTTGTCAGTACGCATTGGCTGTAATTCATCATTTTGTTTGATTGGTTAATGACTTCTGTACCAACACACTTAACCATCCAAGAGTATTTGACTTACCTATTAGGGAAGACCTGAAGAATGTCTTTCCCACTGTACAAGTCTTTTCTGATATCGCAACAGGAAACGCTGGAGCTAATTGTCCATTTTATCTTCCAGGCCGAGATTAAAGCACCCCTGGGGTCCCGCACTAAGTGAATCACCTTCACCCTGCTGGAGGAGTCGTTTAGCAGCGGCAGGAGCCAAGATAGTCGCGTCCTGATCGTCTTTACTACACGGATGGGCTCACTCCTGCACGCTTGGTTCAGTTGCTTGGGCTTGAAACAATCCTTCCCACAAGTATGTATGTAATTGTGTCTTATCGTGAACTTTGGCTCTTTTCGGAAACCCTTAAGCAGAACATCGCTAATATTACAGGTGAATATACCTTGTAACTCTTGTATGGCGGTCTGCGGCGTTATGAGCCCGCTGTTCCCTAATCTATGTAACGGCTCGAAGAAGTAGAATACGCCAGGCTGGGACCGAAGCAAACCCCCGACAAAGCTCGACCCGCTTCGGCCCATTGAACTTAGGAGAAGAACATTGAACCGAGTGCCGACATCTTCAGCACTTTTCTTATTTCGTTCAATTTTCACTCCCCCTTGAGCCTGGTTTTGTGACGGATTAACTTCTTTGAATGCAGGTGACGAGTTGTGCTGTGACTTCTGGTGTACTCCAGCATGTTGGGTAGGATCTGTAAGGACACCAATAGATTAAAATGAATTAATTACAGGGTAATAGGTAGTTGGCAGCTATCAAACAGGGAGTACTACTGCCTGGGAAGATATTGGAAGCATAATGTGTTGTCTAATGGTAGACCCTGCTGCCACATGGCATCACAAAAATTGTGACCAAGTCCCAGGTTCCTGATCCGACTTCCTGCCTGTTACATATAATTGCAGGGTCTCAATTATTTCTCTTACTTTGACAACACAATATACATATACTGTATCATCTCACTCTTGAGATATATATATATATATATATATATATATATATATATATATATATATATATATATATATATATATAGCTCATTATTATTATTGTTTTATTATATTTTCGTCCCCCAGGCCTTGATGTGGGTCATTAAAAATTACCTATGCCCGAGTGGGCTAATGCCCGTAAAAAAATAAACAGTTGTTTTTGAGTTTTACGAGGAGGGGGGTGAGAGAAGTACACAGAACTGAACACAGGTTAGGTTAGGTTAGAAAAAAAATTAATATGTTAATATAATGAATCCTACATAATCTCTTCTTGGTATTAAACCTATTGTATATTTGATACTACACACATGACATAGATTCTTCCATACTTAGGTTCTATTGCCCGTGTGTATTACCCGTGCCTCTATTACTCAAGACCTCTCACTCACCCTTATGGTTAACATCTACGGCTTGTTGCTGTGGTTCGTCATCTTTTTCCCCGTCGTCTCTCACATCATCCTCTCCCTTCTCCTCATCTTCTTTGCGTGTGTTAGCTCGCGTGGAGTTGTCCTTTCCCCCCACTCTCCAGGTGTTGGCGGGGGTGTAAATGCATATCAAAAGTAACACAGCCAACACCCAGATTATTATCACCGTAAGTTTTTTATTGAAGAATTTCCTCCTTGTGCCAGCTATCATGTCGTGTGTAGTGCTGAGGTGGAGAACAGTTTTAACTATATCACTCTTTTCATTTTTTTTTCGTTTTAATTATCTTTCTGTGTGTGTATGTATATCGTTCCTGTGTTTAATTCTGTACAAGGTAAGGTAAGGTAAGCGTGATGGTTAAATGGTACAGTCTATACATTCTTCGTTCGTCTATACCTGACAACCAACACCTGACACCACTTTACACCAACATATGTGGCAGAAAAAGCCCATGTACCGAATTTAGTGACATGTGCTGGGGGCTCAAATGTCAGATACAGCTGTGAAAATCACACCAAAGGTAACACCTGTATCTCATATGGCCATGTATGACGTGTGTGTATGTATGTGTGATATGTGGTGTGTGTGTGTGTGTGCGCGCTTTCTCCAATTAACAGGTAACAGCACTGGGATGAACGAGAGAAGTCGCATGAGCCAGGTTTCAACACACAAGTTGTGGGCAAAACTCTTGGAAACTGATGACTTTTCCATCGTTTAAAACTTTACACCGTCATTTCCATAGTTAAAATTACCAACTTGTTTATTTTCTTCTTTGACAAGCTTTTGTTTTATTAATTTTGTTTAAATAACAAAACACCTGTGGTTATTTTGTATGAGTGGACGTCAGTGTGTCGAGAATGCTAATGCGAATTGCAAACGACTCACCCGGCCACCACCCGACCACCACACCGCTGACACGCACTTTGGAAGTAACCGCTTTACATCAGTTACTAATCCGGTTTACTTCAATTTTCCGTGGGCAACAAACTAATGCATGAACACCTTGGAACTGTAAATATAAATACCGACACTGAGTTATGTAATGACGGTGACCTGCATTTATCCCCCTCCCCCATAGAAGTGTCCTTTGCACTATTTGGATAAACATTATTTCTTAACGTTTAACGCTCGTTCTTGTAATAATTCAAACTATAAATTCGGGTAACAATCATCCCTATTTATGTATTCTTTCCAACAAGTGAGACACCTTAAGAAAACACAGCGTCATTTTGTTATTCGAGAACCCTAATGATTATATTTTAAGACGTGTAATAAACAGGAACCTAAAAATCTGATCATATTGCAATGAACAAAATGTTCTTCACAATGATCCAACTTTATCCTTACTCATTTTTAGGTTCCTCTCTATTGCACGTCTGGTAGCATCCGAGACAACATAAACATACATCAAGGCCAAAAATTATGCATCTTTACGTAACATTTTGGTGTGCCTTGTTTTATAGAACACGGGATAGGAGACAACAAAATTTAACACTACCTGAATGTTTGTATGAGTATAATAGTGTTACCAGACGCATTGAAAGTATTTTGTCGGAGACTGTACAAAATTAAACTTAATTTTCCGCAGATATTTGGGAGGTGTCAGGTATCCGTAGTTTGCACAACACTATTTTCGGAGCCCATGCCTGTATACTGTAGACGTTGATAGTGTTGGTGTGTGGGCAGGAGACGTTGATAGTGTTGGTGTGTGTGTAGGAGACGTTGATAGTGTTGGTGTGTGTGTAGGAGACGTTGATAGTGTTGGTGTGTGTGTGTGTAGGAGACGTTGATAGTGTTGGTGTGTGTGTGTGTAGGAGACGTTGATAGTGTTGGTGTGTGTGTGTGTAGGAGACGTTGATAGTGTTGGTGTGTGTGTAGGAGACGTTGATAGTGTGTGTGTGTGTGTGTGTAGGAGACGTTGATAGTGTGTATGTGTACAGGATACTTACAGTATATCTGAATGTTTCCTTCGCGGCTCCCACGTGTGTGCTTCTATCATTTAAAATTTCCCTTATCAAAATTGTCCTCACCGAAATACAGTACACAACTTCCAGTAACTGTTCTTTCGATAGTCAATCAGAATTTGTTTCTAGATAACGTACTGTTTCCCAATAAGGAGAATTTATAGATTTTTGTTTTCAATAAGTATTAATTCTACTTTAACAACCACTCTTACAGTACTATTTTTCAGGAGGGTATCAAGCAGACGTGTGGGGCAAAGTATGCGCACTCAACGACGCAACTCCAACTACTGAGACCCTGGCTGAGTACTAACCGAGTCCGGATTCTGGTAACTCAAGTTTCACCCGTTACCACACCTCCTCCCACCACCTGATGAACATGTACTGCCATTTTACCATCAAAATCTACTTCAGCCGATAATTTACAGACTCGAATTTCTGAAGCAGTGTGCCGTAGAAACTAACGCTATGTGAAAGTGATTAAATATATCTGAAACATCTAAGTATAATAATCTTATTTACTTTCAGCTTAGAATATATTTATTTTTACATTACTTTTGAAAATTAGTGCTGAAATAAGGTAACTGATACCTGTATATCATTTGAGGATGATTGAGGAGCAGCAAGTGTGAGTGTCCGGGTGTGAAGACTGTGCGAGTTTTAATAATTTGTACACGTTAAGCTTTGACTCCTCGCGTAATTTATTAGATGGCGTTCTCTATTGCGATTTATTTTTTCCTTGTTTATTTCGTTTCTCTATGTCATTCTCATGTTCAGTCCTGTTCAAGGAAAGTAAGAGTAATAACTGATAAATGTTCTTTGGTTTTTTTCTCTATTTTATTAAAAATTAACTTTTAAGATCATTGTATGACACCTAGGTAAACCTGCATTTTCAGACAAAACACCCGAGTAGTAGACCAATATGTTTTTCAGATGGTTTAGACAATTTTATGACCCTTTTCTTCTATGACGTTTCCGTTGCAAAATACCTAAAAAGACCCAAAATTACCTAACCTAACCTTCTAATCGCCAATAGATTTAAGTAATTTGTGAGGGAAACGTCATAGAAGAAAAGTCTTAAAAATTGTCTAGACTAGACCATCGGAAAAACACATTGGTCAACTCGAGATCAATATTGTCCGAAACTGTAGTTATACCAACACCTAAAACAACACATACACCTAAAACAGCACATGCACCTAAAACAACACACTTAAAACACGAACACACTCATAAAACACCCAACACCTAAAACAATTCTTATGTGAACGCTCTTCGTATAAATCCTCATAATTTATTTACTTTACCTTACAAAAATAAGACGAATTTCTTCTATGGAACTTTCTGCGCTGAAGAGAAATAATGGAGATAAAGCGAGTTACAAAAAATCCCTTTGAAGAGATCTGTTCTCGGCAATGGGTAAACAATGAACCGAGGAGAAAAATCATTATGAGAAACGTGGACCATTCGTAATTTGTTTAATCTCTGGCATTGTGGGAAGGCAGTAGCTAATTAGGTTAGGGTAGGTCCTTCCCTCATCCTTGTCATGGGGAGGGGGCTAACTCTAAAACGGGAGGCTAGCACCAGAAACGAAAGTCAGATTTGTTTGAATCACGAGAACCAGAGGAAAACTTTTTTTTTTAATCGAGACTGGTTACGCTTGTCTGGTTAGGTTCTAATTTTCCTGAATCTAGCGTCGTCCGCAAACGTTTGTAACATGGAATTAATAGCAACAATCTTATAATTTATGAAACTGTCCTGAATTGGTTGATACTGTGGGGTTATGAGATAATGGTTCACACTCAGGATGGGATGGAGAAAGGAAACTCACATGTGCTCTCTGTATACATATTGTATTGGATATACATTGCAGCTTGGTGCTGGGGGGGTGGCAGCGTGAGTCCAAGCGTGGTGTAGGAGAGAGCTGGTTGGTGAGGGTGCTCAGAGGAGGACACGCGGCTTGTGGGTCGCCATGGTCGCCGGCGGGAGAGAGGGCCACCAGGAAGGAGCTGAGGAGGAGGTGCTGCTTGCTGTAGGTAGAAAGAGGTAGGTCACGGCGGGGTGAGGTCTTATATAGCGGGGGTAGGCGTGGGTTGATAGCTGACCTCCGCTATGTTCGGTGGCGCTGGTTGCCGACCTTCACCACGAGGTGTACGTTGGGGAATTCGAAGAGGGTCGGCTGGTCGCTGAGTAGCCGACCCCGCGAATTCCCCAGTGTATGCCTCGTGTTCTAGGACTCTAGGTCAACCAGCGCCGCCTTATATGACAGAGGTCAACTGTTAAGCCACGCCTATCTCCGCTGTTAAGCCACGCCTATCTCCGCGATATAAGACCTGGCCTCGTGGTGACCTACCTCTTTCTACCTGCACCAACCAGCAAGCAACACCTCCTCCTCCTCCTGCCTGGCGGCCCTCGCTCCCGCCGGCGACCATGGCGATCCACAAGCTGGTCCTCCTCTGAGAACCCTCACCAACCAGCTCTCTCTACTGAACGCTTGAAACCATGCTGCCTTCCCAGCACCAAGCTGCATTGTACATCCAATACAACATGTATACAGAGAGCACATTGTGAGTTTCCTTTCTCCATCCCATGCTGAGTGTGAACCAACATTTCGTACCCCACACCATTACAATATCAGAACAAGAAATATTGACATTCGCTATACGAATTAAGCACTCGAAATGAGCGATTACCTCTAGTGGCAATGTCGGAGTTTATATTACATCATTAAATCAAACTACGTACAAAGTATAAAGTTAGGATATCCTACAATATAAATTGATACTCAAGGTTTGCTGATGTGGATGGAGGTCAGGAATTAACAGTGGAGCGGAGTTAGTGAGCCTCTCCCTGAGCACCGGCTTTTACTGAATGTTGTGTTTCTCTGGTCAGGATCGTTAAGGAACTGACGATGGTACTTGGTGACTTGGCAGTCGGCAGGTAATTCGACATTCAATGGTAGCTAGTAGGATGGGCGCGCAGTCAAAGGAATGTAGACTTGTGCAAGAATATTATTTAAATCTGGAGTAATTGTTTACAATTCAGGTAATTATTCAATATTATTTTGACTAAATATACCAAAATTAAATGCAATATATATATATATACTGTATATGCAAGTAAATCACTGTAGGTGCGCGTGATCTAGGTATATGCTGATAACCACAAGGAAAGAAGAAAACACGAAGTTCTCAAGCGCTTTCGTGGTTATCAGCATATATATATATATATATATATATATATATATATATATATATATATATATATATATATATATATATATATATATATATATATATATATATTTTGATAAAATCACACGGGAAAATGGAAACAACTTACCTTAGCTTTCGTCTTTATTCAAGACATCTTCAGGGCCTCTGAAGATGTCTTGAATAATATATATATATATATATATATATATATATATATATATATATATTGCAGACTCCTTATTTTCTTATGTTCTTATATAACTCCTTAACGAAATTTCTTACAAAATGTTATCGTTCTGCAGTTACTATAGAAACAAACGAATAACAGCAGTCCCAGCACTGCACCAGTGGGGACTTTGATTTTTTTTATTCTCTAAAACATATTAATATGACTGACAGAAAAGAAAATACATAAAAATACAGTACTGTACATTATACAGTTGGTATGAAATATTTAGATAATTCAGTTAAAAGATATCAACCTCTGAAAATAGAATCAAATGAATATCTAAAGTCAAGCTAACTTTGCGGCAGTGATGGTGGTGGAGAAGCTCGCTCTCAACACTGTACAGTATATCGGCTCCTTTACATCATATTACCGGGATATTCACCAAGAAAATCATGTTAACGGAAGGTAATGTTAAGTGGTATTAATATTTTGTCTTTTACTGAGTCGAGTTATTAAGATAAGAATAAAAGCTGAATGATTTTGATGTCCTTCCCAAGCTCTCAGACCACGTGTTAATAATATATAATTAATTTTATACAGCCATTCTGAGTGTGACAACTTAATATGATGTAAGATTATTGATAATATCAGGTATAAATTAAGCTGTGAATCTGACTATTTTATAATTATGTGGATTTCGTGTTATTAGAGTGTTAGCGTGTGTGTTGATGCTGTTAACTTGTGTTGATGCTGTTAACTTGTGTTGATGCTGTTAACTTGTGTTGATGCTGTTAACTTGTGTTGATGTGTTAACTTGTGTTGATGTGTTAGCGTCTGTGTTGATGCTGTTAACTTGTGTTGATGCTGTTAACTTGTGTTGATGCTGTTAACTTGTGTTGATGTGTTAGCGTCTGTGTTGATGCTGTTAACTTGTGTTGATGTGTTAGCGTGTGTGTTGATGCTGTTAGTTTCTGTTGGGGCTCTGCAATAGTTAACTTAAGAGACAAGATAGACCACAAGTGCTGTCATTTCACGATGATTAGGAACCTTTAATTATTTCACCCGATGATTAAACAACGTATTTTAAGTAGGAGGGGTTAGGTTAGGTTAGCATTACAGGAGGTGAAATAAGCAGCAATTCCTAATCTTCGTGAAATTAAAAATCACCGAGTTTGGACATCGCAATTATTGAAGTACGGTATCATGATCAGTAATAAGAACAGTGTAGATATTGTGCAGTGAAATATTTTTTACTCGGCTAACTAACTTTTGGATATTTCACTCAGCAAGTTTTGTACTTTAATTACTGCTTTCTAGTGGAACAATTTTATTAATGCAACATTTTTAAATAATTTCTCCGTATAGACAAGAAGAACCTTTCAACCATTTGCTTTCATTTTTATATTTGATTAGGACATCAGTTTTATGCATAATGTTTGTACTGTACTGTGAAGGTAAATATTGTTTTGTACTATAAACATGTATTTTAAGTAGGATTATTTACTAATATCTTTGTTTTCATATCACTTTCCTATGGCTGTTATCCTCTAACCTATAGTATACCAATATGTCATTTGTGTCTGTATTAGTTGAATCATTTATGAAATACTGTAATACCATTGCATAATAATGTATATTCAACCTTGACCATAAGGAGTCCATCTTGGATTTGGTTTCTTGTGAGGTTAGACCAAACTTTTGCACAAATTAGTAACGGTCCAATGTTTTTCATTACTCTAATCCTGCATGTCTTAACTAAATTCATCTTCTAAATGAAACTTAAATGCCAAATACCCTGTTTACTTAAGAAGATAACTCAGACAATAAAAACTATTAGGGGAAAGTGTTGTTACTTAATAACAGATGAGTCATTTCATGTTTTTTTAAGTCAGTTTAGTTGCCACATATGCCATTGCTAGTTATATTCTGATAAAATTTAGTTATATCAATTATTTGGAGCTTAGTACTTTATCTATGTTTTCATGGTCTTGCAGAGTGGAACTTTGCCACTAAGATCAAGCATGGCCAAGCAGGACAAGAGGTGGTGATGGACAGTAATCTGTTCAGTATAACCGCCATCGACCACAGAGCTATCATCGTTGCATACCGTCTGGTTATAACTGAGGATATGAACCCTAACCCTGACCTCTCATTCAAAATTACAAGGTGAATTTTTGTTCTGTACATTGTTATTTAATTCTCCTGTAAGACATACAGTATATAGTTGCCTGTTTGAATGATTGTATACAGTAAGTGTATTATAATTGTGGAAAAATAGAGGTAGATCCTGGAATCTCTTTGGTCATGTAGTGACCTCTGCTTCTTAGATGGGGTTGCATTTCCACTTCTAGATAGTATCCAGATGTGGTGCTGTTCACTTCCCGATCTGTTTGGTAACCTAATTGAATTGGGAGATCGTGTAACAAGTGCGAGTCACTTGGACCTAGACGAGAATAGAAGAAGCAAGCAGCCTGTGTTTTCCTGCCCTAATTCCAAATCCAGAGTTCCCCCATACTACATCTTTTATGATCTAAAGGAATTGGATAACCCAAGGTAGTTACACTTTGTTCATGTGGCAGTGATACCCTCTCATGCCTCGAGTGTAGTGGTTATACTTTGTTGCCATTTAGGACTTCCAACCATACCTGGTCCATGGTGTCAGAGGGACAAAGTTCCTCAAAACAGGTGTTGGCATTTAAGGCCAGCAAGACGTACAGTATAGGGCCTTTAAATGGTTGCCTTGACTAAACTATATCTATTGTAATCATAAAAAATAACATTCCAGGTATCATCCGGCCTTTTTGGCTACAGTTATGTTAGAATTAGCCACTGAAATACCTCACCACAGGGAAGAAAAGGGGAAACTGGCCTCGCCACTTGCAGTAGGCTGGTTGGGGTGTTGGTGTAGCCCTGAAAACTTTTATTACATCGTCTTTCCATAATAAACATTTTATCCTTTTTGCAGTGAGGTTGTGGAAAACATGAGGAAGGATTTTCCTGAGGTATTCGGTGAGCGGCTTCTCGTTTGCATCTCGTCAACAACTGCATTTAGTTTTGGGTTGATCCCTGATATTGAATGCACTGAGTTTTTAGTAAGTTTGGTGTTTCCATGGATAATTGTTATGCTTTAAGTCAATGTTAGGAAAGATTTACAGTTATGCAGTATGTTTTTACAGTATCACAAAAAATCAGGCATTTTTGTAGACTGTACTGTACATGTCATTTACACGGAAACAGGTAAGGGCTGAACGCAAATTACTGTACACTAATCTTTTGCAGGTGTGGCATACAGATGAAAATAACAGGAAGAGGTTATTTAAGGTGCATCTGAAGAAGAAGAAGAATAATAATGAGGTGCGTGTTAAGAAACTGCTGCGGGCCCTTCAGGATACACCAGTCTCCTCTTACCAGCACCCCCTCTCCATCCTGAAGGTACTGTATTTAGTACTACCCTCATGTACTTTACGCCCTTGATAGTGAGACAAATACTGTTCACTTCAGCCTTATATCCCCAAAAGTGTCACCAATTATTATTCATGTTACAGTAATCATGTCTGAAATTATAATGTTATATCAGTCACAAATTATTCTGATAGCAAAATTAAACTATGCATAACTCTACAAGAGATCTATAAGAACAGCTCTTGACTGCCTGAATGCCTAGTAAGCTTATAAATGATGGAAAATTTTAAAATACAGGTACAAAAATTTAAGAAAACAGGTGATGCTAGAGAGCTAACCAGTAGTTGAAGAGGATAAAATATGGTAAGAAGATAATGTTTGACTTGAAGAAAGAGGATTACACACTCTTGTGTGTGTGGGTGGATGGGTACATGCAACAGTCAATCATTCTGCAACTTTAGATGTGCCCCCTCCCCCATTATTATCTTACTCTTCCCTTCTTTATCTTCCTTTAGATACTGCTTACAATAATCAGACACAGCTTGTCACAACATTACGAGTGGCGGGACTTTACTTACTTCCCTTATAGTGAGCATAGCCAATTGCAGTGTCTGGAACCAGTGAACAAAACCAAGCACTGTGAGCAGGGTTTCACTGTTTGCCTGGACCGTGCTACTGTGGGGGGTATTCCTCTCCTCAATATTGATGGTAAGAAATGCTAAAGTCTTCTCTGAACTGTGGCCTTGACCATTTCTACACCATTGGAAAATTTAGTGTGTTACAGCTTTGTATCTGTCTTGTTTTATCATAGTACAGTGCTTGTATTTTGTTGTAGTTTTTACACTTATTTTAGCTGGTTTTTTGTCATCGTATGAACTGGATCTATATTTTCCCGAACAGGCTTTGTTTAGCGTTAGATTTCTAAAACCTATTTTTGTTGTGTTTAACAATACAGTACAGTATTAAGGTTTTGACTTGGTCCTAGTATAGGATTTTTTTCATTACTACCTGTATTAAAGTACTGTTTTAGGTGTCAAGTGTATATTGTGTCCCCCTGACAAGGAGGACATAGCAATCAGTGTTAACTATTTCTGCCTATCAGTAAACTACATTCATGATTAATCATAAGTTGTGGAATACAAACCGCTAGTCTTCAATGGCATTTATTACATATTGTTTTGTATGGATCAGTGGTGTAGTGAGAGAGTGACTGATGCTCGGGGGTAAAACATGATATGGTGCCCTTCCTCCGAATAAAAATCAGTCGTATCTCTAGTGTTCATTGTTGGCAAGTACATATACTGGGCATGTATACAGTCTCTTGAATGTACAATACCTTAAATAAAAACCTAGGATTTTGATGAAGTTAAAACAAAGTTCAAATTCATATTAACTTTAATGAAAAAAAATGCTTTGTAAATTTGGTTTATCCATTTTTATATAATTCTGAATTAATTTGTTGCTTGCAGCATTTGTCACCCCAGCATTTATAGACAATAGCTATAGGTTCCTAAAGAGCTAAACTTATAAAAGTATGTCTTCCCATTGACATATACGAACTGTATATTGCTTTGAATGTGAGCGAGCATAATTAAAGTATACAGTATTACCCTGTGCAGTACTCAAGGTTACTTGTAATAATTAATATTCATTAAAACTTCCTAATTTTTTCACCTGAAGAATATAACATTTTCTCCAAATTTCCTCTTGTGTTTCCGTTTCACTTTGTTCAATCCTTGTTTAATGTTACTGTACGTTTATTATTATTAGTGTGTCGGCCACTGGTGACACAGGAACAACCACTCCTCTCTCTTCTACGAATTCAATTTGGGGTTGATGAGCCATCTTTCCACTGGAAAATGAAACCAGACATAAGGGAGAGCATTTCATCATACCTAGAAAATCTCAAGGTGAGTCATTCTCCTGTCCCACCTCATCCTACATGATTCCGTTGAGTGGCTCCCTTGCCTTGTCTGTCATCATTGTAGCTTTGCAGTGTTGACATTATTAGCAATTTCTAATTTTCGAAAAAGAATATAAAATAAAGAGAATTTCTTCATATGAAAAACCATGATCTTGTCAACCAACATGTGTTTGAGACACTTAAACTGTAGTCACTTTTACGGTAGATGTCTGGAAGAAACAAAATCCCACCACTAAAATAAGCTGAAGTCATTAATTTACCTTACCTTTTAGGCTAGGTTGGTGTATGATGTTACTAATGATTTATGCTGTAGCCATCATCATCATCTTGAAATTTGTTGAGATGACCACAATGCATCACATGGAGAATCTCTCCTTATATTTGTAATAGTCGTGTCCTGTATCCACATCAGTGTACAGTGAGAGACTGAAGTTTCTTCCCAGCTTTGGCCAAATATAATGAAACTTGACTACCCAACACAGTGAATAGTGTCACTGGTGATCCCTTTTCAAGGTTCCACAGTCCTGCCAACTGTGCATAGGTTCCACACATGCATGTGTCAAATGGCTGAACTGTTCTGCGATGTACAGTATTGGTCAAAACCCCAGGAAGATACTTCATTCTCTTACTATTCATATCCGTTGGTGAATATTCATTTCTTTGCTTCCATGTGTGAATATCCACATCTGTGTGTCTATATAGTGAGTGTCTTCGTGTTTGGAGGTACAGGTTCGTGCAGTACACAGTGAAAGTCGTCGGGTGTACCGGGTGGTGGCCATTTCTTTACTTGGATCTGATAAGATCAAGCTCGAGATGGGTCACAACCTGCCGGTGGAGAAGACCAGCTTGTGGACGATAAAACAATACTTTGCTACCTTCTATGGCATCATCCTCCAATACCCCAGGTTGAACTGTCTCCAAGTTGGTCCTGCGGAGAAAAATATTTTCCTTCCCATGGAGGTAAGAGGTCACTCTCTCTCACAAATTACTTAACAGAAAGTGTACGTATCTTATTAAAGGTCTGACTGTTAACGTCAACAATTATAACCAAATTGCTAGTGTACAGTACATACAAGGTGTCCATGATGTCCTTTTTAATTATCTTTTGACTTTTTTTTATAATAATAAAAAATAAATAAAAATTTGCAAAGCTTGAGCAGAAGTCTGAAACCACTGATTGATATTTGTGAAATAGTTGTGCTTATGCCTTTTTTTTTATGCTTTACAACCTACACTGTACTGAACTTGGCAAATATGATGCCTGTATTGGTAAATATTAACTATTTTATATGGGGTTACGAGAGTCTTCCAGATTTGTGTACAAATTTGATTTCTATCGTTCATTGGTTTGCTCTTCTATGTTGAAGAAATTGAATGGAAAAATTAATGTGTGTGACTATTGTCATAATATGCAAACACTGTAGTACAGTGTCATCCTATCCTGCAGGTGTGCATGATCCTGGGAGGTCAAAAGGTGACAGACAGGTTGACAGACAAGGAGAAGCAGAAGCACTGCCAATTATCAGCAGTACTACCAGTAGACCGGCAACAATACCTCTCTAACTTTCTCAGACTGTGTGACTTGAGAAATGATCCTGACTTCAAGCTTGTGAAATTGAAGGTTTCCAAAAAGGTGTGGTACATCTTCCTCAACTAGACTCTGCAGTTCACTGCACCTCAGAGTCATTTTTTTATCTTTCTCTATATATTTTAATAATAATTTTGGTTCATGTGTTTTTCCTTTTTTTTTTTTTTTTTTTTTTTTACATTTTGTGTTACTAGGGGAGATACATATGGCAGTACAGTATACAGTACCTCCTGATGGGTAATAATACTGATGTGAGTTATGTTGTGCAAGTACAGATACATTGTGGAGCCAGTACACCCCCAGTACTTGCCAACAGTGAGTAACAGAGATGTGCCCTGAGGAAGTGACAAGTGTGCTGCATCTAAACGTCAACAGTAGCTTACCTTACACACATCAGCCTGACTTGTTTGGTCGCTCAAACAAATTTTTGTAGACCTGACTTCTCGTGCGGTTCTAATTACTTACCTTACCCTTTTTCCAGCCTTTCAGTGTTACAGGACGAGTTTTGCCTGCACCTCATTTGATAACAAGCAGTGCCATCCAACCGACTGAAGGGTCCTGGGAGGGAGAACACCCCACCTTCTACCGGCCTGCCCACCTCCGCATGTGGGCCCTTGTCCAGTATGATATGGAAGGTAAAAGGGGCATGAAGCCAAATAAATTCCACAGGTACATCCCTATAGATGTTTGTTTTGGGAAGATGGGTAAGGGTTTTTTTTTTATTATTTAGTTTTCATAGTGGAAGTATTGTAATCATTCATTTCAAGTCTTGGGAAAGGTGTAGTCATTTGCATTTCATAAGTAACTAAACTAATGGATCTTAAAAGAAGGGCATTCAAATACCTAGATGGTCCATCCCTTATAATGCTCTTCAAAAATGAGGTGCTTATCCATTTGAAGTCCTGTCACCCCATCTGGTCCTTGAGATGTGCCTGAGACTGTCAGTTGATTGAAAATATGCCAAAAAGGGCCACCAGACTGGTGCCTGCACTATGGCACCTCAGGTATTCAGAGAGATTAGAATGCATACAGTTATACAGCTTATACTATAGGTGGGCAAGTGGTGACTTAATAGAAATTTATAAAGACCTCAGATGCCAAGACTGGCTGCAACACGGCCACACCTGAATACGTTGTTCCTCGAACACTTTTGCAGCTTAGGACCCAAATTCGCCGCAAACAGAGAGAAGCTCGGGAAGCAGCCATCCCCCTGGACTCCCCGCCCACCTGGTACGATGTCCTCCATAAACTTCCTGACCTCTCGTATGTCTATGGGAAAGGGTCGCGGAAAGGGGACTTGATTGCTGCCCGTATCATCATTGGGTATGACTTTGCTTGGGAGATTGGTATCCCCGCATCCCCTGAGCAACGCTCTTGTGCATTATGCAGAAGACCCGACAGCCGCACCCTTATCCACTACCTCCTAAGATGTCCCCACACACAACGCTTCCGTGACGCCTGCTGGACCACCACTCCACGACCCCCTGACGGAGACACAATGATCCTCCCCATACTGGCCAGATATTATGTAAATAACATTGATTATGTGTTTAAGGATAAAAGGAATATCCTTCCTTCCTTAGGCTTCAGTAAGCCCCTTTATAATATTTATACTGTATATACTTGTCACACTTGCCAGATGCTTCTGGTGTTATTGTACAGGGGTACCTAGTGACAGCACTAGGATCCCGCTTCCTCTATCAAGGAATAAACAATTAAAATTGAAATAGAAATTGAAGACCTCAGAGGTCATTACTTGAGGTCATTATACTTTTAAATGTTTTTTTTTTTTTTTTGAGGGGGCATTAAAAAAATTCTAATTACACTCGCATATATTTTTATGGTCATTAACATCAGTTAGTCTTACCTTTATTACTGATATAATGACTTACAAGACCTTGCTGATAAATTAAATTTGTATTCATATTGTTTCACACATATTGAAGTACAGTACTACCTATTGACAATGTAATACTTTATCAGCAGTCCAGCATCTTGACTGTACCTCTAGTTTATAAATTTTCCATAAAGTTCATATTAATAGGCAAAGGGATGGTCACCCAACAGTAACATATTCCCTGTTAAACTTCACCAGATGACCAGTTAGTTCCATATCAATTAATTATGAACTTGTCCCCCAGACCATTCATGGAAAGGTTGACGGAGGTTGGCAGGAAAATGGGGATGAAAATGGAAGAACCCAGAATATCAGTGATCAGGAAACCACCCATTCCAAACTGGGACTTGGGCGATTACATGTATTTCTTCCCTGATGTCCAGATAATTTTGTTCATGCTTAAGCCCACTGAGAAGGATCTTTACGGTAAGGACTAGATTGTTAACAGTTTGTGGGATTTATCAATTTTCATCACCAATAATTGTTGGGTGGAGCTCAAGGTTGTCTGCTATCACTTGTAACTTTTGGCTGCTGTTATAAGGAACTCAGGCCTCAGTATCTCAATTATTATAATGCTGCACTTGAATGTAAGACTTGCAAAATAACATTAATTCTTGAAAAGTGTGAGTAAAAACTTCAAGTTCTTATTGAAAAATTCCTGTGAATGAAAACAGGACTTTTGTGTTGTGATATCAGTACAGTACTGCATACAGTAATCATTCCTCATAACGGAATCCCTTTTAGCGCAAGTTTGAATTAGTGGAATGAATTTGTGCCAGTATTTGCTTCCTCATCTTGTGGAGCCTTGCACTAGATCAGTATTTCTCAAACTTTTTCATTCCGTTCCCGCCATGAGGAACACTCAACATCCTCGTGGCCCCCTTCAGTTCTTTCCCAAGCCCCTCACAAATAATGATGAAAAAAACTGTTTTGGTACTGTTCTTTATTTTAATGCTTACAATCATCAAACAGAATGCATGTTTTGTTACATTTCAATGGGATGGATGACATTGTTTCCTTTCAATCAGTTGACTAATTCGAGGTTGAGTCACTGATAAAGCACATCTCATGTCTGGGTCCACATGTAACCGGTTTCGGCTTTTATTCTTTATTTGAAGAAGGTGGAGAAACTAGATTCACATAAATAAGTAGTAGAAAATGGCAAGAGGACTCTTAAGTGCAATCTCACTAACTTTTGGATATGACTGATACATTGAGCACCATAATACAGTCGGAGATTTTTCTTCATGGAGGTCTCTGGCAGCAGAATCGTTCTGAGATCAAGGAATTTGCCCTGACCATCTTCGAGAATGGCAGCAATATCAAGAGTGCCAGAGAAAGGATTCCTCACCAACTTCCCTTCTTCCTCCTCGAATTCTGGGAAGTACCTTTTGAGCTCACTTTCCAAGGATTTCAAGTGCTGAATTATTTAATTTTTGTTCATTTTTGAGTAATGGGTCAAGTAGATGATCTTCAATCTCGTCAAGAACAATTGAGAGATTCTCAAACATGGCAACCTTTCCTGCACTGACTTTCCTTTGCTAGTTCTGGAGTTTGTCAAGAAATGCACGAATACAATCCATGTGGTGAAACACATGTCTTTCCAAGCCTTGTAGCTTGAGATTCAGCCTGTTTAGCTGCTCAAATATGTCTGCCAGGTACGCAAGACGTGGCTTCCACAACAGGAACAGGAACAACTTAAGTTCTCCCCAAAGTTCAAACACTCGATTCACAACATTACCTGTGGAAAGCCATCGCACTTTGGAGTAAAATAGGAGGGTTTCATGCTCTGAATCCATGCCTCTACAGAGGTTCTGGAAAAGGCGAGAGTTCAAATCTCCTGCTTTCACAAAATTGACGCAAGATCTTGCTAAGGGCATCAGGAAGGGGTTTTGATGCCAGTGCAAAACAATGGATCATACAGTGAATCCCTTTGGCATTCAGAGCTACTTCCTTGACGTGCTTCTGTAACCCCGATTTTGATCCCAGCATCGCCGGAACCCCTTCAGTACAGCCTTCACAACAATTTTTCCAGGTGATCCCTTTAGCTGTGAAGAAAGAAGTCAACTTTTCCATCACATCTAAAGCTGTTGTGGTAGTTTCAAGCTGTGTACAGAACAGATATTCATCCTTGATGTCATGCAAGAATACATACCTAACAAACACGAGTAGCTGTGCACAAGAACTCGCATCCGTTGACTCATCCAACTGTATAGCAAACATAACAGTTGGAGACGATTTAATTTCCTGTATCACTTGTTCCATGATATCATCTTACATTTCACTAATTCTCCATTTCACCGTGTCGTCTGACAAGGAAATCTGCTGAATCTTACGTTCACTTGCCTCTCCAAGAACCCGCTTGACCATCTTTAAAGCGCACGGTTTAATTAAAGTTTCACCAATCGTGTGGGCCTCCTCCTTCTTTGCTATTTCAATGGAAACCTCATATGATGCCTCAACTACACTTCAGTTCTGTTGTTGGAAGGCACCACTCTCATCCAGTCTCTCTTTTCCCAACCTCCGTTCATGGCGCTTGAAGAAATCGAGGTCTCTCTCCACATACTGGGGGGTGGATTGTCGTCAGATGATGCTTCAGCTTACTAGGCCTCATGGAATCGCTCCCCAGCACTTTGAAACACAACACACACTGAGGTTTCTCGATGCCATCAGCGAGGATTGATATAAATCCGTAGTTAATATATTCATCATTTTACTTCCGCTTCTTAGCAACACTGGCAGCCATTGCAATTCCAAGAAAATTATAAAAAAAACAATGCCAAACAGACAGAAACAGACGAATGATAAAGAATAAACCTTATAATAATAAAAAACAGAAATATAAGACAATCATGAATCTCTTGGTTTTAAAAAAAATTGTAATCTCTCTCTCTCTCTCTCTCTCTAAATGTTGACTAGTTTTTAAAAAAAACAGAATATCACAGAAACAGATGAATGATAGGCTAAAAATTATAATAATAAAAAACTAAAATGAGACAATGATCCGAATGGCAAACATGCATGAAGCCCATACATACTGTGTGTAAACATAGGGTATATAAAATGCCTATGCAATCACACATAAAACATACACATACAGTCCACTCACAGTACACTCACATATTTTCCTAATGATATCTTGAGAAAGACTGAGAACATTCGGTCTGATCACCACTTGTACACGGACATGTACAGAACATGTGAGATCATTGACTCAGTCCAGCGCCCGTCACCCTGCTGACAGGAACTAGAATCGTGCAATCTGAGCGAATCTGTTGGAAATAAAAAACTAGTTGCTGCACCATACTATGTAAATATCAAAACTGTACCGCACGCGTATTATGATTACACACAATGACAAAAAAAAGACAAATAAAAAAAAAAGATTTTTCCCCTAACAAGGCAAAGTAACAATAAAGAGTTGAATCAGAGTTTCCACATTTTCTCCAAACATATACTACTTACAATAGCCCGCCATGGCCCCCCTAAAATCTTGCCGTGGCCCTCAGTTTGAGAAACACTGCATTAGATGAAGCAAGTTTCCGGTAACACCCACGAGGGCTTGCTTCATTACTGTAAATAAATCAATTTAAAAAAATATATATATCTACATTTCTCCTTTCAGAAACTGTCAAATATTGTGCTGACAATTTTGAGAGGGTAGTGACCCAGTGTGTGAGGCCTCACACGTACCGTAGGAATGCTACTGAACAAGTTTTACGCAACCTTATCTATAAGATAAATGCCAAATGTGGTGGCACAAATGTTGCTGTTGATTGGCAAGCCATGCAGCCTGTAAGTACTTAGATTATAACTCAAAATCAAGAAGGTATCTCATTGTTCTCTAAGGGTTAGAATAAATTATAATACACATACAGTGCTTGAGTTTGGTAATAAATTCTTAGTTGGTGTTTAACATTTTCCTTTGCAACTTGTTCATTGTATAAAACAAGATGATGAGCTATTTAATCTCAGACATTACATTCTTTTAAGAGCAAATAAATGAATTTATCAACTATATTTCTTGAACTGGGATATCTTGCAGCAGATGGACTTCATGTGCTCATCAGTGTTGGTGTTGGGTGGATCAATTGACCATCCACAAGAGCCGGATACAGGGAAATGTTCCATAGCAGCTGTGGTGGCTGTCATAGACCATGACAAGGGTAAGTATGCAGTCCAGGTCCTGCCTCAACCCGTGCAACATGACATATACCAACTAAAGGTCATTACCATGTAAGTTAAAAACAGGAAAGTTTAAATTCATTTATCTCTGATTTTCTATTTTACAAGCACTCTGTCCAGGTTCACCCAAGAGAGGATCTGACACAATACTTGATCATATTAGCTCATGACCAGAATATATAATTGTCCTCCCTCACTTTACTTTCACTTTATCATTGTCACTTGGGCAGTTGGTCACATTTTTGCTGCACACAACTCTCTCTCTCTCAAATGAATTGTGACCAAAACATAGATGATACAACTCTAAAATACAGACGGAGGATGAACATCAGTGGTGTGCATGGGATATGTGGAATAGCCATAGAGTACAATCATAAAGACAGCTCAAATACTGTATATTGAGAGACTGATGGGTAGTTGGGCCAAAAAGTGAAATGTAGGAGCTAAATTGTTTAAAAAGTATCCTTATTTAGAAGAGCAAAGAAGAGTATTACATGGAGAGTAAGTCACATGTGAGGATTTTAGCAGGCCAGCAGGATGTTTAGATAAGAGTAGCTGGGGGATCTTTTCTGTGACCTACTGTACATCTTTGACATCTTGGTTGAGATATGATAGTTAAGTTAATACTAGAGAATTTACATTTTTCTCTTGTGCAGCTCTACCGAACTCCTTACTTTGCAGAAGGCTATTGTTGGAGTACTACCGTTTAATGAGGTGCACGAAGCCGCAGCGGATTATCATGTACCGGATAGGGATCCCAGAGTCTTACTTCTCCACTGTGGTTCCCAAGGAGGTGGCAGCAATACATGCTGCTTGTGATGAGGTACAGGAGGACACAAACTACAACCCTCAAATCACATACATTGTCGCCGAGAAACAACGACAAACAAGGTAACTACTACAACAGAGGTTTCAGAGGTTGTATCTGGTGAAAAGTCCGATCAATATTGCTTATGGAACCAATATGTGTGTGTTTGTGTGTAAAAAGGACATTTATAGTGTGTGTGTGTGTGCGTGTGCGTGTGTGCATGCTATTGCTGATCAATATAGTATGAGACTCCACAAATTTTTGTGGTCAGGCAAGTAGTTGTTGATTCCTTGCCATGACAGGTAAGAGGATGCTTGGAAGTCCTAATGTAAAGCCCTGTTCCCGCTTTAAAAATGGGTTCATAAAACTTGCTTTAGATTTTCCTGATAGCAAACAGGACACTGCTGTACAGGTAATCATGGCTAATCCACACAAGCATGGAAAATGGCCAGAAAACAGTAATGATAATTTTGCCTGTGCGATCAAAAATCAGTGTCATGCTAGCTCTGAATCCTTAAACTTAAACATTTAGTGAAACTCAAGTTCTAATTTGACATGACACTGATTTTTTTTTAAGCTCATAGACACACAATGAATATTACCATTACACACTTACACATGTAGGTGATAGTGTTGGAGTAGATTCTGTTAACTGGGGTACTGTACTTATATAAATGGATGTATTCATGTCAAGATTGTTCATTACTGTTGAGACTGACCATTCATACATTTCGTACATCAGTCCTGCTTATGTGGCCAAGGAGAAACGTCATCTTCAAAAGTTACTTTTTTATATTGATTAAGAATTGTACAGTACAAGTACTGTACTGTGCTTAAGGGAAAAGGGTATTCCTTTGATAGTTAATCTGAGATAGAAAGATGATTATTGCATACAGTATGTATATTTGTAATAATTTTGGGTATACAGTACAGTACTTGTTGAGTTGAGTTAAACTACTCAGGTGATACATTAAAGTTCAGTTGAGATGTTGTACACTTGCTTCACAATATTTTACCTTAATAGGTTTTTCTGTAAGGAGGAGGACAGTGCAGGATCAGCGGGTAACATTGCCCCTGGCACTGTGGTCGACAATGACATCACACATCACACATACCGGGACTTTTACCTCTGCTCTCACTTGGTACGTGCTCGCTTTTCTCTCACTGTACCCCTGGTCTCACCCAGTATGTATCCCCTTCCTCTCACTCTGCCTTGGCTCTCACCCAGTGTTCAAGTCTCACTGAGGGGCCAACATAAGTGGATTGTGAAGAAGTATTTATGCAGCGTGGAAGTAAATTTACGTTGATTCATTCAGTAAGATTTGAGGATAAATAATTTTTTATGCATTTCAGAACATCTATTACACCCGTTCCTTTTGAAATGGGGTTAGCCACTTAGGTAAATACAGTAGGCTCATGATTTTGTGCGGGGTTACATTCCTAGGTAACCTGTGAATGATCAAGTGTGTAGATTTGACCAGTGTAACTTTTAACTATTGAGAAAAATAAGGTTATGTTTATGCTGGGCAGTTAGGGGAAACGTTATTAAAACCCAAATACAGTACAATAATTTTGCATTCGATAAATAATAACAATGATTACACATAAAATATCGTATTTGCTTTATTCCTGCTAAAACTTTTACCAAGAGTAAATGTAAGGTGCGCAGAAGTGGCAGAGTGTGAGGAGGCACACATAATCACACACGCTTGTGGAAGTTGTGAATGAAGTTAGGTTCATCCTAGATTTTAATTAAAAACCTGAAGTGAATTTCAGAATAGTGTAAGGTAGAACAAGTGGAGCTCTGAGAAAACTGGTTAATGGAAAGAGTTTGAGTGTACATACATGGAGACTTCATGGACTACTTGTTCCACTTTTAAGGTGTGAGTGTGAAGCTGATGTGCAGTAATGATGGATAGTGTGAAATATGGAAGCACAGAGTATTGAAAGCTAGATTAATGAAGAATGTATGGTACCATATCAAAAACTCTCTTGGGAGCCTAATAGACGAGTGTGCACTAAGGTGGTATGGTCATATAGAGTGCCTGTTGGGTGAGAAGAAAAAAGATAGATTTATAACAGCACACTTGAACGAAGTGAGCAAGTGGAATAGGTAGATAGCCTCTCTTGGTGAATTATGGATGATAAGAGGTGTTATGTTAGATAATGGAGGGAGACTGATTATGAATTATACTCATACATGATTGTGTTAATATGAATGAGCTGATGGTTCAACTTTACACTGTATGCACTGTAAATTAATTTTAATGTTTATAAATGAACATAGATTAAACATTTACTTTTTCTGTGTATGCAAGTTGAAGATTAGAGCAAATTAGGGTTAATTATTTTTACATATTGTTTCCTCTCACTTTCTATACTTACCTTGCACCATTCTTCCTGACCATTTCCCCTCTTTTGTGGAGGATTCTGTATCCTCTAATGAACACCGTTAAATATATAAAATGAAGAAAACAAATACCCCGGTACAGTAGATACTTGCATATAAACATTTTAAAGTTATATGATGAGTGTTGCACTGTACTTCAGAGTGAAAAGAGTACAAGCCTACCTACTCATTACTTTGTGTTGTTGGATGAAAACAATCTGACCATGGACCAAGTGGAGGTGCTGACATATATTTTGTGTCACCTCAATGCCCGCTGTGCTCACTCAACCTCTTTACCAATGCCCATAGTTTATGCTCAACTGGCTTCTGAAAGGTGAGTTTCTTTCTCTTTTACAGTATTTCAGTCTTCAACCATTTGCACATGATTTAGTGTCAAGGACTTGTCTAATATTTTTTTTTAAGCTTCCTTTTAAAATGTTGCAAAAGTCATAAAAATATATTTCAGGGGATTCTGTTTTGTGTCCATATAATTTTTTTTTATTGTTATGATTATCAGTTTTAATTGTGTTTATATTTTTTACTTTTACATTTACAAGGTCAGCCAAAGTCAAAATCAATATAAATCTTTAATTGCTGTCAGTCATACTTTTTAACTGCTTTATTTGGTGTGTTCTACTGTAGTGTTCCTCCAAAACAAAACCTTTGATTTATCCCAATGGCTTCAGACTCTCCGCTTAGTGTGTTAACTCTCACACACTGGCTCAGGTACAGATACATTCTGGAGCCAGTACTAGCCATGAGTGCGTAACAGAGACATACCCGGTAACTGACCACTCAAGCAGCTAACGAGCCAATCAGTGGCAAAGAGGATAAAATTAAAGAAATGTTTATTCCCTTCATGTTTTTGACCTTATGATGATTACAGTATTTATTTATTTTATTTATTTTGTATTTATTTATTTTTATTTTTATTTTTTTGCACATTCTGTATGTAGGATTGTGCTTGTAATAGTAAAACAAAACAAAATAAAGCATTAAGATACGTATATCTACCCGAAATTACGAGTTGAAAAATAACCGTAACAGCTCACAGCTCAACCTGGTAGCGAGAGGGCTTGGGGGATATGGCTACAGTGATGATTCTAACTTAGCAACAATGCCACCAGCAATGTAAACACACAAACGAAAGGAAAATTATCTTTAAATCTTCATTTGTATCAGGTTTTGTAGATTAAAGTGGCATATAGTGCCCCCCCCCCCTCTTATATTCTCATGTCAGTGGCAGTAACCCTTGTCATATGAAGTTGTAACTCCTGTCACCTTACATCTACTGGCTGTCAGTTTGGCGGTTCATTGAAATTTTGACAATTTGACACCATCTGACTAGAGGTGGGCTGGCAGCTTAATGTAGAGATATAAATTAACTGCACCTGACATAAGTCACAAATCCTGGTATACTGCTGAAAAATGGTCTGTTCACATGTTATACCACTAGCCAGAAATGTGTACGAGTTAGTCTTAGCATGAGTTGACACGAGACCTGCTGACATCTAACACATGTCAGGTGAGTTTTGGGAGAAAAGGGGGATTTCACCAAACCACCTGAACCCCTCCTGGATCTGCCACTGCATAACATACAGCTCACAAGTGGGGAATGGTTGGAAATATCATCACTCGACCTGGGACACCGGATAAATGGTCCCATGTCTGAACTGGTAGTAAATTTTTTTTCTTCTTTTTTCACTCTCTTCCCTAAAGAAATTAATAAGAATTCATTCACAGGGGTCGCCTTCACATGTTTGAATTGAATAGCTGGTTGGAGATATCCCCATACGCTGTGCGTAATGAATATTTAGGCATATATGCCTCTTTAATGGATGAGAAGAACTCGTTGAGCACAACACTATACTACCTGTAAACTGTAGCTTACTGCTCCATTAACCTCATATTACTTAATAAGCTAAAACAAGTTTCTGTCATGCACTCTTTGACTACTGTACTGATATGATATGATACGAGAGGGTCATGCCCAACACTATTGTATTAATTCGAGGCTTGGGCAATGTCATCATCTATATAGTTTAACCTGGAGTAAGACAAGGTCATCATCTATGCTATGTTAGTTCTAGACTCAGGATAATGTATTTATATATGCTGTATTAGTTCTCGGTATGAGCAAAAAGCACTACAGGTACTCCCCGACTTACGACGGGGTTAGGGACCGACATCCAGGTCGTAAGTCGAAATGGTCGTAAGTCGGAAATGCTTAAATAACACATAGAAAATAAAAAATTTGGAACTCTATTTCTTCTCAGCACCACAAAACACTCACTTTTAAGCTTGCCAGCCATTTTAAAGTGAATTACAGATGAAAATTTTGTCTGTGTACTGACTTTGGGACTCAAAAATACATAATTTGACCAAATTTTGGTACGACTGAGGCAGGTCGTAAGTGCGGGTGGACGTAAGTCGAGTTGGTCGTAAGTCGGGGAGTACCTGTATAAAAATAGTTGGGGGGTATTTAGATATAAGTACAGTACTATGTTTTAGATAAAAAATTAGGTATGAAAGGGTTACATGTTTCCTCCTGTCTCATAAGATTTACACCCATGGTTGTGGGGTAAGACAGAGTCCTTATCAACACTAAATCAATTCTTGGCTAAAAAATTGATTCAAATACACTCTCTAACTTATAAATTATGACAGGCTTTTGAAGTATAAACCATTATTGAAATAGACGTGTTACATGTAGACCAGCTATGACAAGAGAACACGACTCTCACTGTGATAATGTATATTGTGTTGTACAGTACTGGAAGAGTATTTTGGTAAATTTTATTCTTGTTAATTACATACAACACTGTTCTTCTCACTTTGTTACTGTCAGTGTAAGGGATTTGATTGAGTTGTAAGGACAGATTTGTTCAATGACTTGACAGTGGATTTAATTACTGGTCATTATTTTCGCTTCTAACCTTTATTTTACAAAGTACCGAACTTGTAGTACACAGTGTTAGTCTCTACTATATTTATTCTTATGGATTATGATATGAGTGCGTGCTTTTTTGATAGCATGTACAAAATATAAACATGGACTCTGGGTTTGTAAGGACATAAATGGTACTTTGAGTGTTTTACAGGGATTAATATTTACAGGTATAAGCTGTATTTGAGGAGGATATTAGATTTTTTGTTCTGTTCAATGGATATCTTTTGTACATAATAAAATTCACTTATTAAGTGTATAGGTATATCATATTTTTTTTTCCTTCAAACACATATTTGATATTATTCAGAGTTATAATCCTCTATTTCAACCATCATTCGGAGGCTAAGGCAGTTATCTAACACACATTTTATATATAGTACTGTACATATGTGCTTTAGTGTAAAGGAAATGCAAATGATCTTAGCTATAAATTATATCATGACAGAACAGTATACATCAGTGAAAAAAGATTTGCTATGATAATTATTTGAAGATAATGCAATAATTTATCCTTTCTACCACTTAGCAGCTCACACTAATGCTGTCATGTGACTGCATGGGATGTCTATGATAGGCTGATGCATATCCCCTCAAACCCTTGCATCATGACACACTTAGTTCATAGTATGCTGCCACCTGCCACATGGATAGTACTGGACAAAGCAGACCATCCTGCATCATCATATCACCATTTGGCCTGCCTGTATCACAAGCTCAAGGCAACAATATCTGCTGGTGAGTACAATACACAGTATGAGGCACTGTATTTTGTTTATTTATACAGTATAGTGTATACAGTAGTATTTTATTCATTTACAATATGTTGTATGTGTATAGTGGTGTTTGCATAAATAAATACAGTTCTGTGTCTGTCCATATGAGATGTGTAGTTTAGATTCTCAGAAAACTTTCCCCAGCACCCGCAAACATTCTGGGGATGTGGTCATGACTTAGAATTTGTTCAAATTTCATCAAATTTCATGCAAAGGTACAGTACTCTTCTACATGCTGATTAAGGAGCTACTATACATTCAGAATTTTAAATTTGAATATTTAATGTTAATTAATGACCCTTGAAATAATTAAATGCATTTAAAATATTTAAAATGTGAATTACACTGTTCCCGTAAGTTTTAGATGATCTTTATCTACATTTTGTTAAGAATATGGACTAACTTTACCATTGAAGCACATTAGTTTTAACTCACCAGAAAAAATCATTAGTCGCCCAGAAAACGCCAAACCTATTTTACTTTGCATTTTGGCACATGAGGTCATGACATAGATGTTGTTCAAATTACCTATAAAGGTTCTCTTTTACATGCTGATTAAGCATCTGGATTCAGAAATTGACATTTTGAGTAATTAGTGTTAATTAATAACCAAGATTTTGATCTCTGGAATTATTTTGAAAATTTCAGTATAGATACTCCTGAGCATGCTGAATCCGAATCTATGGTTCACAATTCGATTGTGGGATAATTAGTGGTTGTAATGATATTTTTCAATGCTTTCATTAAGAGAAAAAACATTGGTCACCCTGAAAATGCCAAACCTATTAACTTACGTTTCGGCACGTGAAGTCAGGACGTAGATTTTGTTCAAATTTCCTACAAAGGTTCTCTTTTTACATGCCGATGAAGGATCTGGAATCCTAATTTAAAAATTTGAGTGATTAATGTTAATGACCCTTGAAAAAATTAAACACTGCTTGCCTATACCCACCACTACAGCTCCTCCCCGACTTACGACCTGCCTCAGTCGTACTAAAATTTGGTAAAATTACATATTTTCGAGTCCCAAAGTCAGTACAGACAAACTTTTTGTTTGTAATTCACTTTAAAATGGCTGGCAAGCTTAAAAGTGAGTGTTTTGTGGTGCTGAGAAGAAAAAGAAACACCCATTTTCGATTTTCTATGTATTATTAAAGCATTTCCGACTTACGACCTGGATTTGGGCCCCTAACCCCGTTGTAAGTCGGGGAGGAGCTGTATTTGTTGCTTATTATGATCATTGTACCCCTCTTTTTTCATTATCATCTGTAACCGATTGGCCTTCCGAGGATTATTTTCTTCGTTTGTTGGATGTAAGGAGAAAATATACCAAAAACTTCAGTTCTAATTTATTTCACATTTATAGAAAATATATAAAACTATATACAAAGATTTGTACATTCACTTTACAAAATCAAATTATTTGGTAAAAAATACAAAAAAAGGGCATTCCTTAGTTAAGAACTGAATAGAACTACTGTATTAATCAAGGTATAGATGCACAACAGTCAGCTATGTTAACGAAGTCATCCCTTCTATGCTGTTTTCTTACAAGGAATGTATTTCCATAAATATTTCCTAAGATTTTTGATGAAAAAAAGTTTTATAATTTTTCATAGCCATCCTGTATTATCAATAAATATTCTATTCAGTTACTGTATCCACATAAAAAAAATATTTTTCCATAATTAATATACAAAACAAATCCTCATCCTTGTAGTTTCTTTTGGCACTCCAAAACAATGAAACATCAAAACAATGTTTAATATAAACAAAATTTAAAACTACAATCCGGAAACAGAAATACATACACATAGGGAGATCTTTCGTATACATTACAGTTCTAGCATTTTGAATGCACACTCAAGTAAGTTTGTACATTTTGACAAGAAAACCTAATGCCATTTTTGTCCATTCAGGGTGATGTTTAACTGCAGCACCCATTTCTGTCTGCTCTTCACTAAAATGATCAGTGCCAAAATAAAGGAAAACGAACGTCTTAAATTGCACCAGACGTCCACACAGTAACTTTGGAACTGATAAGTGTCACATCACCTTTAATGATTACCTGGGGATATTTAGAGTCTTTGCAGGTCCGAGGGACAACACATCACTGACACCCCATTGCTGCAAGGTCATATGACCATTTCTCAAGTTTTCCAGGGTTAGTATAGGGACACCAACCACACCACCAGCACCTCTGTTTTGGAGGTTTGTCAGTGGAAGGAATGAACGGATTCCAAGGGCTGCCATACGCTGCACATTAACAGGATTACGCAGGTCTACTAAAGGAATAGCCACATCACCAGCTGAGAGGTGTAACTGGTGGAACTGCTGATAATGATGTTGCTGACCCTTTTGAGTAGAAAATCCTGCAGTGCACAGGTGGCACTTAAAAGGCATACGGGACTGTTGCTGCTGTTGATGCACACGACTATGTTCTGACAATAATGCTGCGGTTGGAAAAGAGCGGTCACATTGATGGCATTTGTGACGAGTGCCCTGAGAACCAGAAGAGGGAACATCTTGAGTTAAATCTACAGTGGGAGGACGAGGAGGACGTTCTACATTACTGTTTGAAACACTTCCTCGAGTAGGAGGTGCCTGCGGGACAGCAAATCCATCTCTATCCCGTTCTCTTCCACCTGCTTCCCGTTCTCTCTGTGTTGGTGGGTGAACAGATATGGCTGAAGACAAATTTAGCTCTTGTGCTGTAGGCAAGCGGCGATCATCTCTTCCTCCGACACCATCCTGGCGTTCACCAGCAGCTGGGGTAACAGTGATACCTCGTGAAGCCAATAGGTTAGCAACAGCTCCAGCCTCAGGGCCACCTCGTTCACCACGTGAAGCTGTTTCTTTATTACCACCAGATGCTCGTACACTCAGGGTAATGGAATCACTGAGATTAATTGTGGACTCCGTGGTTGCTGGGACACCTGAGCCCCGGTGTTGGTTACCAGGTGCTGCAGAGCCTCCCTGTACATTGGATATTACCGGTAGTCCATCACTTCGGTTTGCAACTGCAATGATTTGACATTCATTGTCTTTCTGACGGGATGGCACATTGATATCCTCCCGACGGGCAGTTTTGCTTGGCGAGTGACCAGCAGCACCCAAAAGCTGCCTTTTTCCAGCGGCACTTTGTTGTTGTGGAGATGCTTGTCTCTGACCTGAGTACATTGTTTGATGCATACGTTGTAGAGGTGGCATCATACCACCACGTCCCCCTGGTGCTGGCATAAGTGGTGGTGGAAGGATGGATGATGTTGGAGGACGGCCAGGTCCACGTGAAGGTTGAAGGTGGGCTGCTTGATGAAGGGGAGGACGACCAACATGACCCATTAGGGGAGGTCTTCCTCTAACTCGTGGTGGTGGACTAGGACGATATGGCATAGCAACACTTGGGGGTAATGGGGCACGTAATGGACCAGCTAAGTTTGTGTTTGCCATACTTGTACCTGCCAAAGATGCATAACCTCCTGTGCCACTGTATCCTGCTGCCCCTTGTGACCACTGATTACCATATCTAGACATCATACCCCCAACTGCAGCTTGACTAGCAGTTGTTGTTGCCATCATGTGAGCACTAGTTGCTGGGGCCATAAGATTGTTAGCTATAGTTAGCCGAGGCACTCCTGCTTGCTGCTGCTCACCAGCTTGTGGCGAGTGCTGCTGCTGTTGCAGTGGTGAAGTAGCAGGTGGAGTTGGGCCTTTGTGGAGTGATGGTGAAGTTGGCTGCTGAGTTGGACTCGTGATGGGACTGGTGGCCAAGGCTCTAAAGGATGTATCAGATGGTGGTGGTGTTGGCTGCCCACCAGAGGAAGTTGGTGTTCCTGAGTTAGAGCCCCGGGAACTAAGGTGTGAAGGAGTGGTAGGTCCTCCACTATGAGGTGAGGGACCTCCACTGTGTGGAGACCCATCCATTTGACCTGACTGTGATCCTTGCTGTGAGTCCGGCTGTGAATCTTGTGATGACTGACCACTATTATTTAAATATTCCAGTTCTGATAAAAGATCACTTGCAACACCAGAAGACTGTTGCTGCTGCTCCTGTGGGGAAGGCATCTGTGACTGATCTTGCTGTTGTTGAGACTGCTCCTCATTACTATTCTGGCTCTGACCAGTGAAAGAGTCATTTAAACATAGCTGTTCGAAGCTGCCCTGGCGATCATTCTTTTCTGGAGATTCCTGACCCAACACTTCCTGGCTGAATAACCCATCTTCCCCATCACCATCACTTCCTCCACCATTAACAGGTGGACTGGAGGCATCCTTTTCTGGTGGAGTGTTAGCTGAACTATAAGTAGGGTCGGCTGTTCCCTCTGTTCCACCCTCCCAAGCACCACTCTCACTGGCAGTCTCTGCAGTTGTTGCTCCTGCCATGGCAGCAGCTATTCTTGATCCTGATTCGTATTCACTGAACCAGTCACTGGTAGGAAATGACTCAAATTGAGGTTGGTAAGTTGAAGAAGGAGTGTCACTTGATCCAGCACCTACAAATCCAAGATCTTGTTCACCAAAGTTAGAGTTGAATTCACTGTTACTGTTGTCACTTGGTTCACCACCACTTCCTGAGGCTTGTTGATAATCTCCCTGTGCCTCTTTTTGTTGTGATGAAGCAGTCTCTTCCTCTTTCTCTTGGTCTTGTTCCTGCAGCTCAGAACTGTCTTGTTGAGAATCACGCTCCTCCTGCTCGTAATCCTGCTCTTTGCCACAATCCAAGTCGTCATGCCCAGGCAATGAATCTTGTTCTCCCTGGTCCTCTATATCCTGGGGTTCTGTGGGCGATCCACTGGCAACCTGTTCTCCTTCACTCTCACCTCCACTTTCCTCTTTCTCTTCAGGTACACCACCCTCTTCCGTACCATCCACCTCTTCCTGCTCCCGAGTTTCAGCTTCCAGTCCGTCTTGTGCCTGAAAACTGTTTTGGCTCTCACTCATGCCCTCGTTGCTAACAATGCGCACTTCTCTTCGCTTACGACCGCGACCACGACCCACTTTGGAAATCTTGAGCTTCAGTTTGATACTTGACCCACTCCTCTTTCTACGTGACTCCACCTTGACCTTCTTCAGCTCTGCTGCAGTTAGGCGTTTTAGTCGCACTTTTAGGGTCCGTTGATGAATGTGGCCCAAGTGATGAGCCTCAAAATCTTTCTCACTGGCAAACTGATTTATCCTACAATGTACACACCACAAATCTACTTTTTGACCCCCTTTTTGAGATTCTTTACCCTTGCGAACAGATTTTGGTTTGTCCTGGAGTTGGGGTTCTCCAGTTTGTGGTTGTAGTGCAGTAGACGCAGTATGTCTAGTAACCAGTTGGGGCGTTCTTGGTGACTCAACTGGTTCACCTACCACATGGCATGTGCTGAAATGTTGAGCAAGTAGTGCTTGACTAGGGAAAACAGCTGGGCACAAACGGCAAGAGTGGGTGAGCACATGGGCATGAAAAAGTGCCAGGTGGTCACGGAGGAGTGCCACATCCTGGAATGCTGCTCCGCACTCCCAGCATTGACCGCCTTCCCCAACTTGTTGTTGTGCACCTACAGCGAACTGCTGTTGATGCTCGGGAGTGTATGAACTCTGGTTAAAATACTGTTGCTGTTGTTGGGAGTAGTATGTTTGCTGTTGCTGATATGCCTGTTGATTATAGTAGGATTGTTGGTAGTACTGTAATTGCTGGTACTGATAATGTGGGTAGTAATTCTGCTGGTACTGTTCGTTCAGTGCATACGTCCAGTGATTCACTGCACCGTTCCTTGTGAGATCACCTGTATATAAAACAAGGATGAGTTACAAAGTCTTTTAGTATAAAGCAAACACTTAAACTTAACAAAAAAGGTAACATGAACTTAAAAATGATCATTAAGAGTAAATATTTATAGATGGTTCAATGACCCTTATAGCTGCTAACATGCTAACACAGGCCCTTTTAAGACTGATGACACAATAGGTCCATTACATTTAGTTTGGAATGTTATATACATGATTCATAAATATTGTTACAAGAAATTAATAAATAATATACCCTGTACTGTGTATATCCTTACGCAAAGTCTTCAAAGGAGAGTAGTAGTGCCAATTAGAAATACACACAGTACAATAGCAATAATACCAAACAAGACAAAAAAGATAGAAATGACAAAATTAAATAACTATGGAATAATATCTGAAGAGTGAAAGATAGACAGTAGCCATCTTCTAAAATAGGAACATTGGCCAAATATATACCAGTACAGTACTGTACTATAAATAGTTACCAGTACGGTACTAGTATCTTATAAAAACCCAAAACAACTTTACTGTATGGTACACTACTGTATATACTGTAAATCAAAATTTTCTTAATCGCATTGTAATGTTTTCCTTACATCTCTCTCTCTCTCAGTGTACTGATAACAATAAAAATAACTGGTCTTTTGTTTCTTTAAAGCATCGTCAATTCTCCTAAAGAATTCACTAACGCTCAAAACACCAAACTCAAGGACCTCAATAAAAAAGTACCAAAAAGTATCTGAAGTGGAAGAGGGCCCAGTAGTTTCAGACCTCCGGCCCAACAGCCCATTCATAACTGCATAAAAAAAATTCACTGCTTCAAGAGGCTACTTGACTTCTGTAGTATTTACCTTCGCATTTCCTCACTGCACAAACAATAGCCCTACGCGGTCATATACAGTATTGTACTCTGATTTAGTACAGTCTGTTCACTGCCTGTGCCACTTTCGTTCAGCACTTTTACAATCTCTAAGAAGAGAACTTATGACTCGTACCAAGGAGTCATCTCATACTGTAATTTTTTTCGTCACCTCTGGACAAAAATTGTCAGGAATGGAGAGATCATTATGTACTGTAACCTCCTCCGAGGAGTTGACCCAGTTCAAATAATGATTGGCTCCCTTGTCTGTTTTATAATAATAAAAAGGTCAATGGTTATGATAAGCCAGATAAATACCCTATGGCTTTATTTAAGTCAAAGGCAAGCTACTTAACCGGAAGGGCCCTGTAATGCTTCTGTCCTTCGCCTAAGCAGGATGCAAAAGGATAATAGGTGTACCCAATAAGCAGCGTGAGGAAAGATTTGAATCTTAAGAGTTGATGCCCACTACCTCCCCCTACCCCAATGGTCTAAATATTTTGACCATGTTCCCCTCCTATACACGCACATCTCTGTATAATATATCGAGGTTCATTAAGCACTTCCCATAAGTTACTTTTCTTATTTTTTATTAATTAATCTTTTAACCATTTACCGTCCGACCCATTCATTATATTATCTCATTCCACCCCCCTTCGTCTTGTCTCGTCAGCTGAGACGTTTGTTGCCATTTTCATTAAGGTTTCGTAATTGGTAATTTCTTCCACCTGTGCTTTATTCTATCTTATTTATGTACATTTATTTTGTTTTATTTTTTCGCTCGTTAAATCTAATGTGTTTCTTATATTTATTGTTTCTATTTTTTTCTGGGGATTTCTACACACACACACATTTGTACCTATAAACATTCACACACACTCAATGTCTACCTATGAGCGCCCATATATATATATTCTTATCCACACTTACATTCATCATCCTCGTATTCATTATCCACACATACATATCCTGATATCCCTTATCCCCACACATTCCTCATCCACATAAATATATCCCTTATCCACACACACACATCACTATCCACCATAAATAAATCCCTAACTTCACATACAAACATTTCTAACCACCAGTTATAGATCTATTCTGTCTCTCTTCCTCTCTCCTATCCACTTCCCCCATCGTACTGTAAACGCTATCTCGTCTAACTCCACTCCACCCCCCGGGAGATAAATTAAGAATTCATCATGCCAACACGTTCACATTAAATTAAAAACATAAAGGGGATGATCTCTGCATTCACGAGAACACACAACTTTTGAACATTCATTAAATTAATCTACACACATATTATTTTAAAAAACGCAGAGCATCTAAACATTCCAGGTAAAATTCCATAAAATAGTCTCGTCTGGCAACTAGCACCAACTTCTAACCAACCTCACCAAAACTTACCAGAGTCGTATGCAACACGTCATGGCACACACGATACACACACTCGAGTCTCTCTCTCACAGGGGCTATTTTCCCCCTCACACTCTGGGGTTACGTGAAGCCCTTTTTAAACATATCAAGTGGATGTATGAGAATACCAAGTTTCAAAGGCTTGGCAACTTCAACTGGCGGATGGACTACTACGATCCAGATGAAAGCAAAATAGGGGATGGATTGAAGCTTTAAGAGATGTGTATTATGTCCCCCCCCCCCACCCCAGCCGCGAGGAGGAGAATGCGCGGGCTTCTTCCTCCTGATGACAACTCTACCGGGCCGCTTGAAAATTAAACTTCATCTGAGACTGATTAAAATTGATCTTTTAAAATAATGAGATATATTTACGCCTGGGCTAGCAAACAATATATATGTATATATATATATATATATATATATATATATATATATATATATATATATATATATATATATATATATATAGACACTGCAAGCAAAACATTAAAAAATATAAAGAGTATATACCTGTTTATACAAACCCTTTAATAATACTGGCCAATATTAATTACACAAACACGAGAATACATAGATTAAGGCTTTTTTTAACATGCAAAGATAGTAAATATATAGACATACAGGTGGATATAGGCAATAAGTAGATAGTAGGTATACATAAACACGAAAACTAAATCTTCACAACAAGCATCAGTGTAGCGAGGATGGTAGACGGTGTACTAGTGCAAAATGCTGTATACAAAACGTGGTTTCAAAAGTCATGCTAATATACACACACAAAATCAAAATAAAGATCCGTGATGGTGAGACAAACAAAACAACACAATCCACTACACACAAAGAAACAAAAGACAATCAAGACAACAATAGAATAAGATAAACAACCACAGCAGCCCCAACAAATAAAACAATCAAGGCAATGTTCTTTTTAACACAACCAAAAAACAACACAGATAACATCAACAAAACAACATACAAACAATAAACATTTACAAACCGATATGTGAATGTGCAGGTTTTATTTTGTTTATTTTCGGTAGATGTTTTAACTGGTGGGCATATTGTACTTTCACATGTGTGTGTGTGTTTTATTTTACTTGTTTTTCTGCTGCTTCAACTTCCAGCGTCTACAACAAACATGGTTCTTGTGTTTACCGTTCACCATTCAGGGTTATTAAACACCGTTCACTGCCTCTAAAATGTGTTCAACTAATAACATTAAAAGTTCAGCTATATTCATTACTCACGATGTCTAGTTGTAGTTGTTTTAGCGCATTTTGCAGGTTCATCGTCCATGATTCGTTACACATCGTCTAGCAAGTCTTAAATTCTTCGTTCAACAACAAACATTTAGTCATTGTAAAACTCAGCATTTCCGCCAAGATCATTAAAAATTACTTTATGGCAATGGACAACTCGCGATAAAAATTATAATAACACACTCTAATTTATTCCCAGATAATGTTTGGTATTAGTTTTAAAAAGACTTCCATTAACCGGTAGTGGTGACTAGGCTGCAGCGACAAGTGTTGGAACGATGTTGATGACCGCGTAAGGTGAGGGAATTTATTATTATTTTTTTCTTACGAGTAAAAGCTATAAATCTAACTTAACTGAGAAATACAATAGCAAAATACTATATATTTGAGGTAATTTGTGTAATAACTTCTTGTTCTCAGCTGTAATATACCCATGCTATAAAATACGTGTTGTCTGTGGTGGTCAGATGGCCAGGCATATGATTTTATTTATATCTTATATCTTTATGTAGTTATGAAATTGTGTGTGTGTGTGTGTGTGTGTGTCATCAATGGTGTTTATACTTGCTTACAGTATGCATGTACGTCAAAACCCTTATGTAGGCCTACACATCTTTCTTAAAATTCGAGGAAAAGGCTCAAATAATGAATGTTAGTACACGATTTTGTATATTTGTGTGTACGAGCGCGTCAATGTACACACGTAAATGGGAACATGAACAACACACAGATATGATCTATATGTCTATATAAAACAAAGAAGAATGTCTGTTTGTGTGTGTCTGCACGAGAATCTCGGAAACTACTTTACCGATCTGTAGTGATGATGGATGGTGTTATATGTAATGATGATGGATGATGTTATATGTAGTGGTGATGGGTGGTGTTATATGTAGTGATGATGGATGATGTTATATGTAGTGGTGATGGGTGGTGTTATATGTAGTGATGATTAGACAATAAAATAATAACAGTTTAATGCTAAAATAATATACTTTGCTGTACCGTTGTAGTGAAAAACATGGTGGAACTTACATACACCGTTAAAGAACTATTGATGTAAGAAGTTTTGGGGACCGAACAGTGAGACAATGTGGAGCCTCCCGGAGGGTGGCGTCCTACCGTGGCCTAGCGGATGAGCCGCCCGAAAGGAGGCGTTTCTGATAGTAATATATAATAATGAAATAATATAACAATGACAATGAAATTTAAATAAAATATGACTGAGCCGTCACACCTGTGTTAAGAGCGAACATTTGTTAATCATGTCAAGTCAACAACTACAAACCAAGTGTTAATGTTTTTATGTGTTTATGTATGAATCATCAGTTATGGCTATTGAACTGTGTTTATGTGGGTGAACGCACGTGGTGGTGGCAGTGAACACTTTGGTTGTGGCTCGCAGTGAACGGTTATGGTGGTGGCAGTAAACACTTTGGTTGTGGCTGGCAGTGCT